GGACTGGGGATAACGAGGAGGGGGGTAGTACGCCTCAGGCATGGAAGTAAAGTCTAGACTCTGTTTGCGGGGGTGGCTCGATGTCGACACCAGGGATCCTACGGTGCCGTACGATGTGTCCATGGAAGCCTTCCGGGGGTGGTGGTTGCTGTTGTTCCTGGCTAGTTGAAGCGGTGCGGATGAGGGAGAAGTTTCCAGGGTAGAAAGCGAGTGGGAATCCAGGGAATTCTTGGACCACATCGACGACGTCCGACTGCGACTACTCTCTGCGTTGGTGGACGAGCCTGTTGTTCGTCCTGGAGCAGAGTAGGCCGTGGACTTTGATTGCGTCGTCGACATGGTGGGCGCGGGATGGGAACCATCGTCCTCCTCCGACGAGATGTCAGAGTCCGACTCCGAGTCCGAGTCGTCATCGTCGTCCAAGTATTCGAATACATTCGGTGCTTTTCGCTCCGTCTCCGTTGCCTTCTTGGCCTTGATATCTTGAGCAATCTGCGATTTCTGGGTGTTTCCCGCCGCGGCAATATTGCTCTTCGATATGGCCGGCTGGAGGGGCAGGGTCGACTTCCCCACGGAGGACTGCGAAGCCTTCGAAGTGGAATGCGAATTCATGGACATGATGGACGCCGTCGAGGCCCTGTTGGCACCATCTTTGCGCGACTTCTTGGAGCGACTGGAGAGCGGCATCGTGATCGCGGATGGAGTTTGGAAAACAAGGGTCGTTCAGACCGTAGAGATAATGTAAAGAAGTTTAACGTTTAGGCCATGCCCATATCCGGGGAACCGATGGGGACATGGAGAAAGGACGAGAACAGACGACGTGACGGTTGGTTTGGTCGGAGGGGTCAGGAATCGAGGCATATCAAGGGAGAGGAAAGGGCCGTCGCTCGGGACGGGTTGGATGGAATCTGGATTCCACCGGAATGTAGGACAGAATGCTATTGTGTCAGGAGGTGAAGTAAGTCGGAATCTTGTGGTGCGCTAGACGGTTGTTTTTTTGGGTTCAGAATGCTGACAGATGCTAGTTCGATCAATAGACTCCTGGGGTGATATGGATAAGAAGTAGATCAGCGCTGGGCGGGTCTGTCGGTTTCTTTATCTTCACGCAGGACAGATGCATAAATCGTCCGGACAATGCAAGGCATGCGCCCCAAACATCGGGGACCAGGTGAGACGGACCCCAAGTATCAGCTTCTGATGAGAATCAAATCAGAGAGCGCGATAGCAGATAGAATGCCCTTGAGTTGGAGATGGAGGGGTTCAATTCGCTGCTGAAGCGCCAAGGGTTACAGATCACCGTCTGATCACGAAGGGATGGAGGGCGACTATAATGCGGTCCCCTGTCGGGTGGTGAATCCTTTCAGAAAGTTTCTTTTCTTTTCCTCTGTCTTTTTGATAACTATTTATTTTTAGCGTGTTGGTTTGGGGCGGCAGAGGTCAGCCTCGTAGATCCGAGGATGATCAGTCGTATAGATCGTGAAGAGAAGGAGGAATCTTCGGGGGATTTGGAGGATGAAGTAACTCCCGAGATAAACCGGAGCAGCGGAAGCCTCAGGAACAATCTCTACTGTCGAAGCAGGTCGAACTCTGGGGACCTCCAGACGGCATTAATATGATTGTTGACATGATGCGCTGGCTGGCGGTGACTCGCTGTCGATCCTGCAGTGCATGTGGGGGGAACCGGTTGCAACCCGTCGTCAGTCGGTTGTCGGAGTCGCTGACGGTATTTTGGTCCGATACTGAATCTGCAGGACGGTATTCAGTCAGGGATAGTGAAGCTTTTGTTCCAGGTATGATCTACTTCAGTCCATCCTTGTACAGTATACCCTCAAGGAGGAAGTTGGAGAGCATCGAAATGGGAAATCTGCAGACATGAAGAGTATTGATACCATCTAGATGGCGCTGATGGGTCTTCCATTATTAGCTAGTTTGGAAATGGTTTTGTCGAATAGAACCCACTCTTCATCGTACCATATCCTGGAACTATTTTTCTGTATCCGTAACCGCGTGGTGGGATGAGTTCGAATCCACCTCCCTGATAGAACCGCCAGTCACTTGGAACCGCCATATGACTTGCATAAGATCGGAATCATCGCACTCATGACCATGACAATGGTGGCGATGGGTTTGACCTGCAGTTGCATACATCAACTGACTGCAGCAGGCGTGGGGGATGATGCATCCAAACTCAATCCAGCGGTGAGAGAAATTACCGCCAAATACTGCCGGTTCTGTCCCTTTCCTTCTACCTGCAATCAAACCGTCACCACCACTACTACCACCAGTCGACAATCAATTGACGTGCTCCCACCCATCCCTCTCGTTCGTCCTCCCCACATGCTCCGGCCATGTCTGCATCCATTCCCGCGAGCGCTCCGCTCTCTCGCCAACGCCCGATGTAGATCCCTCCGACCTCTCCGCATCCACCATCCTCTCCAACCCTTCACCCACTACCCAGTCCGACATGTCCAGACGTCCGCAATCGAGTCGGATGATCGCGTCCCTCTCCGGAAGCAGCTCAAACAGAGCGCCAAGGGTCTGAAGGCCCATAAACGGGAGAGAAGAGCGGCCGAAGAGGCGTCGCGACAGAAATGGGAGCTGACCGTCGGTATTGAGATTCATGCGCAACTCAACACTGAAGCAAAGCTGTTCTCGCGTATGTTTCTCCGATCTCCTTCGCAGAGGGTCTTTTAGTGATAGTTGGCTTCTATCAGGGGCACCGACTTCATCCGCCGACCTACCCAACTCCAATGTCGCTTTGTTTGATCTCGCTTTTCCGGGAAGTCAACCGGTATGCCGACTGCATACTCACCTGCGTTGGAGGACGCGGACTGACATGCTCAGGAATTTCAAATCCCTACGCTCCTCCCCGCCCTGCGCGCTGCAATCGCCCTCAACTGCGAGATCCAGCCCAGTCAGCCGATTCGACCGTAAACACTACTTCTACCAGGATCAACCGGCAGGATATCAAATCACCCAATACTATGGTAAATCACACTTTCGCTTGGCGCTTTCTACTCGGCCAATCTGACGCTTAACAACCCGACAGAGCCTTTTGCGCGAAACGGCTACGTAGATCTGTTCGGCTACGACGGGATTGCGCCGGAAGATGGAGACAAGGTCCGCGTCGGCATCAAACAGATCCAGCTCGAACAAGACACTGCCAAGTCTCAAGAATACCCTCCCTCGACTCAACTGCTCGACTTCAACCGCGTCTCGCACCCCCTCGTCGAAATCATCACCATGCCCGAGATCCACACCCCCGCCACGGCCGCTGCCTGCGTTCGAAAAATCCAAGCGATCCTCCAGTCCTGCAGTGCGGTGACTACCGGAATGGAACTTGGAGGCCTCCGAGCCGACGTCAATGTCTCGGTGCGCCAGCGCGGCGAAACCGCCGGCACCCACCAGTACGGCGGGATCGGTGGTCTCGGTCAACGCACGGAAATCAAGAATCTGAGTAGTTTCAAGGCAGTCGAGGACGCCGTCATCGCCGAGAAAAACCGTCAGATTGCTGTCTTGGAGAGCGGCGGGGCTATAGAGGGCGAGACGCGTGGGTGGACAATTGGCAGCACCGAAACACGGAAGCTCCGCGGCAAAGAGGGCGAGGTGGACTACCGGTACATGCCCGACCCTGACCTCCCCCCTCTCATCATTGGCGAGGATCTTGTGGCGGAGCTGGCGAGGACCTTGCCCACGCGCGGCGACGAGTTGATCAACATGCTCCGGAGTCAGGAGTACGGACTACCGGTGGAGGACGCAAAGCCGCTCATTGAACTGGAGGACGGAGCCCGTCTGGAATACTACCAGGATGTGGTGGATATCTTACGTGATCTGCAGCAGGATCAGGACCCCAAAGCTCGTGGGGGACTTGCGCGCGCGGCGGCCAACTGGGTCCTCCATGAGCTCGGAGGTCTGTTGACCAAAGCGGACCTGCCCTGGGATGCACAGCGGGTTCCCGCCGAGTCCCTCGCCCAGCTGGTCGATCAGGTTCAGCGGAAGCGTATCACCGGCCCGACCGCGAAGCAAGTACTGGCCATGGTATTTGATGGTGACCCGCGGTCGATCCCACAGCTATTGGAGGAAGAGAACTTATTGCTTCGTCCACTCTCGCGGGAGGAATACATCGCACTAGCGGAGGCAGCGATCAGCCAAAACCCGCAGATGGTAGAGCAGATTCGCAGCAAGAACCAGCTGGGGAAGCTCGGCTGGTTTGTTGGACAAATGATGCGCATGGGAGAGAAGGGTCGCGTGGAGGCCCCGAAAGCAGATGCCATTCTGCGAGAGCTTATTCTGGGAAGCCAATAGGTGATTCATGTACGATAGATAGAGAGCGGTGTCGTACCTTGTATGGGAGTACGGAGTAGAACATGGTCCCAGTCAAGCGACCAACTGTATAGATAGCATCCAATGATACCCCACATTCCCGCTTGAGGAAATTCACAGTTTGTTATCCAATGATCTCCATCCCACCTGAGCGCATTCCTGGCTATCAGTAACGATTGCTAATAAAAATTGACGGTGGAGTGGGATGGCGTCGGCCGGGCGGGCATCTCTCCTGGACCTGTACTTAGGGGAAAGTCATGATCCCTAAAAGCAGGTCTTAGCGATGGACCACGAGAAGGCCCCACGGAGAAGGGTGAGCGGACAAGGTTATAAAGGGGGGAGGGGAACTCTTGGAAACCTCTTCCAGCTTCTGAATTTTCCTTGGATATACACTCTGAACATTGTCTTGAACAGACCAGACGAAGAAACAGAGAAGAAGAAGACGAAGAAGAAGTCTTCATTGAATGAACTGATCTCCACTCGATCTTATCTTGATCGCTCGCTAGTCCGTTTCGGGAAACCCGCCTATTCGTTTCCGGCTCTTTTTTTCCTGCTCTACTATATCCTCACCCTCGTTTCTTCTCCTCCCTTCTTCCATCCACCTCACACCATGACGCAGCCTTCCACTATCAAGCAAAGATTCCTCTCCAAGCCCAACCAGCTGGGCGTGGTTGCGGTGGGCTTCAACGGCGGCCAGGTACGTTCCTATGATCCTCGCTGCGGCGTCTGTCGATCCCGTTGGGGTCAGTCCGATTCGCAATGAGCCCATTCCGGCGTGCGCATAGAGCTGACATCTGCTATTCGCAATAATCCAGTGCAAAACTGGCGTTGAAGCCGCCCCCATGGCCTTGATCGAAGCTGGTCTTCTCACTCAGCTCCGCGAGGACCTCGGGTACGACCTGCACTATGACAACACCGTTCACTACTACGAAAACCACATCCCTGCGTCAGACCCCGACCACCGGGGGATGAAGAAACCCCGCACCGTGAGCGCGGTGACGGAGACGCTGAGTACGCAGGTCTACAACCACGCCAAGGAGGGCAAGTTCGTGCTCACCCTCGGTGGCGACCATTCCATCGCCATTGGTACCATCTCCGGCTCCGCGAAGGCCACCCGCGAGCGGTTGGGCCGCGAGCTGGGCGTCATCTGGGTCGACGCCCATGCCGACATCAACGTGCCCGAGATGAGCCCCAGCGGCAACATCCACGGCATGCCCATGGCCTTCCTGACCCGTCTGGCCCGTGAGGAGAAGAAGGACATCTTCGGCTGGCTGCAGGATGAGCATCTCGTGAACGTGAACAAGCTGGTGTATATCGGTCTGCGCGATGTCGACCGCGGTGAGAAGCAGCTCCTGCGCGAACACGGCATCAAGGCCTTCAGCATGCACGATGTCGACCGGTAAGGACGGTTCCCAAGTTGCGGTAAGGAGATGAGCTGACGCGAATTCGCATAGTTATGGTATCGGTCGCGTGGTCGAGATGGCCCTGGCACACATTGGAAACGACACCCCCATCCATCTCTCGTTCGATGTCGATGCGCTAGACCCGCTCTGGGCCCCCAGCACGGGTACCCCCGTGCGTGGCGGTCTGACTCTTCGTGAGGGTGACTTTATCTGCGAATGCGTGCACGAGACGGGCAACCTGGTGGCGATGGACTTGGTCGAGGTCAACCCGAGCCTGGAGGAGAAGGGCGCATCGGAGACTATCCGCACGGGATGTTCGTTGGTTCGTTCGGCTCTGGGTGACACCCTTCTGTGATGATTTTATAGATTAGACGACTGGAGGCGACTCCTGTATGATATCCAGTCTGCGTATACGGTGATTAGAACTTGCAATACATGGGTGTTTATTTATCACTGGGGTTGAATTATTCTGTAGTAACGCTCTATTTATATTAACAGCTTGATCCTGCATGCATGGGTTTAGGTTGATAGAAGATCGTCTTTATGTTATGGCACGGATTTCCTGCCACCGCAATTTCCCGCCTGCCACCTCATTTCTCCAACCCAACAGCCACTTTCGGTCCAAATGATCCATGCTCATGCTTCTCGATTCTTCGCCTGGTCCGTCCGCATTCCTCGTCTCGCAGTGTCATAATTGCTTCCTCTCTGCTTCACCAGTGCATCATATTCATAGTTCATACCCAGGGCGCATCACTTCTACCCGCTTATGTAACCCGCCAACGCATCAACAAACAACCACTCACTCACTCACCCCCATCCAACTCACCATTGACCGCAAGGAATCCAGCGCTCCGGCGCTGATGCGCTGTTTCTCATCGTCGTCTACGACTGTCCGCCGCCGCGACGTGGTCCCAACCGTGTTAGCGGGGGCCCGAGTCTAGCTATCAGGCCCTGAGAGCGCCCCGCAACCCTCGTCGCCTTGTATGTCGATGGGCATCGATGTGGATGTCGACATCATAGCCCCCGGTCTGTAGATAATCGACTGCGATACCGTATCATCCTACCGAACCTTCTTATCCACTCCATACGCATTCAACATCTTCCCCCGGAAAGCAGAGCAGACGCAATCATGGCCGTCCCCGTCCGCCGCCGCCGCTACCACTGGCCCGAACTCCAGCTCAACATCTGGATCATGATCGTGTTCTCGGCGTCCGCGATCTGCCTCGGCGTCTTTGCCTGGTTCATGGCCGTGCAGACCGAGCTGAAGCTCGGCATACCATGGTACTTACCCAACCCCAAGCTTAAGAAGCTTTATACTGACGGAATACGCGGCAGGCTCTTCCCGTTCATGGTCGTCTCCGGCGCCCTGGGCGTCTTCTTCATCGTGCTCATCCTCTTTCTGGCGGCGAAGCGCTTCCTCCTGCCGGGCATCATCATCGTCGGCAGCTTCATCCTGTTCGTGCTGTGGCTGACGGGGCTGATCGAGACCTCGCTGCAGTTGTTTGGCGTTGTCGGGAACGTCGACGATAACTGCCAGATCTACGTGTACGACAACAAGTTTGGCGGGAATAATCTGCAGACCATGGCGTGGTTGACGCAGAAGACTATCTGTATGTGCGGCGCATTGCCCTATCCTCCTCCCCCTGGCTGTGTCTGGATTGTGCTGACTTGTGCAGGCGACTGCTGGAAAACGGCTTTTGCGTTTGAGCTCATCAATACGGTGTTCTTTTTGTGGATGTTGGTTATGTCGTGGCAGGTTCATCGCGATGTGTATGATTAATGAATTCGGGTATTTCGTTTTTGATTGCATGTACAGGCTGTATATAAAGTGATCAATTTATGAGGACATGAGCTTGATTAATCAGTTAGAGCCGTGTTACGGTTTTAGGCTAACGCGGCAATGCCAACTTCCAAGTCACAGTGTTTCAATTCTAGAATCGAAGTACATATAGGACATACCAACATCACCTATGTAACAGATAAACAATCGCAAAATCCAACGCCATCGCTATGCCATCATTGCATCGCAACAAACTGCAACGGAATGAACGTGCATAATGTCATCACATCTCCTGTGCCCACCGAGATAGCTATTCGTACGATACCATGTACCATCAACGCCTTCAATATGGACATGAGAATGGGGAGATACAGTACCAAAAGAGACTAGCAGAATATCACACAGCGACTAGCCGTTCTCCGCCGCAATCTCCTCTTCCGCTTTGGAGTCGTCGTCCGCGCCTTCGAATGCCGCCAGCATTTCACGCTCGAACTCATCTTCGTCGTAGTCGGGGTCATCCGGACCGCCGGCACTCGGGGTCTGAGAGGCTGGCTGCTCCTTCGCCTCGGGTGCAGGTTGTTCAGCGTTCGTCGGCTCTGAAGACGGTTCCGCCGTACTTGCGGTCGCTACTTCGCGAAGCCCAGTGCTCCGTTCATACGACCGCTTGATTCGCTGGGAAAGACGGGAGCCTTGCATATCATCTTCCTCACCTTGGCTGTCCCCATCTTCGTCGGCATCATCATCCGGCCCATCACCCCGTTTCCGCTTCTTGCTCGGGACATCCTCAGTGGCGACAGTGGATTCATTATCACTTTCGCTCTCGTCGTCGCTGCCCAGGAACTCCTTCAATTCCTCGTGCACGGCCGCGAGTTCATCATCGTCAAACCCGATGGGCGAATGTTCGTCGAGCCCGGACGATTTAAAAATGTCCTCCGTAGTCTCCGTGAAGTTTTCGTCGTCCGACAAGAACTCTCCTGAGTCTTCTTCGTTCTCTGACGAGAGCCACGAGCTTTCCAACTCTTTGGATCCTGGCGAAATCGGCTCTCCTCGGTCATCGGGGTGAACAGGAAGCAGGTAGGGATCTTCGCTCAGGTGCTTCCACTGAGTGAGGGAGTCCAGCAACCACTGCGTCGTCACAATCTTGATGTTGGGATATCGCGTTGCTTCACGGACTTTGGCAGTGCGGTTGCGTCCAGCCACCAGGTGTGTCGTCTTCATATTGATCTTCTGAGAAATAACCGCCCCAAAGCTTTTCGCCCATAACGAAATATCGGCGTTTTGCGTATCCGTTCCAAGCGGGAGGACTCCAGAAAATACCAAAACCACCCCTCCAAGAACTTTGCGCTTGATATATGGCATGATGTCTTTGACATCAGGGACAAGTTTCAAATCGACATCCTTCTCTTTGGACGGTGTCTTCTCGCCCCTCAACGCTGCAACACGTCCGCCCAAAGCTAGCGTTCGCTTCTTGTCGTACTCCTCGAAAAATTGTCGGTGCACTTGCTCGAGCCGTTCTTCTAACACAAACAACTCCCGGTCGTTGTCCTCCAGCAGATGATGTCGATGCTTGTTGTGGTCTTGCGACTCATCCTCGCTCGCAGCTGAATCTTCACCCTCGGCCTCGTCTTCCGCATCCAGTTCTTTCTGCTTCTGCAATAGTGGCCGGTCTTCAACCTGGTGCATTATCGTCTCTTCTTGCGCGTCACTTTGTTCCTGCAGTAGTCGCGGGTTATCACCTCCGCCCATCGTGACAAGCTGCTCCAACGTCGACACCTCTGCTTGCTCAGGGCCTTCTTCTGTCGAACCATTGACGGGGCGTTCCGGCGGTTGGCCCTTGGCAGCCTTGGAGGCCGTCTTGTCTGCGGTGCTAACCGCTCCGAGCTCCTGCTTTTTGGGCAAGAAGCTAGAGTTGATATCACCGATGCCGACGAAGAAGTCGTAGGGGGACACCTTGATAAGGTTGGGGCTCCAGCGCCACACATCGCCGCGATCATCGATAATAACAACCATCTTAGTGTCCACCGGGAAGAGACGGTGAAGGTTCTTGGCTGTCAAGCTGCCGCTTTCGTCACGACTGAGGATCCGATCACCAAATAGCTTGCGGTCTGGATCTATGATGCTCGCAATGTGTTGCGCGTACGCCCGAGTGCCCATGGTGTAGATATGCAATTCGAAAAGTTCCGCGACATTCTCCAGAAACGTTTCCAATCCCGGTCGCAACTTCACATAATACCAGCATCCGCGCATTCCCGGTCCGTCATCTACCAGCTGAAACGCCCGAACGTCGCTCAAAGCTTGATGGTTGGGATTCTCTTTATCCTCCATCCACTCGCCAACGGTGGGGTCCACTGTAGCATGGATGATCGTCTGGTCCAGGTCCACGACGAGCGAGAGTTTTCGATTCGACAGTAATCGGCGCTTCGCATCTTCTTCCACTCGAGTAGCTTCTTTCTCACTCACTGTGAGCGCGGTGTTATCGTGGACCATTTGAATGGGGGCGCGCATCGAATCCGTCGTCTCCGTGTTATACGTCGCCCTGCCAGTACCGAGGCTGTCAGCCACGCGTAACTTCTAAAAAGAAAGTCCGCAGTATAAATCAAGGATCACTTACTCAGTCATATCTTTCCCACACTCGGCACAGAGACCACCGAATTGGACTTCGTGAGCGCATGGCTCGTCGATTTCGACAACATCCAAGCTATTGCAAGTCAGCAGCCACACAGCCAGAAATAACGCAAGACAAGACAACTTACGGCTCCTCAATAACATCACCCTTTGCAATCTTCCACTGGACGATCTCACCGTCGACAGTTGACTCAAACTTGGTGGGAAACTTACGCTTCACCACGAATTTGTTGCCCAACTCATCGCCTTCGGTGACGGATGTCTCGTAGACATACCAGAACAGAGCCTCATCCCGTTCCACCGTATCGCCGTGCTGTTTGAGCAGCGACGTTACGGTGATCGGGTAGTGGAGGCTGGGCGGTAACCGAAGAAGCATGCTCCTGTGACGATGGTTTGGCTCGCTTTGTTCTGCTTTTGAAACCTAATCAATGAGTTTCGGATAGGCCTACCTCTCTATTGTGGCACGATAGGCGGCTAGAGAGACAGGAGGTGAAGGGCGGTCGTCGCGATCGAAGAACCGGCGCCCGGAGCCATGCCCGACGATCGACTATGAAGGTGACAACAGAGGTTCCGGCACTGGATCCGCGTTGGTCGATAGAATGAATATTAAGCGAGCGAAGACTATATGCGAAAGAAGCGACAAGCCCGACCGCAGTGGAGGGAGAGAGCTCGGATGAAAGCACGTCGTCGCCGCCACGGGATCACGCGACGGACAGTGAAGCTGGGAGAAAACGCCTTCAATCAGGAAGGCGACGATGCGTTAATATGTCGCAACAGGTGCGACAAAGGAAAATGAATTGCAGACAAGGAGTAGTGAATGGGGAAGGTGAAGAGTGGTGTGGTGTGGTGATGATGAAAGAAGTCAGAAGAGGCGCTGCAGCACAAGGGAAAAGAAGGTTTGGCCGCCAAGGCAACGTCTGGTTCGGCTCTTGGTCGGGAGCTCGTGCGGGGCGAGACTCCCAGCAGATCCAGCATCCGGGCCAGACCCACGATCATTCTACAACTCCATACTATACAACAACACATCAAAGGTGTTCTCCATGAAGATAGTGAGATAGTACTCAGGCGCTATCTGAATTATAGACTAAAAAGAAAGCATTTGCCGATCCATATTCTGGTTTACAGCTTATTGGGTCTCTTTCAACACTCATCCGCAGTTCTACCAGAGCGCTGGGAAAGTCTGCGGTTCATACTTCATTGACAGCCAGACAAAGCGAGGAAGATTCATTGAATTCCTAGCATCTACTACTGCCAGGGAAGCTCCCTAGGGATTCTGCGCCACAAAGAACAGGCCACGTGCCCTGTCTGTTTGCGGAACAGCCGGAAGTGGAACGACCTCTTTGTAGGAGCAATAAAGGGAAAACAAATAAAAAACGATAACACGAGGCTCAAGAGGTGGATTGAGAGCTATACAGTTATCACCACCATCTCCACCATATCATCCCTTACTTAGCCTTAGCCAGACCAACAGCGCCATTGCCCAGGTCATAGACGCTGTACCACTTCCGCAGGAACGCATCACCCAGGATGGCCAGCGGACCCACAGGCTCAGGGAAGTCCATTCCCATGAAGGCGCTGATGCAGGATCCCTGGACCTCCAGAGTGTAGTCATACGGGCCAATGGTGAAGTTGTGGCCGCTCAGGGCGAAAGTGATGTCGGGCAGAGAGGAACGCTTCTCACAGTCAACCGAGTACTGGCCGGTGAAGCCCTTCTTGGCACCGATCTGGGCGTTGCTTCAGAAATTGTCAGCAAGTCTGTCGGCAACTCAAGTTAACTCTTATGTGGAACTTACATCATCTCGGCAAGGTTGGAAGGCAGGGCAATGAGCGAAGTGCCAGTGTCAAGGATGACACCGGTGTTCTCGAGATCGGCAGTTTCGTCACCAAGGGTGATGGCATCAAGGTCAACCTCCCAGTACGCCTTACGGCGGAGAGGGATCTTGATCAGCTCCCCAGTGTAGTGGCTCTTGTCAACTCCGCCAAAGGTGGCGACCGACTCATCGCCCTCCTTGTTCGCATCTCCAAGGTAGAAGGCAAACACGGGCTCATCGAGGAGGCCCTGGTTCACCATCTTGTAGAAAGGAGGCTCAATCCTGTTGACAGAGATAGTATCAAAGCCCAGGCCAAGGATACCGTCGAAGCGGCCAAAGGCAAAGGCCAGGCCAGGCTCATTGGTTGCCTCGGCAAACAACTGCTCCTTGATGGTCAGGTCGCCGATCTTGAGGGTGTCTTCCGAGACAAAACCACTCAGGCTACCAGAGCCGTATCTGATGGAGAACTCGGTGCCATTCTTCTTATAGGTGGACGACGCGGACGAGTCGTACTTGTTGTGCAGGTAGCAGGCGATGGAACTGCACTCGGAAGATGGAACCCACAAGTTGGAGCTTCCAGTGTCAAGCACAACCTTGAACTTCTGGGGGGGAGTGCCGAGTTCGATTTCAGAGAAATCTATGGATTTATCGTAAGCAAAGCGGCCTAGACGTGCGGGGATGGGTGGATAAGTGGAGACGGTGCATACACTGAGCGTTCATGAAGTTATCGACCAGGACATTATGGTTACCCAAGTCATTGACAGGGTTGTCACCGAGCGGTTCCTGTTGGTTGGGACGGACTCCCATGTACTTCTGGCCCAGGGCGTGGATATGGGCGTCGATGTTCTGGGTGAACTAGAGCGATCTGGTGTCAGCAGGGGCCCCTTCCACAACTACGAACACATTGAACCGTCTGGTGCTAGAGAACAAGTCACTCAAGGGTTGGGACTTACAAGCTGCTCATCCAGAGGAAGCTTGTTGAGCTTCAGCTTATGTACCTCGGCGGAGGCGCAGCCCACCAGCACAGAGGCCGTGAGCAAGGAGACGGACTTCATAATGAACGATAAAGGGCCGCGACGGCGAGAAGACAACCCGAAAGGGACAGAACAGCAGTTAGGGAGCGTCTTGTGGGATAGAGATGGGGGTGGAGATGAGGATAGGACGGTCGATGAGAAGGGAGAGATGAAGAGAAATAGGTAGAGGGAGAGGTGGATGACGAGGTAAGGCGAAGGGGAAGAGGTGCTGCTGCTGGATGATGACTACTGGTTGCGGAGCGACGTGCCCAGCTGCGGGTGACGGCCAATCATGCGGCAGTCGCTGCGTCATCTGGGCTGCGGAGAGGCACGGGATCGGCACGTGAATCGCATCAGTTGATTAGTCCCCAGTGAAGGAGGTCAGGCCAGGAACCGTCCAGCTCCGAGAGGCCAGCATACTTAGTACTAGGCACTAGGTAAAGTACCTTACCTTGTGAAAGTACCTGTGTACAAGGGATCACAGCTGTTGCCTAGTATTACCTAACACGGATGCTTGTGTCCCTGTGCAATGTGACTCCGATTCCGACAGTCCCTGTTGCTTTCCGAGATAGGAAAGGCGGCTGATAAGGAATGACGATGATCATCGCCGATGGATCCCATCACCTCGACCTTTAACTAGTAGTTAGTTATATTATCAGCTCTATTGAACAGGGGAAAGATAATACCAGACGCAACGCATCCCTCCCTCAGAAGCATAGCATAACACTGTCGATCAAGGCTTCCCTCCGTATGGTGAAAAAAGGGAATCATGGCAGTATCGCAACAAGTCTTGTGATCAGGGATATTATTCCAATTGGCATTCTAGGATGGGAGCAAAAGAATCCGAACTCTTTTCTGGAGGTCTCATTCATGTTCCTAGGGGGTAACCTTTTTGACTACCTGGCGCACACAGCCTGTCCTTGAACACACTATACTTCTTCCAGAATCGACTGGCGAAATCCGAAAGCCACCTCGTAATACTCGCCGCCGGGTTTGTGGCTACTGAAGTCTTGAATTGGAAAACATGGTTCATTCATCCACAAGAAACATCCCTTCAGGATACTGGATATTCTGCAATAGGCGAAGCACGGTGACTTGTGAGCGCTGTGTGACTGATCCGGCACGGGGACTTTTCTGTGTCTTGAATAGTCCTGAATAGCTCTTCCTTACACTGTCAGCTCATTATAGATCTGTATCAGAGCTCCAAGATCTATTACAACCACATCCTAGCATCACAGTGCCAGCTCGACCCAACGGTGAAGGAGCCGGGGGGGATCCAAATTGGGGTTCCCAGAACGTACAGTCCTGAGTATACAGTATCACAATGGCGATAAATCAGAAGATTAGGTGGCGTGGAAGCGATTTGGGTTTGCGCGACCAGCATTCAGCAAGCAGGAAGTGACACGCTATTTGTAGCATAGGAGGAGGAGCCGCGGTTCGAGAAGAAAGGCTTGAATGACCAGGTATCCGTACTAATGAGGCCTTTCTAGGGATTGGATGAATTCGTTGCCGAATCTCAAATCTCGCCGGCTACAAACTAGCTGAGATCACAGCGGAATCAATCCTGGGGTTCATATTTCTCCGCGGTTAGAGGCCCACCATGAGCATATTGACTCGTGGCGTCTGATTCATATGCATTTAGTATAACTCATGTACAGACCTGATATATTGAAGCCTGACCAAGTTGTAAAAAAGCCAATTAATCACAGAGCGCCTATATCAAGTTCCTCGCCCTGGAGTTTATATCCGTGTGGGGAGACAGGGACCAGGGCGAAGGTACCTCCGACTATGATGCCTACAATGTCTTGTCTAGGAAGGCTTCAAACCCTCCCAGGTGGCAATATTACGTACTGCAAGTAGAGACCAAGAATAGAGACGGTCTCTTTACTTGGTAATGGCATCAACTACTGCCCAAAAAAAGAGCATAGTAGGCTCTGTCAAGTATGCAAAAGTCCACCAGGAAGGCAAATAGACCAAAACGCTCGGAATCTATAAAAGGTGCGCAATCATCACGATGAAACACCTAGACAGATCTAGATATCAGAGTACGATTACAACTAATCATCAGAATGATTCCCATCCTATGCCTCGGTGCCCTCCTGTTCGGTTTGGTCCTTTTCCACGTCCATAAAAATCTCATCAGTTCGCCGCTCCGACATCTCCCAGGCCCTAAGTCTTTCGCTTTTACCAAATGGCGTCTTGGGTATGAGGAGTATCGCGGGATGCGTACCCAGTGCGTCAATAATCTTCACAAGAAGTACGGCGAGGTGGTACGAGTGAGTCCATACGAGGTATCGTTTAGCAGTCTGTCGGCACTACGGAAAATATACGGCTCAGGAAGTCGGTTCGAGCGGGATGACTTCTATCAAATGTTCGATGCCTATGACCGCAAGGTCTTGTTTAGTTATTCAAGTGGGATAGACCACCGCGGTATGTACATCTCTCCTAGCCAATATGAGAAGAGTAGGTATAACTGACTTGCCCAATCCAGAGAGAAAGAAGATCTTGAATAGTGCGTATACGAAGACAGCCATTATGTCTCCCAGCAACGTCGACATGATCGAAGAAAAGGTCAAGGACTTCCTTGCTCTTGTCCAGCGAGACTCCTCGGCCACCGGAGCCGTGGAGATATTTTCTGCGCTGCATTACTTCGCCATGGACAGCGTCTCGCACTTCGTCTACGGCGCGACGTCTCCGGGACGCACTACAGCAATGAAAGGAACACGCCAGCATCGTGGGATCATCGACGACATGCTCGATCCAGCTCGGAGGAAACTATTCTGGTATGCGGTGTTCTGGCCCCGACTCACAGAGATGCTGTATGCCCAGGGAGCGATTGTGCAAAAGTCCCTAGCGTCTTTCGGGCTTCTTCCCATGAAGACGCCTACATACACCGGCCTGCGCAAGCACAACTTTCCAGTGATCCAGCATCTCGAAACACAGCAACTGCTCGGCTCAGATGACTCCCTCGCATCGCGCCTTCTCGCAGGAACGATCCCGTCGGCCAAAGCGTCAGCGCCAATGGACACCCTCGATGTTGCTGCTGAATGTTCCGACCACTTTCTGGCCGGTATTGACACCACGAGCAATACCCTTATGTGGGTCATCTATCAGCTTTCGAGGCCCGAAAACGAAGGGTTCCAAAGTAAACTCCGCGCCGAGATTCAAGCCTTGGACGGTCCTGCCGGGTCCGGGACTTTCATATATCCAGAAAAGGCCGGAACGCTGCCCTATCTCGATGCCGTCATCAGGGAGACGTTGCGGCTTCATGCCCCTTCCCCTGGGAGCGAGCCTCGATGGTCCACGAATGACGAGGTTATTGATGGTTATACTATCCCGCGGGGCACGGTTGTAAGCATCAGCCCGTACACACTCCATCGGCAGCCCCAGGTGTTTGCAAATCCATTGCGATTTGACCCAGAGCGGTGGCTGGGTCCCGAAGACCAAGTTGCAGAGAGAAAGAGGTGGTTTTGGGCTTTCTCGAGCGGTGCAAGGATGTGTATCGGGGTACAGTAAGTTCCAGGGCTTGCTTGAAACTGGTCCCAAGGGCGATGCTAACAGTTCACCAGTCTTGCTATGGCGGAAATGACCACGCTATTGGCAAATATCTACCAGAATTACTGGACGCACATCCCGTCTGAATACTTGCAGGTATCGCCGGGAATGTCGGCCCGTGGTGATTTGTTCTATGATGAGCACCTTTCGCAGGTCGAGGAGCATAAATGTTGGATCCAATTCGTTCCAATTCGCGCTTTATCCACGTGCCTGCAGGGATGTGTTTGACGGGGCTTGTATCTCAAAAGTAAGTTAGCGACGTATAAGGTATGAATAGGTAGTGTCTTTGCGATTCTCATACGATTGTGGCAATCGCACCTCTAAACGAGGACGAGCGCCTCGATAAGCGAAAGCTTTTTATTGAAGGATCATGTACTTCTGGACGCAAGTTTTGCGAGCATACATGCACAAGTCTACCTAGCTCTAAATGTCGGGGTTTGGCAGATCCCACTGTGACTAGTAGATCCACCACAGACCTCACCCAGATCAAATAGTCTTCCACTTATACATTTAAGCAAGATGCTCAGGGTTGACTTGCTGTCCTCTAGTCCTACACCAACCTGCACATGGTGGAACCGTGACTAACCAGCCTTGGTACCTTGTCTAACCTACGATGAGTATTTTGTGTCAAGACGTATCCTCTATTGACCATCGAATCAATCATTGCCTACATGGATAAGAACCTAGATGTTGATGATACAGCTCATGACTACCCTTTCGCCGGCCCCCAGACTATCCATTAATCAATAAATCATTCCACTACCGGTAGAACTCCAGTCTGTCCGCTTCCTGGCCGGTCTTGACTTGGGCAGAGTAAGCATCCTCTAGATCGGACTGGATGATGTTGTAGCGGTTCTTCCGAACGGCGCGCAGACCAGCCTCCTGCATGATCGCCGCAATGACGGCACCAGACAGAGGCTCGTTACGAACGATCAATGAGTCCAGGTCAACCTCTGGGGACAGGGACATCTTGGACGCGATGGTAGTAAAGATCAAGCGGCGCTCGCGTCGGTCACGGAGCGAGGGGAATTCGATCTTTCGATCCAAACGACCGGGACGCAACAAAGCCGGGTCTAGCGTATCGGCACGGTTGGTAGCCATGATGACCTTCACATTGCTCGTCTGTTCGAAACCATCCATCTGGTTCAAGAGCTCCAGAAGGATACGCTGCACTTCACGATCCGCACCGGTCTGCGCATCGAAACGCTTCGTGGCAATAGCGTCAATTTCATCGATGAAGATGATGGCAGGAGAGTTCTCTCGGGCCATCCGGAACACATCGCGAACCATGCGAGGACCTTCTCCCAGATACTTCTGCACAAACTCGGAGCCGTTCACGCGAATGAAGCTGGCAGTCGTGCTGTTCGCCACGGCCTTGACCAACATGGTCTTACCAGTTCCCGGGGGGCCGTAAAGCAGGACACCGCGAGGAGGGTCGATACCTGGCCGGGGGTCAGCTACAAATGACCGGGGGATAGGGAGCCACATCGTCCATACCGATTTGCTTGTAAAGATCAAAGTGTGTCAAGGGCAATTCGACCGCCTCCCGAATCTCTTGCTTCTGCATATCAAGACCACCCACATCGGCGTATGTCACGTCCGGCTTCTCGCTTTCACCCAGCATGGCAATGGAGGAATCCGCCTCTGGCGGCAGGATATCCACGAGGGCATTGGAGTGTCGGTGGAGGGCGACCGAGGAGGAGGGCTTGAGCTTTTCACGGTCGAGAGTAGAGAGGATGCGGACAACATAATTCGAGCCGGTCGACGACTGCACGATACCGGTGCTAGATTGAGAGGATCAGCGTGTTTCTCCCTCCGCTTCAGACGGGTGTATTACTTCTGATCGATCGCTTCCATGAACTGGCCGATGACTAGGGGAACGCTCTGTATCCGCTTGATCTCCTCCTGTGCACGAACGAGTTCTCTTTTCAGGCTCCTGATGATTTCAAGTCAGCCACCGCCGCTAATGCTGTGGATGGAACGGTCCATGGCAACATGCCTCTGCTCATCCTTGATGTACTCCTCCTGGAGTTGGATGTATCTACCACCGAGCGTCAGCCATCAGAAGTGAATATTCCCAGTCCAGTGTAACATACTCTAGATGTCTCTGGAGCCGTTTCAAGGTCGCATATTCATCACCACCATCAGTCCCCGTGCCTTCGATGGAATCTATGTTGGGGATGGTGTCCAGCGGAGCTGACTTGGTAAGAGGCGTGACGTTGTTCGCCGGGTTTTCCACGGCGACGTCTCCCATGGCGAAGGTGATTGATAGACGAAGGGACTGGTGAGGATAAGGGATGTGATTGAGAGTGGCTTCAAATCGGTAAGCGGGGAGGGTGGTATGTATGAAGCAGTCGTGCGGGTTTGTAGAGGGTGCTGGAGCTGCCAACCTGGATCACGTCGGTAGCTTCCATTTTGGTCACGTGATTGATGAGCTCGGCCCAGCGTGGCAACGTATTTGGCGGAAGGGAATCGAACCTACGGAGTAGACGTTAATCAACAGCGGCTACAGAGGCTACTAACTATTGCACTAGAAAGAATTCCAACAATCTCAGTTTCAGCTTGATGACTACTGACCTTTGGTTCGTTATAGGCATGTCAACAAAGTAGCAATATTCCGCGGGCCTGTGTCGGGCTCATTTCTAGTGCCCGTGTAACCCAGTGGATGGGTGTATTTGCATGCTTGCCGTCTGTTTCGGTGTGAAATCACTACTGTTGATCACTCAGGCGCAAGGTTTACAGGTACTATGGATCACCGCAGCCTACCGTACAAACGACTCTGGCTTGGTCCAGATGATCAGAATAAAACTTCGGGGAAGACCCGACGGTACCTAGTAGGTATATATGAGATTCATTCTCTCTCCCCAGTTAGTACAGATAGGGGTAAATCGGACTGTTTGCATGGGCATCTTGGTCGGTATCTAATCTCTCAAAGAGTGAACCCGATCCAATGTATGAGGAAATAATAGTGGAGCATCTAAAAGACGTGGCAGGTGGGACAATGGGAACCGAGCCGTTGGTCCCTAGACAAAGTGGTATTTTAATGCATATTCTTCATCAGAAATAATAATAATAATAATTAGAAGGAAAAGGATTTTCTCCCCGATGGCGTTGAAATGGACGGGGACGAATGCGTGCAAGGGCTGGGAGAGGTGTGTTCATCCATACCTGACGGACTACTCAGATCGGGCGGATTATTCGGTGGGCTCCCCCAGTTCAAGCATAACTAATTAGAAGAATAAAATCGCCCTTTTTCTTTTCCCCTTCCCTTCCGACCTTCCTTTCTCCTCCTTTACTCTTGCTGTAGCCTGTTCTTCTTGATTTCTCTCCTTGTCTTCCGGATTTGGGCTGGAACTCATGAGTCCTGTTCCTTCTATCAATTTGCATGGGACCCAGTCCTTGATATATATTCACACACCCACACACTACACGAACTAACCGAAGTATCTACGGACATCTGGGGTTGCTATTGTTAACAAACTATACATTATACCTCCATCTCACTGCCCGCGCAAACCTACAATGGAGCCTATGGTCGATTCAAGGCTGCTTGGTGGCTCACTAACTGAAAACCGTGATCCAGAGCCGTTTAGAAAGGGAGGGTTTCCGGGATGGGCTAGTTGGCGACTGACTTAACTCGTCCACGACCCTTGAGGTGAACAACCAGAGGACCGGGGGATTTTGTGTGAGAAAGCCACCAGAGGTTTTCTTGACTCCATGAGACCACATCCAAAGCGGGTCATTATGCCATGACATCCACCATGAGCGATGCGATGCGATGAAGAAAGGAAAGAGGAACGACCCGGGGATTACCTAATCCTTGGTACTGCCGTCTGGTTCCGCCTACCGCATTCTTCCAGCCCCCTTTTTTTTCGAGCAACGACTGCGACGGAGAGCACTTGATGGACTGACTTGCTTCGATGGTAAAATAACTTACTGGGAAGTATCACCAGTGTTTCCGTCCAGTACGTTTGCTTCCCTTCCAATCCTTCAGACGCAATCCCTGGGTTTCCCTTAGTTCCATTCTCCCCCTTTGGAGGCGTTCCCCCTTCTCTCTCCACGCTGTCCCCATTCTTGACCTTCGACCCCGTGCCTCCACTTCATCGCCTTCCCAAGCGATCACCCTCTCTCTGGGCGAGCGTAGGGGATTGCAGGATTAAAAAAAAAATTATCGGTTGTATACTTACTAAAATAGAATACATATAGTTTCAGATCGCTGCATTATTGTACATACTGCACCCTTTGTCCAGGTACGCTTGTCACCCTCCACCCCCTTCCTGCTTGTCTTCATTCGTCTTTTTCGTCCCCGGGATCAGCTGTGGCCACGCACTGGCTACGGACCAGTCAGCCAACCTGCCATTCTTCCTCGGGCCCTACCATGCGCCTTGCGAATCCGACACATGGTGTTGATGGTTACAGCTGATCTATGGCTTATCCGATAATCTTGATTATCATTATCTTTTTTATTACTTTATTTTTTTTATACCCTTTCCTCTATCACAGCATTTGCTGAGCTATTCGCTCTCTTTATGAACTCTTGGCTGATGCGGTTTCTGCCTTAGTCCTGATTTTTTCCTGCCTGCGGCACCCACGGTCCCGTGACCTGTCGACCTCCTGCAAACTCACAGTCCTTCCAAACCGCTGCCATTTCGGGGTCGGCTTCCCATCCCTCCGCTTAAGAGTCGGCATTTTTTTAGTTATTCAGCCTTGTCGGTATGTACCTCCTATACCACTTCATTTGTCCTCTGGATAACTGTTCCTCTCATCTACCCTGTTTTTGTGTCCCCCCTGATTGTCTACATGTCGTGGTGGTCTGCCCTTGATGTTCGAGTCGCCGACTCCCGTCGCGCGATTCCTATCTCCCCATCCCGACGCGTCGTGACATCGTGGACGATCATTTATCCATTCCAATCACCCCGCCGTGCTCTTTGAATTGATGGGCTTCGCGTTCCGATTCGTACTGGTCGGGTGTTGATGGCGGCACCTTGACATGAGATCTCCCGCGCACATGCCTCTACCGCGATCGCTAACTCCTCACCTCACAGATGGGTTGGTAAAACTATACGACATGAATGCCTGGCTAGCCGACGCCTCGAACCTCCCCAACCATGAAAATGGTGCGTTCCACCAGGCGACCATTGATCCGTCAGCCGCCTTTCTCCATGCGTCACCCACTCCGGATCCCAACCAATTTCAACGCATGTTCAACAATGGCGTCCCGCGAAACGTATCCCCTGGCTTCCACAACCCGAATCAAGTGATCCCGTCCAAACGGCCGCGGCCCGAAGATGCAATGTCAATGTCGCCCAGACAAGCACCTGGTGGATTGGGTGCATCGCGATCCCAGACGCCTCACCAGGTACCCTTCCCGGGGTACCAGGGGCCGGCAAATGGAGCTCCGCAGTTCGCACCGCATCCCTCCCAATATCAGCATCTTCAACAAGGGGCCTCTCCGAATGTGACTCAATCTCCCGTTATGCAAGACTTCGACCAACATGGGGTCCAGAGAATGGGCACTGCCTCTCCCAGTCCCTTCTCCCCCGCTGGTCCTCATGTGGGTCCCCAAATGTCTCCCTCCCAACCGGATCACCCAAGCCGGGTGAATACCCCTCAGAACAATGCCTTCATGCCGGGCCAGCCATTTACCCAAGGCATGGCGCCACAATTTCCCCCTGGCACTGCGATGACCTCCGCTGCTGTGCAGGCGCCTATGCAGGCCCAATTCGGGGGGATGCCTCAAAATTATCAACAGGCAATGGCCGCCCAACAGCAGCAGCAGCGGATACATGCCATGCAGATGCAAAACCAAGGGCGCCCCATGGGGATGAATCCGGCCATGGCGGGACGCCCGGTAGCTGCGGGGATGAATGCCGTTTCGAATCCCCAGCAAATGGCCGCAATCAGGCAGATGCAGCAGACGATGGCAAAGCCACCGAACCCTGAAGCATTTATGAGATCGTTACAGAAGTTCATGATGCAACGGAACCTTCCACTCGATCCCAACCCTATCGTTTGCGGCCGTCCCATCAACTTGGTCCAGCTCTATGCCGTTGTCATGAAGTTGGGTGGCTCAAAGAAGATCAACGCTACGAATATGTGGCCAGTGATCGCGCAGCAGCTGCAGTTTCCGCCAATGCAATTCCCGATGGCCGTACAAGAGATCCAAAACCACTATCAGCGGAATCTTGCAGCATATGAACAAGCTTTCCTCACCTCGCAGCAAAAGAACATCGCAGACCAGATGCAGCAAGCCTCTCTTCCTAGACAACCCAGTGACCCGTCAGGATTGCAATTCCAGTCACCCGCTGCCAAGCAAGGTCAATTTGAGCAACAGATGAGCCATCCCTCTCCCGTTAACCCGGCCATGTCGAACAACTCACAGCCAAACGTTCCCAACGGCTTTGCTACTCCCACTCCCGTCAAATCCTCCAAACAGCAGCAGCATCGGCTTAGTGTCTCCCGGCAATCCCAACCCCCCGCAACCCCTCATGATACGACACCGCAATTGCCAGGCCAGTCTCCTGCGTCATCCGTCAAGGGTCCCGGGTCTGCGTCCGGAAAGAGTACCGAACAGTTTGACCAGCAGTCGAACCAACCGCTCAGACACGCAATTGAAGACCCCTTCAAACCGATGGTTTTACCGCCGAGTAACTTCCATGGCCCAATAGTTGTGGATGAAATGTATCAGCTGGGCGAGGATATAACGCGATTAAAGCCAAATGTTCCGGCCTTTGCGGAGCTTGGAGTTATTGATATTCATGCGCTCATAATGAGTCTCAAGTCTGGGATTCATGCGGAGATGCGTTTGGCATTGGACACCCTAGCGACAATTTCTTCCGAACCGGCGATACCAATTTCTTTGGATAATTGCGAGGACCTTGTCGATAGTCTTATCGAATGCGCGGAAGATCAAGCCGAGCTTCTTGCGGAACATTCTCCAGAAGTGTCAGATATGATGCTTCTACCCACCTACGAGGAGATCACAAGGGGATGTCTGACTGAATGGACATCTTTAACCGATGTTCCGGAGTTTGGAAGCCTCGAGTATGAACTTGACCGTGCCGTTGACCGACTCATCTGTGTTACGACGATTCTGCGAAATTTCTCCTTTACCGAATCGAACTTTGGAGTCTTGTCCGCTCCCGTGGTGGTCCAATTTTTCTCCACCATCATCCGCTATTTGGGAACTCGCAATATGCTCCTACGGACACACCAAAACACCCTGGATTTCATGAAGGATACCGTCATCTACCTAAGTAATCTGGCCCACAACATTCTGTTACCGAGCAAGGAGGAGGCGCTTTGTTTGCTGTACTTCCTTCTGGCTTTCGCACCATTTCCAGGACCTTGTGGTGCGGACGGCGTTATGTTCACCCCCTACAACCCGTCGATTCACAAATACACCCCTGCCGCCGTGGATAGCTTAGCCAAGCTCCTGGCGAGGGACGAGCCAAACCGGACCTTCTTCCGAGCGATCTTCACGGGTGATGGAAGTGGGATGCTTCAAACCGAGCTCCTCACGCGCGCATTTGGCCTGGCCATCTCCCCCGTACCCGACCAGCCTCGGAAACCGCTCGTCGTCGCAGATGCCCGCAAGGTCTTCCTTATGCAAGGCCTGTTGGCCGCAGATATTCTTTCTGGATTTGCAGATGGATCGCTTGCAAAGACTTGGCTTGAATCTACGGACGGTTTCGCCATACATCTCCTGCGGCTTTCTTGCCTTCTGAGCACGGACCGCGTTCCTCCCGCGCAAATCAACCCACGCCAAACCCATGCTGCACGAGGGCAGGCGGAGGCGGAGGCCTCTGCATATAGTTCAATAATCAACCGTGGGCTGACCATTCTCCAGCGACTAGCGGAGAAGTCAAAACAAGTCGAGTCGGATTCGGCGTTGCGGTTTCCGTCGGGGATAATCCCCAAGAAGGAAAGCCTACTTGGGGCTTTGTTGATGCAAAATGTGGACCCGGGCGTTGTTCGGCAGTTGATTACCTATGCGCGACTTGCGGAGTGATGTGCTTTTTTTTTTTTTTGGATCGGGCAGGTTAGGGATGTATGATTGGGATTTGGTTTGATTTTTGGTCATTTCTAGCGCAGGCGAAGACCGAGCATTATTTTTTGTCAATATGCAGCTCTTTTGGTGTTCTTTCTCATCATGTCCGTCATCCGTCGTCAGTAAAGTACTTCACTGTTTCTCCCCCTCTGTTTACGGTTTGCCGTCTTTTGCCTCTGTTGCGTTCGGCGTCGGCGGGAAGACTCGTGAGACATGTCGTGTATGTCTGTACAATGCTGAATACCCTGACTGAAAGAACATGTGTGACGTCTGAACGGGTAATATTGTCCTTGTAGCGTGATTAGGGTGGCATGCTGCGTGTTGCCGCCTCACGTCATCGGCATAGTTCGACCGACCAACAAGTAAAGCATCGGGGTCTACGGGCCAGCGAGCTTTGAATCATGCCACCGGCGCAGCAGACACCGCTCCGATGCTACAGGATCTACGTATCCGTCATACGATCATGGATCGCGGCATACTAACACGGGAATCATATCCAATCCGTATCTAGACTGATTGAGTTTCTCCTTTGTGAGATGTGCTAGAAAGGAACAGAGCCATTCGCCAAGATTAGTCACACAATTAAGCAACCGTCAAGTCATTGGACATATACACAGGGTACAGAGAGCTGCACGAAGGGTGAAGGAAGCTAGGGAGATGAGAACGATGACAAGAAGAAACCATGCCAGTGCAGAGCATACGCAAATCAAAAACCAGACCTGAACTGAAAATGCGACAGAACAAGAACACCGACAGAGAATAGTACAAGGGTGTGTAAACGACAAGGCACAGCTGCATGAGAGTTCAGAGGGAAAAAGAAATATAAGAAAGAAAAGAGAAAAACAGCCACGGCTGTTTAGCCGCTATTTCCTGTCATCCGCTGCTTTTTTGAACCCGTTCGTCCCGCTTTTGTCTCGGATCCATTGGTTTGATGATGCTCTGTGGTGGGCCATGACTTTTAGCCCCGAAGCTTTCACCTAGATGATGGGTAGGTGGTCGACGAGGAAGAGTATGATGAGGAAGGGTCGGAGAGTGAATGGTCATCGACAGAGCCGTTCGTATTTGTTTTAGGTACTTAGAAGTTGCGTTCCGAGAGGAACTTCAAGATCTCGGGTTTTCGCCAACCCTGTTCGACGAGCGTTAGCAAAGAGCCACGTCCGCGCAAATGGAGCCTACCTTGACGACGATGTGCCCATTGAGACGGTTGATCGTCACATCCGGACTCTTGGGGTCGATGTTCAGGTACCGCGCAAGGTCAGTCCGCAGAGCGTCCAGGTCACCTTCGGTCTTCTGGATCTTGGTCTGTTGCTTGGTACCACCGGCTTTGGTGACGAGGTAAACGGGGAGCTGATTGGAGGCAGTGCGACGAATGAAGTAGGGGAGATTGGTGGTTTGCAGGTTTGCAGCGGCCGGAGAGGGAGCGCCAGCCGACGGGCTGTTCTCTCGAAGGGTCTGGGATTGGCGCTTCAGTTGCACCAGGAACGTGCGACATTGATGCGTCGGGACATAGGAGCGGGGGGTGAGACGCTGGAGGGATCGGGGGGAGTGCTCTGGATGATGACGAGTCAGTACCTGTTTGAATGCGTCTTCTTTCAATGCGCCTTCGTGATAGTATTTTTTTTTTTTCCGAGTCCACAGCGAGGTAGTCGCAGCAGACGGATACCCATGGAACGCGCGGAAACCGGCACGACTTACGGAAATGGAGAGATCTAGGTTGAGAAGATAGCGTAGAAAAAGAACTACATGTCCCTGATAGCGAGGAGGTGGGCTGGGTGGCCGTCTGGAGATAGAGAGGCAGCGCCGTTGCTTGCTTGCGAACGGCCGAGCAGACCGGACGGGACTGCAGGAGGGAGGCCATCGGGAGTCTGGGGAAAAGAAAGCCCAAGAGACCAGAAGGGGTGGAGATATGAGAGAGAACGCCGAAGAGAGAGCGCTCCAAGAGAGAGGAAAGGGAAAAGGGAGGAGGGGAGGCGAGGATGATGGACCTGGACGTTAGAGAGAGCAGCAACTTGCAAAGATGAAGTGATTTCTTTGCTTCGAGCGCGGAGACCTGCCGCTAGTCCCAAAGCGGGCTAGCGCGACCACCAGCCCTCCCGCCCACATTTTCGCCAGCGCAAAAGATGTCGCCGCACACTCGAGACTTCCCAACGGACGAGATCGCATCGCGACACCACTTTTACTCCCCACACCCTCCATTTATCTCTCATACCCCTCCGCTGCCATCTCTCCTGCTCAATTATGGCAGCCAACGTCCCCCCGTCCGCTGAGACTTTACTCAGCGGTGCCGCCGCTCACCCGCCGAAAACCGCTGAAGAGATCGCCAACCAATATGACCTCCTGCCCAAGTTGATCCCCTATCTCGACCGCCATCTGGTTTTCCCGCTGCTCGAATTCAGCTCCGGCCAGGATGATGATAAGGAGGTTGTCCGTGCGAAGTATGAGCTGCTCAAGCATACCAACATGACCGACTATGTCGCCAATTTGTGGAAGGAAATTAACAACTCCGACACCATCCCCGACGAGTTCGTGAAGAAGAGAGAGGAGGTCCTCGCCAAGCTGGAAAACTATCAGGAGGAGAGCTCGAAGATTACCGAGTTGCTGCAGGATGAGGCTGTTGTGGGTAACTTGCGGAGCGACAAGGTTGCCAACTTGAGATTCCTCGAGGAGCAGCACGGCGTCACCCTGGACATGGTCAACAGCCTCTACGACTACGGTCGGTTCCAGTACAGCTGCGGTAGCTACGGCACCGCCGCCGAACTGCTCTATCAGTTCCGTGTTCTGTCCACCGACAACGACAAGGTCGCCTCCGCCACATGGGGTAAACTCGCCTCGGAGATTTTGACCACCAGCTGGGAGGGTGCCATGGAGGAAGTCCAGAAGGTCAAGGAATCGATCGAAACCCGGCTATTCAACAACCCTCTGGGTCAGCTCGAGAACCGCTCCTGGTTGATCCACTGGTCTCTCTTCCCCTTCTTCAACTACGACCCCGCCCGCGACGTCCTGACCGACCTCTTCTTCTCCCCCGCCTACATCAACACCATCCAGACCAACTGCCCCTGGATTCTCCGGTACCTCGCTGCCGCCGTGATTACCAACCGCAACCGTGCCCACAAGAACAGCAGCGCCTATCAGAAGCAGTTGAAGGACCTGATCCGGGTGGTCCGCCAGGAGGGCTACGAGTACTCGGACCCCATCACCGACTTCGTCAAGGCGCTCTACATCGACTTCGACTTTGAGGAGGCCCAGAAGAAGCTGGGTGAGGCTGAGGATGTGCTGCGCAGCGACTTCTTCCTGGTTTCGGCCGCCGACGCCTTTGTTGAAGCTGCCCGCCATCTGATCTCTGAGAGCTACTGCAAGATCCACCAGCGGATTGACATTAAGTATGTTTCCGAAGTTGTATGAGCTTCCAGTGAGCGTGTGAAGCTAACATTGTCCAGGGACCTCTCTACCCGCCTTGGACTGAACCAGGACGAGGGTGAGAAGTGGATTGTGAACCTGATCCGTGACACCCGGGTCGATGCTAAGATTGACTACAAGGAGGGCACGGTCATCATGAACCACCCTCCCCAGTCGGTGTATCAGCAAGTCATTGAGAAGACCAAGGGCGCATTCTTCCGGACGCAAGTCCTGAGGTGAGTTTCTGCATCATCGAACCCATACTCGTGTTGGTCTGGAAGCTAACCATTGACTACCCAGTGCCGCCGTTGCGAAATAAAATAAAAAAAGAAACCCCGTGTTTCAAAAACAGGATTCGTCTTTTACCGTTCTCTCCGTGGTTCTGTTCATCTTAGTATATGCCCGTGAAACCCAACGGTGGGCTTCCTTGAACGATGGGACCAAGCAGAGTGGCATCAGGCTGGCGTTCCGGTGGTCCACTTTTCATGTTCTCTTTGCTCTATCCCCTTCTCCCTATATTCTCTGTCCTTATTCCTTTGTCTTTACGATCTAGTTAGACCCCTCCTAAATTTTGAGTGATGATGGAAGAAGATTCTGCCCTTCAGATGTTCATGTGCCGGGAAGAGCTCACAGAAAAGTATAAGTGTGAAAGGGAGAAGACCGCAGTCAGTACAAGCGTCCTCTGATGGAAGATTATCCTCAGGATACAAGGCTGCATTCTATGTGATTCCATGCTGTTACGAATTGATCTATAGAGATGAGTGGAAATATGACTCTGCGGATTGCTTTCTTGGTATCCGTTCGATAGTAGGCAATGGCGACTGGATCTGTATGTTTTACGACGAACATGTCATCTAGATGAGTATCATCCCAGCTATTATCACAGCATGGTGGTTAAGATCTCCGTATCTAACCATGAAAAACAACGCGAAATAGGTATATCTAGCTTCCAAACAAGCAGAACAGGCAACGCTTGGGCCATGCACAAAGGTCGCTAATGTAATGAAGATGCGGCCTGCCAATCGTACAGGGGAGGCCAAAACCAGAAAGGCCACAACATAACGAAAAGTGTCTATCCAGATCATTACCGATCCCGTCGAGATTCCGTTTCCACTGCCCGTCTGCGCGGCAGGGTGCGCACCGGCACAATCTCATTGATATACGGCTCCGAAGAATCCATGACCGAGTCTCCGGCCATGCGGAGGGATTCCTGCCGTTCATATTCTCGAGACATGACTGCTAGGTCGTTGATTTGTTCCTGGCTCGCGACTGATGTCAGCTCTATTGATCCCGATATGCGTCTTTCAGTGAAGAGGAGTTCAGACCCGTGTCAGAGGGACGCCAACAATGAGATAGCCTTCTCGCCCCTTTTGATATTTGCATCCATGTGTTAGGGATATTGTGCTCAAGCCTTTTGCGTCGGAGGAGTAGGAGTAGGAGAGTTCGTCATGGTGGATATACCTGGTAAGTATAGGGTCTGACGGAGGCGGACGGGCCTAGGAAGTATTGTATCTGTCCGAGAACAATGTGGCGCGAAAGGCCGTATCCTGGGAGCCAGTACTGCTGGACTTGGGACATTTTCTCTCTTTTGCAGGGGAAGGAGTGTGGTGGGTTTCGCTCTCGAAGGTCAACGTCGAAAGCCACTTATGGACGACGGTCTACGCGATAATTCGGACGATTAAATATCCCGCTATAGGACCTCTTTCTTTTTTTGTTTTGGCCCCTCCCTGCGCAAGGGAAGACTAATACCGAGGGATCAAACCGCAAGATCGTCGACCTTTATGTATAATCTGGTGGTAGATCGGCTTCTACAACGCCCGAGAGCAACGGGTCCGGAGCAGAACTGATCAGCAACGTCGAGAACAGTCCGAGACCGGCGCCACGATAAAAAAAGAAAACAAGTCTGAAGCTCACTCGTCTATAGCAATTGATCCTGCTAGGATCAGGACAGGATAGGGAGAGGCCCCTTTTCTTGCCGGACGCCGGAGGGACCGCCTCACTTTTACATCCAACCCCTTTGCTCGAGACAAAGTGAGGCTTGCCCTCCAATGGAAACTAGAGACGCCCGCGAATCGAAAAGAAGGCGGACAATAGTGCCAATAGGCCTGGATGTACTGCGCCCGGAGGGCGTCCTTCTTGTTCTGTTTTGTTTCTTGGCTCATTCTGCGGTGAACATGCAGCCCGGGATGGTCTGCTGCGAGCGATGATGCCGTGGCTCCAGGAGCCGAACCCCCAGGGGACATTAATGCCTGCACTAATCTGCAGCTCTTCTCGGATCCTCTCGGCTGCAGCCACTCTCCTTACGGGGTCAGGGTTGGGTGCATGCAGAGACTAGAACATCCCAGCAACCGAAATTGACAGCTGCATGAAACGAGATCGATACTAATTAAGACTTTTCCACGCGCAGATCTAGGAAAACCACGTTGAACTCAGTTGGAGTCACGGCCAACGCGAGGCCAATCACGACAGTATATTCAGGCTTAGTGGGCGCTTCAGCGCGTTTCTTTTTCGTCATCTTGTCGGTTCGGTGGCTTCTTTTGCCCTTCTCTCTCCACCTGCTCTCCGGACTTCTTCGTGTCGACCCAGTGGGAACGTGGACCAGTCGGCAATAGGGAGCTTAATCGCATATGAGATGCATGACTCGAGGGGTCTGGAGAAGGAAATAGAGAAGGATTAGCTCTCACATGCACATCCAGAGAGATGCTGGCACGTTTCAAGCAGATTCGCTAAGTCCTGGCCAAGCAGTAATACATATTAGCGATTCATTACTACATGGCCGGTGCCAGCGGTCAAGTCTGCGTGCGTTCTCTCCGACATCTCAGCAATTCCTAGCGCCCGGAGCCAAGAGGTGGGCCATGTATTATCTGCTGCAAGCGCATTCGGTTGCTGCACTCACACGGCGGATCTGACCGTGATCGAAGTGGAATTGTATGTCCTCGGACTGTCTCCGAATTGGAGAGGATGAGGCGCCGTCTGCTAGTATAAAGTCTATGATAAACAATCACGGATTAGTACTCCTATCAGTTAGCTATTTGCAATATCCGCCCTAGTTGAGCCACGTATCTTGCAACAGTAGGTGAAAACACCCCTCATCATCCCACACCCACAGGCTATGTGTTTTGCCCCGCTACAACGGGTTGACCCAGGATGGGTGATAGCAGAATCCGAGCCCCAGCATCACATATAGGCTAGGATTATTCCTGGGTGTAACGGTGAGACTGCCATTGTCGTGTGACCGGTGATGTGTGGCGAGTTACAGGGGCAATGCTCCCTCAAATGACAACCCGGAAAGAGGACGCAGCCAATTTGCGCCAAGGAGGTGGAAAATGAATCCTCAGCGTGCAGTTGGCGGTGCAGACGGAGAACGAAGACTGAATGCTTCGTAGGTCAAACGACCGCAAGGCAAGTGGTGTGCAATGCTTTCAGTATTATTGTCTATCTCTTTTCATAACTCGTCCCATGATAACTCTGGCCCAAATTACATTACCAGGCTATTCACTAATATCACAGCTTCAGTTCGGGGGAACATAGGGGTGCACAAGCATATCGCTGAATCTGTGATGGCCGTTAGTAAACCAGTAACTTTCAACGCTTCCACACAGGGTACTGACTTTTCCAATTTCTCCTTTCCTCGCACTTCTTCCACCAGCAGTGGCATTCTCACGACGTTGAAGTCTTCGTACAGCTCCTCGATCTGCTCGAGGTACTTTTTCTGCATCTTTCTCCGGGCGTTGCACTGGTCACACTCGCTTCCATCCTTGGGGAAGAGCAGCTGGTTGACGACAATAGCATGGGTGTCGATGCTGTAGCTCGTCAATTCTTGGATCATACGCTCTGTCTCATACAGCGACAGGAACTCGGCAATGCAGACACACACAAAGGTGGTCAGATCCGCATCCTTGAACTGTGAGTTGACCTCGCTGATGGTTTCCCGAAGAGACTCCATCTTCTGCAACAGCTCATCCAGATTCTGGCCCCCGGGGAGACCTCCACGAGCTCCGAGAATGGAGTTGAGCATGGGACCAAACTGAGATGACAGCTGGGAGAGCTTTGCGAGGGCCTTCTCGAGGACTGTGGGGAACTGAAGGAAACGAAGCGTGTGACCGGTGGGCGCAGTGTCGAAGACAATAACCTCGTATGACAGCGACTTGACTTGCTTCAGGACTTCCGCAAAGGACATCGCTTCGTCAACACCAGGAATCTACCATTGTTAGCCCAAATTCGCCCAGAACTAATATACCGTGGCATACGTACGCTGAATGCCAGGTCCTGCATCATGTTGTTCACTCCCAACCCAGCCATCGGGTCATCCTGCTGCGCATCCCCGCTGGCCAAGAGATCCTGGATGCTACCATTCGGGTCAATCTCCATTGCGCTCAGGTTGGTGAATCCATCCACCAGCCGGGCTTCCTTGCCGAACTTCTGGCCGAAGGCATCACTCAGGTTGTGGGCGGGGTCGGTGGAGATCAGAAGGACCGACTTGCGGACTTTCGCAAGTTGGATCGCGAGAGAACAAGAGGTAGTCGTCTTTCCCACACCACCTTTGCCTCCAACAAAGATCCAGCGGAGAGTCTTTTGGTTGACGATCGACTGGAGCGAAGGCTCCATGAGATCATCGTCGTGCACGACCGCGGTGGAGGACATTCTGCCGTATGCGAGGGAAAATGTAGGAGAGGTAATTGCTTTCGGTGGATTTCAAGCTGAAAGTAGTTGATGTTGGGTCAGTCGCTGGCGCGAGGCAACACAGGCGGAAATTCCACGTACCTCGTTATACCCCGCAAAGTCTGGAAGTGACGGCGGTCGAAGCTTCGCGAAGGATCTCTGATGAGAGCAGGGATATTGGCCCAAAAAGATCACTGGGAAGTATTAAGGACACGTTGACCGAGGCGACAGAAACACGACGACGGGGGAATTACTTGTTGGAGGTACACCAAGTTGACCTCCAGCTGTTGAATAGGCACGTGCTGGGGGCTTTGTTGCCTGAGGCCATCGCGGGCCCCGCCAACCACTTTGGGAATTTTCGGTGGTCGCTACACCTCTTCTCCTTCAACATCTGATCCGCTTCATGAGGAAATGCCAGAGAAAGACAGACACTACTAACCCACAGAAATTGAGACAATCCATGCAATTGCACTCACTGAACAAAACACAGACACCTCCAACCTTGCCAATCCCCCGACTGCCCCACTGAAGGTATACTCCGGAATATACGGCCTCGCTATCGGTGGCCTCCGATGCATGACAAGCGGAGATAGAAAACCCCCCTGGACCTCGCCCTGGCGGGTCCAAATTTTCTAACACTCGTCTCTCTCCAGCTCCTCCTCGACCCTCCTCAATCCTCATCTTTCTCTCTACTTAATGGCCCTTGAATCGACAAACAGCGAGCAATTGGGCAGAATCACCGACCGCCTTGGCCTCTACCAGAACCAACTCCGAGGCTCCGACTCCCACTCTTCCTCCATTCCCACAACCTCCAGCGCAACCGCTCCCGCTGCAACTGCTGCCACCATGTCTCGCGATCCGATCACCTGCCACGTTCTCAACACCCTCTCGGGTACCCCTGCGGCGAACCTCCGCGTGACCCTGACTCTCCTGTCCGGCCCGGACACCGTCCAGAGCCCCCTCACCTACACGGCCACCACCGATGCGGATGGCCGCGTGAAGAACTGGACTCCTCTCGTGGGCCACTCTGCCACCGTTCCAGCGGTGCTGTCGGCTCTCCCGACGCCAGACAGCAAGACGAACTGGTCGGTGCGCTTCGAGGTCGGCCCCTGGTATGAGGCGCAGGGCGTGGAAAGCTTCTGGCCCGAGGTCGAGGTGAAGTTCACCGTCAAGGGCCGTGGCCGTGAGGGCGAGGAAGGATGGAGACACTACCATGTGCCTGTGCTGTTGGGACCCTGGAACTACTCTACCTATCGCGGATCGTAAAGGATGCGCACGGCACCGTGGGTAGTATGAGACGGCGTTCGAAAACAATTGCTATTCAATGTGACTGTAGCCACGAAATTGAGACAATGGATTAATGACACGCAACTATTTGCACGTATCTATAACCTTGATTCCTCTATACCTGCTGTCCGCATACGCTGCATACGCTGCTCCAACCCTCACTCCTTCCACCCATCGCCCACCCCGCGCATCCAATTGACTCCCACCAGCTTCAGACTATGCGTCTTTACCCACTCGGCTGCTTTGAAGGAGCGGCGTTGCGTGAACTCCTCTCCTCCGACATCCTCTTTCGAAAGAGCGAACTGCTCGGGCTCCCGAAACAACAGGTACAAGTACCGATGAGGCTTGGACCTGACAGAAAAGTCAGATACCAACCTACATGATGAAGAGCACCAGCCCCATAAGACACTCACTCGTCCTTAGGCCCCGGGCCAAGGTATTCAGTCAACACCGTAGATGTGGCCGTGACGTCACCGGCATCTGCTGGCCGCAATCCCGACACCACCCAATGCCGCCAGTAGGCAAACTTGGGGTCATCGGGGGTCGGTGCATCCGGGTCGATGAGAAGGAGCGTGTAGCGTCTGGATGCGTCTGGATCGTCGGCCTTTCACCAATACCATTAGAACTAGTGATGTCACAGCACTGTCGTGTGGTGGGTGTACCTCTTTAGAGAAGGAAATGGACGGGGCTGCCTTGCATTCGCTCGCCCGGAAGAAGTTCCCATATGAGACTGTCTTTTCTCCGAACTGGACTGTCAATGCCGTGGAAGGAACCAGGTCAGGAGGAAGGAGAGGCTGCAGATCGGGCGTGAGAAGGCCGGATTGAGACAGCGCTTGCGTTAGGTCTTGAGACATTGCTGCTAGGGACGCAGAAAGAAAGTCGAAATATTTGACAAATATCGATAGAGCAACAGTGTCGAAAGAAATGACTTGACGGACTGATATGCAGCGTCTTATATGACGCCGAGGAACTACCTATACATCCTCCCCTTTTAGTGGTGGAATAATACGAAATGTCTCCTGGGCACTCTACCCCACCATGCCATAGAAAGCTGCATGGATAAGTCCATACTCTGAATTCGAAGAACCAGTAAAAACGATTGCCCAAAACTACTGTTTTATCTATCCGCTGCCGAGATCATCGCCTCAATCGCGGCCCTGTCACCACTCTGCTCAACTAAACTCCGAAACACCCCGTTCTCAATCCCCATCAGAACATCGGGTCGATCGAACTCGACCACCTGCCCACTATCTAGAACGAGAATCCGATCAAAGTCCGCAATCGTCGACAATCGATGGGCGATGACGAGCAATGTACAGCCCTGGATCTCTCGTATTGACCGCTGGATGCGCAGATCCGACTCCATGTCGACGGAGGCCGTCGCTTCGTCCATGATCAAGATCTTAGGCCGAGAGACAAGGGCTCGGGCCAGACAGAGGAGCTGTCGTTGTCCCTGCGAGAAATTCCGGCCTCCTTCTGCAATGGGATCTGACAGAGAAAAGAGATCCTTCGCGCAGCTGCTTTGGGCTGCAGTAGATTGCCCCTCGGTATTATCCTGATTTGCTGGAGCGAGGGAAACCTTCTCCAGTGCATCGCGAAGCTCCTGGTCATCATGGTGGTCGAAAGGATCAAGGACCTCGCGTACTGTGCCAGTGAACACGACCGGGTCCTGCGGAATGATCCCTACCCGCGAGCGGAGGTCGTGCAATCGCATGTGAGACACATCGACACCATCAATGAAGATCGAGCCTGATTGGGCTTCGAGGAAACGGAGCAAAGCTAATGTCAAGGAAGACTTGCCCGCTCCAGTACGTCCGACAATGCCGATACGCTCCCCCGGACGCACTGAAAATGTGAGTCCACTCAGGACCGGAGGCAGATGTGGTGCATAGCTGACGTGGAGGTCTGTGACTTCTATTTCGCCTCTTGTCGGCCAGGATGCTGGAACATCAACCCCCGTTTGGGGCTCTGGCGTCAGCTCCGTATACTCGATGACACGCTCTGCGGCATTGAAGTCGAGTTCGATCCGTGTATATTGCGCGAGGAGCCAAGAGATGTTCCCCGACATGTCTAGTGCAAAGCTGAGAGCAAATCCTGCGAGAGGTGCATCTAGTTTTGAGACGCTGACGAACATGGCTGCTACAGTGGTAACAAACTGAGGGTCGTAAATATTAGAGTCAGCCACGACTAGACACAGAGTATACTTTTATATGGAGAAGACTGATACAACTTACCCCTGCTCCTACCAGACTCAACCACAACTCCCTCCAGCAGTTGAACAGTCGACGATGCCAAAAAGCCTGACAATGCGTGTCAATCAACTTGTATATATGGCGCAGATACTCGTTCTCCTTCTTTGACGCCCGGATCGTTGGCAGACCAGCAAGTAGAGAGCTCACTTGTTCGAAGATGGGCGACCTAGCCGTGCTCTCCAGCCGTTTCGCCTCTCGAGCCCCGGTAACGTAGAATGATGCCACAGCCCACGAAGCCAGGACAGATAGGAGTCCGAAGAACACTATTAGCGGCGAGCTCATAAACGCAGCTATGATGACCACGAGAACCAGGACGCTGCTGTGTAGCAACCACCCGAGATTCATGGCAAGGTCTGAATCAACTACACCGAAGTCTGCGGTGAACCGGTTTAGTATACGCCCAGCTGGGGTGGTGTCCAAGAAGGAAAGAGGCGCCCGAAGGATCGTGTCGGTGAATTGCTCAAAAAACGCTTTGGAAGCCCTGAGTGAGCCTTGAAAAACCAGATAATACCGTATCATCTCCAGGAACCAGGACGACAGCGACAGTCCTACAAAGACGCTCGCGTAGATCAAAAGGCGTCGATCAAGAGCAATACCCGGTTCGGTACTTGGCACGTTGTTCATGTCAGTCTGGAGAACAACGGATGGCTCCGGTGCATTGCCTCCGTATTCCCTGGTCCAAAGAGAAACCCAATATGGCGTCACAAGATTTTCAACCAAAGTAAGAGCGAAAAAGAAGAGGATAAGAGCCCAGTGGAGATAGCCTCCGCAAGCCTGCATGTAAGTTTTCCAGACTTCCATCTTAACAGCGCCGATCTCCCGTTTCTCTTCCTCGTAGTACTTCCCAGCGCCGGGATCTTGGGTGCTTGCCCTCGGCTGATAGCGCTCAAGACTATTAAAGCTCGATGTTGATGCGCGTCGTCTGTAGGCGGAGCGACTCATCTGAGCTGCCCCATTTGTGGCCTTAGAACGGTCAATATGCTCTGGGGAAGTCATTGAATGCTCCACGAGAACTCCGTTCTGAACAAGAGCGTTAGGTGTGCCCGCACCCAACACGCAGCCGTTCTCAAGCATCACGCAGTAAGCTGTTTTGCTCAAGCATAATCGGATATGATGGGTGGCAATAATCCTAGTTCGCCCGTCACATAGTCTTCCAGTCAAAGCATGTTCGTAGAGATGCCGACCAACATGAGAGTCGACTGCGCTGAAAATATCATCGAGGACCAGAATGCTAGCGCGGCTATATAACGCTCTCGCTAATGCCAGGCGCCACTTCTGGCCTCCACTGAGATTGATACCATTGGCCCCAATTTCCGTCATATCTCCGTCGGCAAAGGATTTCAGATCCTCTGCAAGCGCGCATGCATGGAGGACTTCGCCATAACGGCTGGGCTCGAAGGGCAGACCGAACAGGATACTGTCTCGAACAGTCGCATTCTCAATCCAGGGATCTTGAGAAACGTATACCATCATCCCAGGAATGGTCCATCTGTGTCGATCGATAGGTCTCTCTGATGCGGGTATCATGGCTGGTACGGAGATGGCACCACGACGAATATCCACTTCTCCAATGATTGCCTGGAGAAGGAGGGTCTTGCCCGCACCGCTCCTACCAGAGATGACTGTAAGCTCCTCAGCAGGGAAGTCCAGGTTGAGATCTTTCAAATGGAATTGATCCTGTGTATCTTTGGGTTCTTCCGACGGCCAAGTAATGGTGGCATCCGTGAACCGAATTGCGTCTCCAGAGGTTCTTCCATCATGGTGCTCTGGGAGTGATAGAAAACGATCTATCCGCCGAGCACTAACGGACGCATCCAGAAAATCAGAGACCATCTCCGGAAGCATAGATAGTGAACCTTCTATCCCCTCAAAGATAGCAAACCCAGTGAATGCAACCGAGGCGGATATCGTTCCGTTAATGTAGACATAGGTTGAAAAGGAGACAACACTCATGACGACCGGCCCGAAAGACCAAAGAGCAACCAAGAATAGGTCGAAAATGTAGACCATGCGCTGGCGCTCGAGTTCTTCGTGGCGAAATTTCAGGATCTTCCGATACCACTCGTTCTCTAGCGCGCTAAATTTGATCTGCCGGATTCCGTGGATAGCTTCGCTCAATACCGCTGACTTTCGATCCCGATGTTCCATAAGGGCCTCCTCGCTTTTGCTATACTTCTTGTTCACAAAGTAGTAGATTGGACTTAGGAGTGCCGGAACAATGCAGCCAGCAAGGGTGGGCTTCCATCCCATGATGTGCACCATGAATATGACTGCAATGGTAAACTCCAGAATACAGTCAAGCATCAGGTGGCTGTAGCTTGCAAAGTCTGAGATGCTCTCAACATCAACTCCAAGCAGATTCAATATTGAGTGTCTCGTCATTGGGGCTGCATCATCCTCGTCCTCATCTTCGTTCCCCGCTGAAGAGGAGGTACTCTCATTATCACCATCAGCAGGTGCTGCCACAACATCTGACAAGCGTATAATCTTGCTGGTAATGACGGCAAATAGTTGTTCATGAACAGGGAGAGATAGCTTCATGTCTGCTATATAGTCAACAAGAGACGAAAACCACGAGGCCACTACCAAAGAGCAACCAAGACCTGCCGCAGTCAACCACAAGTCGACCTGGTTATTCGCCCCAGTGTCGCGTGCTTCGAACTGCCGCAGTATCTTGAAGAGGAAGAACTGTGGCAAAAAGTGACATCCCGAAGAAAACAGCTGAATGACAAGCTGGAAAGTCAGAGTTGGCCAATAAATGCGAATACATCGTCTCCAGAGCTTCCAAGCTGCATTGACGTTTGAAAAGCGGGCGTATAGGGTTTGCGCGCGGACTTCGTCTCCAACCAAGGGCAGATCATCCATCTCAAGTCTGTTTTTCTTTGCTGCGATGGAAAGCGTCTCTCGTGCCCACATGAAGCTGTATTTGGTAAGAAAGGAGACTGCATCTTGTTTGTCCACGGCTTTGCCGTCACGGTAGACAGTTGGGCCTTTTGGAATAGAAAGATTGAGCAGGATTAGGATGATGCCCGCGGATAGTTGAAGGACTGTCAAAGCTAATTGTGACTTCAAAGGTTCTTCGAATCTGTCGTGTTCAAAGGGAAAGACTTTCCCAGAGACAGTCGTGATGGTGACAAGCAGCGATCCTAGTGCGGTGTAGCAACCCAATTGATACCGGTCCTGGGGTCGACGGCGGGTGACGACGACGATTTCCTGTACCAGTAAAACGGTCTACTCCAATGAGCCAGAGAAATGCACTGTATGGGAGGCCTCTTACCCAAGAGACAAATTGTAGAATTTGTATGGTCGTCCGAGCCCTGACACACGCAAGGAGGGCAGCTAGAGTAGCGACCAGCGTGGTGACAGTGAGAACAATCCTCTGCCATCTTGCTTCCGGTGTCTTTGCACGGATGACTTCTTCCTCAGCATTATCGTTGAGAATTTGGTAGTCCGCAGGCTTTTCAATTCGTCGGTTGCTGGCAAGTTGTCGAATGTGAGGTATCGCCAAAACCGTCGTCAGCGCGACACCCAGTGCAGACGCGGCGAGGGGAAAAGCCGACATGTCTAGCTGCGGGCTAGAAGCGCTCCGTATTTTTCATATTTTATTGAAAAGGGTGGTTCTTCCATCTTATAAGACATTTTATTAATGAATTGTGGTATGTAGGTTGCCTGAGAAGGTCTCCGATTAAGCGGGCACCGTTTTGGGAAAAAGCGCAAAAAATCGACTCACAACAAACTGCAGTCAGCTTAGCTGCAGTAGTGATGCACATCTATGAGTCACTTCAACAATGTGAAATAAGGGTTTCCTCTCCATATGCCAATAGTGCTCGCATCCCCTGATAGACAGTGGAACCCGAAGTACCAAATTGCTTCAGGCAACAGTGTTTTGGTTTCAATGATTCGGACGAATTTGACTTCAGAACACATCTTTCTCAAGGCTCCAGCATATCCTGTTTGCAATAATAATGGGTCAGGCTCTGTATGACTCCGGGAAGAGGCAAAAGAACGACGGGTCCCTTCAATCATCCTAAGCTTAACAAGACTACAGTCCCATAGTCCTTCGGGAAACTGGTGTCGCCATCTGCCGAAACATTGTAAACTGAGACTCTCACCAGATACCTCTGAGATTCATAAAGGCACCCCTGACAGCCTTTGTCTGCAGCGTCTGCAGCTTGAAAGGAGAAACAAAAGCTTGGATGATTCTTCAAGCTGATTCACTTGATTCAATTCCAACTCAGACAGGCAAAGTTCCCATCCACCCAACTATCGATGCTGAATTAAGAGCCTGGCTCCTAGAAAAACTGATCTAATTGATGTAATTAATACTCCTGGGCATCTTGATAGGTATAGTTGCAAGTTTGTGGGGAATACTTTATTCCCCCATCCCCTCAGGATTCAAAGTACTCCAAGAGCCGGTTCTCCCCAACCTTTCATCCATTCTGAGTGTAAAACCTGTTGAGCTGTCGCTCTTTCCTTCGGCCGGAAGGCCAGCATTGACTGGAGCATCTCCTTAAACGCCGCTCTCTCCTTCTCCGTCACGGTTTCCATGCCCGCCTCAGCTCGAGGCTCCTGTATGCAGTATTCAAACCTCTGGTCCCAGGACATGCACACGCCCTCAGGACCCCTAGACGCTTTAACCAAATCTAACTCACCCTCTTCGTTGAACCACTCCAGTCTTTTGCTCCACTTTTGCCACCACTCAGGAGGTAAGATGCCGAGAACTTCGACTTGCTCCGCGGTGACACGGTCTGCAGTTGGCCAAAAAGCCTCAAACAAAGGCCGCTGGCCAAAAATCTCCCAAATAGTACAAGCAAGTGTCTAAATATCCGAGGCAAGGGAGAGCGGCTCGTCAGAGAATCTGGCCTCTGGTGGCTGGAGGAGAGGAAGGGTCTTCGAGGAGAACCTGGCCGTTTTCTGTGGGTTGAAAGATTCACCAAAGTCGCTAATGATGATCTTGTCCTCCCCAATGACAATATCGTCGCTGTGAACCCCAAACCAGCCAGGAATGAATACACGCGCGGGTACGCTATCCGACAATGGCTTGCCATCGAGACGAACAACAGCTTCTGACTCTGGTTCTCCGAATCTCTCGTATAGCTCTGGCGTGGAAAGACCATCGATTGCTTTAGGGAACTGGACTAGGATGTTCCCTAGATGAAGGTCTTCCAGAGTTGTAGTCAGCTAGCCAGGCCAGTTTTGCTCATCTATAAGCATCACATACCGCCGTGTACAATATTCTGACTGTGAAGAAATCCGACTCCACGAATAAGCTGGGCGATGATCGACTGCGCGACCTTGGGGCGAAATAGACCAACAGTCGATGCCTCTCTGGCATCGAGAAGGCTCATACGTGCTGGGGGAGTGACGATACATCTATGATTCCCATTGGGACCAGCAACCCAAAATTCGTCGAGGAGGCATGGAAATATTTCTCTGCCCGGCCTAGGCGGCGATTTTCCAAAAGAATTTATGAGACTAGCCTCAGGCGTGTAGGTGCTGGCATCAGCGGTAATAGCCTTCAGTGCCACATATCTGGCCCTTTGCAGGTCACGGGCTAGCCAGATAGTCGAGTATCCGCCATACCCAAGTTTATCGACTAGGCAATATCGGCGCTCATTCAAGTTATCCCCAATTTGTATAGGATGGAATCCTCCTGGCCGGTATCTGTGGAGGTTTTCGACATCTTCAATAAGCATGTACTGAGACCTGCTGGGTTTTATGGTCGATGTTCGAGATTTGGTTCCATCCGTCTCCCCGCTCATTACATCTGACTTCAGCCGGGTGAAGGTGGACATCGACAAGATATTCCGGGCATAGAGCTGGTTTGACACAAATCTGCATACCTGTTTATGGGGCCGTTGGACATTGATGTAGATGCAAGTACGTGCGAACATCTGCAGAGACAGCATCCAGCACAACGATCGGTCAGCGCCTGCCTGACGGCGTTGAATGGTGGTTGAAGGGGGTGTGACTAACCATCCATGACCAATAACTATACCGGAGCTTTTCATGATCGACTCACCCTGCTTTGCTTCCTATCTCTTTCGTAAAGTAATTGAAAACCTCACGGTCTAGCTCCTACTTTGCTGCAGATTCCTCTATTCTTGAGGTCGACTTCAATGTCTGTGTTCTAGGTACGAAGCTACTCATGAACAATGCACACACCGCGTGCCATGGATACACAAAGACAATTTTTCCTGAGAACTTCTGGAATCGAACCAGTCGGCGGTAAAACAGCATATCCATCCATCCCCCTCTGGGATGCGCCGCAGACCGTATCGACATGCCGTTGGCTCCCAAGTTCCGCACATACGACCGCCAACAACCTACTTATGAAACTAAGAACCCTGTGCCTCTGGGCTCGTTTGGGCCGGCAGTCCGCTTGCCTCTGGGTAGAATTGTTCTTGGAAGATCAGGCGCTAAATGTAGTGACTGCAATGCCGGCTTCTTCGTCCATCATGACAACGAATGGGACTGGCTGGGCGGTTTCCTGACGGTGGCCAAGATCCGCGAGCTCCTGGGATTTGAGGAGGACAAGGGTAGGCTGATTGATCAGTTTGAGATGCCCAACATTCGGGCGGTTCACTTCCTGCTCCATGACCATCTGGACCGCGGATACGATGCATGCAGTACGTATGTCACACTGGGAAAGAATTGTTTGGATTAGTTGGCCTTCTAAGGAAGTTTGTTGACAGAGGTACTGTGTAGTGGCAGTGGTTAGAAGGACGAACTGTCATGATGTGGGTGGGGTGGGGTATGTATGGACTGCTTGGGCACCTCAGGATCAATAATGCTAGCCAGTAGTTCTGTGTCCTGTTCTACTAGTCGAGTCTCCTTGCAGAATACGTTGTAGCCGAGTCTAGTTCATAGATGACATCTCATTCGGTGCATGCAGCATATGATATATAGCTCCACTCAAATAAACTGACTTGGATGATAAGACATATAGGGATGATGGGAAGAAGGAAAAGACACAGATCAATAAATAGTCCCTCATCAATATTAATACCGTGCCACCTTCAGACACAGTAGCTAGATTAATAGATATAAGGCAAGAGACGTTTATACCCACATCCGTACACTATCTAGATACACACGGACCAACGTTGACCCGTCCTGCGGGATATCAACCGCTCACTCGGTATGACTCGAGTTCATACTTTAGCGAACGGGAGCTGAGTCGGTTTGCACCCGGACAAGATTGCAATGTACCTATAACTACTCCGGACCGGTGTTTGCTGCCTACTCTGTACTTGGGCGCATGACAGGCGCGTCGGGCATTTCCTAACTAGGAGATTCGTTATCAGGCGCGGGGAAAGAGTTTGGCGAAGAACAATCCTGCGACGGGAACGGAATTGACTCCTACCAATCGGACCCGGACGACGGACTTGCCACGGTGCGACTTTGAAGCGGCCAGAATCCCGGTGGCAATCGTGCTGGCTGACGGTCCAACGAGAAAGCCCTCACGTGACTGTTACCCACGGGACAAACCAGATGGGGAAGCATTGCGTCATCCTCAGGGGTCCAATCAATGGAGATGTCACTCGACCATCCAACCACTACTCCGAAGTGTACAGGTGTACTTCCCTGGTTTTCTACTCTTCCAATGGACGGCTCTACTCGGCGCACTATTGGTAGACCCTGAGATAAACCTCTTGATTGGAATTACACGCCATCCATCCATCCATCCATCATCCATCCGTCCATCCCACTCTGATGGCACGTTCATGTTAGTCAGATTGATTCGCTTCCAACCGGTACCTTAGAGTGGGGCCCGACGATGGACGGTGCGATGAGTGGCTGGTGGGCGTGGAGCCTCCGGGTAGGTATTGGCGTGTGGCCACCCGGCTGGTCCGACAACCCAGAAAATTCCTGTCATCGTCACCGTGATCTCATCCCTCCGCTCCCCCCTTCTCGACTGCCTTCCACGATCTACTCTGCCCCTCGGGATCCTCTTCTGTCTGTCGATACTTTCTCATTCGGTACAATATTGCCTCTTTTGAGATTCCCGCAATCGCAAGACCATTTTAGTAAACCGCGTTGGCAGTATATCCCTGGATTGAGACTAAACATTCTTGTTCATGTCAACCAAGGAGGGTGTCTGTTTTGAGTTGTCTGTCGCTTCTACCCACATCCAACCATCGCGTCCCCTCCTATTCTGCCCCGGGATTGGTCGAAAAGGATTGCCGGACCCACTGGACTCCAAGTTTCTGCTTCGACGTAAGGGCCAGCCCCGGCATCGTGTGGTATCATTCGTTGCTGGTCTCCATTATTCTTCGGAAGTGAGAGGTTAGTATGTTTTCTTTGATTTTCGCGTGCTTTTTTATTTTTTTTTTATTTATTATTTTTTCCCTCCTTGTTGTTAAGGGAAGCTGAGAAATCAAAAGAAGGACAAGCAGATTCAATATAAATAAAAGAGAAACGTAGAAAAGTAAGAAATGGAAAAAAAAAATTTTTTTCTAAAAAAAAATTATTAAAAAAAGAGTGAAGGAGAAAGATAAAAAATCAATTCTATCAGGTTGCACTCTGGCTGGAACCGGCGGGTTTTTGTACAAAACCCAGGGTCGCATAGGTCGAGGATTGTTGCTTAGCTCACGACACTCGACCGCCTCCCCTCCCTCTCGCTCTCTTCCCCCCCTAAAAACTCCCTGTCGAACCCGACTACGTCACAACTTCTCATCTCCCCCCTTCATCCCATTCTGGCTGGACTCGTGCAGAGAAGCATATCAACAAATCGCCCTACAACTCAATACTCATCGCCCTCGCCCTGCATCTTGAATTGTATTCTTTTGATTTCCTCTATCTCCTCCTTCTCACACGATTCTCGGGGATTTGCCACTCTATCCATTCGCTTTTTTTTTCTCGCGATTTTTTCCCTTGTTCCTCCTACAACCATCTTCAAACCGTCGACCACAACCACCACTTCTGCCATCTAAGATCCCATTTCTTTTCAGACTACTATGTCCGCGGCGGTTGCGTCGACAGTCCCAGCGAATCTCGCAGCTAACCCCGATAACCGTAATTCTTCCCCAATGGACTCGAAGAAAAATCCGTTGGACGCAGAAGGTAAGTTGATCTGTGCTGTTGTGTCATCGTGTCCTGTGCGCGCCACCGTCCCTGGTCCCCCCGAAAAAGATAGGCTTTATTACCCCTTTCTGTGGCATGCGACGGATGGGAATAAGATCAAGAGTTTGGTGCCTTTTTATCTTCAGTTCATGTTCGTCCCATGTTTGGGGTGCGGTCGCACGTCACAATGTTCCCCGGATAAGATGGTCGTCGGGATGACCTCACACCTGGCGTCATCGACGGGCCTCCGCCAAAACCACCCTCATGTTGCCAGGCCACGATCTCAACAATCATTATTCTTATCGCATACCTCCTAGCACCATCGCCTCAAGCGCGCTCTTATCTCACGGACGCTAATCTTTCCTGTCTCATCACAGATTCTCAGGTGTCGTCGGACTCCAAAGACATCAAGGCTGACGTCGATGCGCAAACCTCGCTGGCTCCTCCTTCCCGGTCGGCCATAGCATCATCGGGCGATACCCCCGACTATTTCAACTCTGTCCACAACCCCTTCTCCCTGGAACCCAACCCGTTCGAGCAGTCCTTCGGCGGTGGTGGTGCCGGGGGTGGCTCTTCTGGCGACACTCCGGGAAAATCGATCCTCCCCCCGGTAGCAGCGCTCACTTCCCCTGCTTTGCCGGGTACTTCTTCCGCGGGAGGCGGCTATAACTGGTCCAACTCTCTGCGATCGGGACCTCTCAGCCCTGCGATGCTTGCAGGTCCCACGGGGTCCAGTGATTATTTCGATAGCATCGGAAGAGGCTTTCCGACACCCAACGAGTCATCTCTCCGTACGGGTCTGACGCCAGGTGGCAGTGGCTCTATCTTTCCCGCCCCGAGTCCCAATTCCCAGGCGCTCCTGCAGCAACTGCAAAGCGGGGGTGCGACTCCCTCCACCATTGAATTCCACCGCACCGCCCTGAACGCAGCCAAGAAGAACGGCCTCGGCGGTCCCACGTCCAATCCCACTTCCGATCCTAACCAAGGAAACCCGAACACCACGATGGATATCAAAGGGAACCAGCCGGCCGGCGTCGATCCTTTCGGTCATCACGACGCTGCCGATGCTGCGAACGGGCTCTTCATGCTCGCCAAGGGCGGCCAGCCCAACCCCAACCAGTACCCCGTGCCCACCTCGGTTCCTCCACAGAATATCCAGAACATGGATCAAGCGCGCGCTGCCGACCGGATGAATGGTGGCGGTAGCCGAGAAGGTAGCGGCGATGCCTCTGACGCTCAAAACGAACAAGCGAAGCCCGCTACGAAAGGCAAGTCGAAGAAGGCGGCGGCGACAAAATCCACTGGTGCTGCGAACAACCGGCGCAAGGCCGACGACTCAGCCGCCAAGGGTCCCAACAAGAGAGCAAAGACGAGCAATGGTGCTGGCAGCGTCGAACCTTCGGATGAGGAGTCTGATGAAGAGGACCAGAAGAAGAAGCCCCAGACCGATACAAAGAAGATGACCGATGAAGAAAAGAGAAAGAACTTCTTGGAGAGAAATCGGTACGTTTGCGCAATATTATGCCTTTGCCACTACGAGATCCGATCCACTAACAGCAGTATCAATAGGGTCGCGGCGCTCAAATGTCGACAGCGTAAGAAGCAGTGGCTTGCTAACCTGCAAGCGAAGGTGGAGCTCTTCACGTCCGAGAATGATGCTCTCACTGCAACAGTCACCCAGCTACGCGAGGAGATTGTCAACCTCAAGACACTACTGCTTGCCCACAAAGATTGTCCTGTTTCTCAAGCCCAAGGCCTTGGTCCCATAATGATGAACGGTGGCATGTCGGCTGGGTTTGAGTCTCACCCGTACAACATGCCTGGCAATATGGGAATGCAACCCGGCGCTCCTATCCCTCCCCAGGGACTTCGACGACAGTAAGCCACAATCATGGCCATGGTCTGATTACCCGTTGGAACCTGGTCTGACAACGGCTGTGTTTTTATACTCTGATTGCTTCCCACAACTCGGAGCCAGGCGTTCTCCCGGGGTCTTGATTCATTTCCGCTTCAGCTTTCACGCAAACTTCTGGCATGGGTGGTGTTTAATGAATAATGTATACGATCAAAAGGACAGGTGGTGTGTCATGGGATTTGGTTGAATCACCGGAAGGTGCAAACTAGGCGCAAAAGCTTGTGTGGGCTGGATTTTTTTTTCCCTTTCTTCCCTGTCGTTTGTCTTCATTCGAACTTCAACTGCTCGTCTCTTCAGGCACGGACCTCGAAGGACAGTGAGGGCAATGTGTCCGCGGTTGTTTTTTTCTTTCCTTTCTCCTTTCCGACCTGATCGCTGGTTCTGGAATTTTCAATTCGCCTGTCTAATATTTGAGGGACACTGGCTGCTTTTTCCACACTTCACATTCGACCGCACTCTCTAGTTGTGATAAACGTTAATGGGTGGCGTCCTGGTGGTTCTTTGTTTTGTTCAATCCTTGCTCAGGGTCTGTCTTTTTTAGATGCGTCTAATCTCACGGGACTCAGACCAGTTCCTTTCATTTCATCCAGAGTAGACTTGTAACAATTAACTGATCCTTGATCATCGTGAATCTGGATTCATCGCTATATCCAGCGAGATGATTCATACTCCTCTTTGAACAACTAGTCCTAACTCAGACTGGCGCTGGTCGCAACGCGGCGGAGGCTTGGCAGACACAGGCTGGTTCAAACAGCGCAAACAACAACATCGTGCACTCTCGTGCCCAACGCCAGCTATCTATCCCGCCTCCAATGGATTGGGGCGCAATTGACGCCTTGCACTGAAGACTCGTCTCCGTGGATTGGAATATCAGGGTGCAATGACCCTGTCAATCACACCTCCAGCGAACTCGAACTGCCGTGCCGTGATCACGGCAACTTTCGCGTCTGCTACCCTCGACCCGGATACGCGATAAAGGAACATACAAAAGTGAAACGGCGCGTCCACGAGACCCATATGCGAGCAGGAACACTACGGATGGAAGAATGGTCATCACACAAAACTACTCGGAAAGAAATATGTCCGCTCGGCCCTCTGCCCGACCGCGTCGCATTGATGATGCCCTCTCCCAGCTTGTCGATTCCCTCACTCCCCCGCTCTCTCTATCTGCCCTAGGAGACGACTACCCTGATGACACGGAAGACGCACTCACCGCCGCCGAAGAACAACGCCATCAGCGACTGCTCGAGCGCGCGTGGCGCACCCTCGATCTCCACACGCATTCGAATGACCCAACCTCGCCCAGCGGCCCCGCCGCCTACGGGATCACGCGCCGGGGGAGTCTGGCCGGTGGAGAGAATATCAACAACGCGTCAGATCTGATCAAACGGAAATTACTCAAAGAGAATGCCAGTCCCGACAAGGCCGTCCGGTTCTCGAACCTCTACTCGCGTCTGTTGACCCAGCCCGTGTTGTCGCAGAAATGGGCCATCCTGTACTTGCTCTATCGGCTATCTACACCAGAAGACCACGACGGAAATATGGATTATGACGACGGACGGAGTCGGAGTCCACCAGTCGAGCCGGCAAACCTGCAGAATATGCTACGGAAGGGTCCCACGCGGCAAGGGAGGCCGTTGGAGAACGATGATGATGACGGTCCTGCGATTAGTTCATCTGCGTCGCAGATCCCGGCGCGTCTAGAACGGAAGGCTTCAATGCGTCGGCAGGAGTTGGAAAGGGAGAAGGACGTGGAGTTTGGGGCCCGTGAAACCAGACCAGCCCGTCTTCCGCCGGACGCCCCTCGTGGTGAGGAACCGGCGCCAACTCCCCAACCACAGTCTGTACAGGACGGCCCGAGATTTCGACCGCCTGAACATACCCTCTTGCGAGATCTTCCTTTCAATCTGCAGGGTTTGTCGTCCTCTAACCTTGAATTCACCTCATCGTCGACTCTGAAATTACCCCCGTCGTTGCCCATTCCTTTGGTATCCATCTTGAATGCTCTTGCCGAGCCGTGTTTACTGTATAGAGGCTTATCCACGTTTGTTGAGAGCTCCAGTGGAGGGCTTCTCAATCAGAGCTTGCGAGCGGCCCTCTCCAATGAGCTGCGGTCTTATCTTGGGCTAGTTGCGACGTTGGAGGGAGAGATCCGCCGGGCATTGACAGCTTCCGGGGACCTCAGTGATCCCAGCAATTCATCTAAGGCTGGCGTCACCTTGAAACGATGTGTGGTATGGACGAGAGATGCGACCATGGCCTTGCGGCTGATGAGCCTGATTGTTGAAGAAGCTCAGAGTAAGTAGTATAGCGGATCCCTCTGGTGTATTTCCTGCTAAGACCGCTTTTAGACAAAAAAGGTGGCCAGTTGATTTCGTTAATTCATGGGTTTTCCACATCCCATGGCGACCCGTTCGTTTGCGCCTTCGCTGAGAAACTTCTTACACACATCACGCGGCCATTTTACGATATGCTTCGACTATGGATCTATGATGGCGAGCTCTCGGACCCGTACAAGGAGTTTTTTGTTGTCGAGCCGGAGTTCAGACCAAGTACCGATCCAAGGCGCATCGCTACTAGCGTTTGGGAGGATAAGTACAAGTTGGATGATGGCATGGTGCCGTCCATCATTACACAAGACTTTGCAAAGAAAGTGTTTCTCATTGGGAAGTCTTTGAACTTCATTCGATACGGCTGCGGAGACTCGGGTTGGGTTGAAGCCTACTCGAAGGAAGCCTCTAAGGAGCTGCGGTATGGCGATACGGCAAGCCTGGAGGACTCGATCGACGAGGCTTACAAGACGACAATGGCTCGTCTGATCTACCTCATGGACGACAAGTTCAAGTTGTTCGACCATCTTCGTGCACTGAAGAAATATCTTCTCCTGGGACAGGGTGATTTTATCGCCTTGCTGATGGAGTCGCTGGCTTCGAACCTCGACCGTCCGGCGAACTCCCAGTACAGACATACGCTCACCGCTCAATTAGAACATGCCATCCGTGCATCGAATGCGCAGTATGACTCCCCTGATGTTCTTCGCCGGTTGGATGCCCGGATGCTGGAGCTTAGCCACGGCGAAATCGGCTGGGATTGCTTTACCCTGGAGTACAAGATAGACGCACCGGTAGACGTGGTCATCACTCCATGGGGGTCGACTCAGTATCTGAAGGTTTTTAACTTCCTCTGGCGAGTCAAGCGCGTCGAGTTCGCTCTGGGCAGCATCTGGCGACGATGCATGACAGGTGCCCGTGGAGTACTAGGAAGCGTCAACGACAAAGTCGGGGCTGACTGGAAACGCGCGCGATGCGTTATTGCCGAGATGATCCACTTCGTCTGCCAATTGCAATACTACATTCTCTTCGAAGTGATCGAAGCAAGCTGGGACCAGCTACAAGCCTCGATCTCCAAGCCAGGGTGTACGCTGGACGATCTGATCGAAGCACACACCAAATACCTCAACTCCATCACGCATAAAGGCCTCCTGGGCTCCACCACATCGAAGCATTCATCGTCCAGCAAACAACCCGAGGAGGGCTTCCTGACGCAGTTGCACCAGATCCTTAAAATTATGCTCGCCTACAAGGACGCCGTCGACGGACTCTACTCATTCTCGGTCGCCGAGTTTACTCGACGACAAGAGCTCAGCGCGAAGATCGAAACGCGCACAGCACAAGGTCGCTGGGGCATCACTGAACGCGATCTCCTCGCCTCTCGACGCGCAGGGTCATCCATGTCCGCGTCCCTGAGCAACACGCCGCAGATTGGCGCCCTTGTTGACGACGTAGATACTCCGTCCTCCGACGCGCGCATTGATCTGTCTGCAGACGACCACATGCTGGAATCCCTCCGTGTGCGCCTCCGGGATCTTTCGGCGGAGTTCCGCTCGCGGCTCAACATCCTGCTTGGAGACCTCGCATACCAGCCTGACGTGGATATGCGCTTCCTTGGCGTGGTCATGAACTTCAATGACGTCTACGAGCCCGTCCGCCGACGGCGAACAGCAGGGTCCAGCTCGAGAGACAAGGAGCGCGCGAGACGGAAAGCCGCCGCGGCAGCATCTGGCGGCAACGCGGAGGCCAGCAGCTCCAAAGAGGCAAGGAAAGAGAAGAAAGAGCCAGCTGAGGCAGCGGGGACAGGCAACGCAGGTGCACATGGATCATAATACCATATTTTCTTACCAGGGCGGTTTTCTTTGCGGGACTTGATTCACCGGAGTCGGACATGGGACGGGAAAAGACTACTGGCATGATTATGCAAGCGACGAAATTCATGGGTATTCATATAAATTTTGGTACATTCGACCGACCTTGTAAATGAGAAAATTTGACATTCTTCGCATAGTCGTGGATTGATCCCATCCTTCTAGTAAAGCGGGTGGAACTTAAGACATCCATTATTCTAGGCGGGCACTGCGGCCCTCCGAACCGCCGTAGAAAAATTCCCCAGCTACCTCCGCCGCCAACATCAACAACTCCCGACACAACACCACCCGTCCACAAACCAGTCTACCCTTGAACGGCATCCCTCTTAAGAGGCCAAGTATACGCGACTCCGAAAGTTTAACTTTTTCCGACGACACCCCCCGCGCCGTGCTCAATGGCAGGCGAAGAATCTTCGCAGTCGACCGACGTCCCGGCGTGGAAAAAACTGGGTCTCAAGCTCAAGTACGCCAAGGACCCTCTGGAAGAACAAGAAGACACAGGGAAGAAAGCCAGCTCGAAATTGAAGAAGTCGAAAGGCGACGACAAGTCCGACAGCAAGAAGGAGCGCAAGAGCAAGAAGAGACGTCGTGACGAGGACGAGGCGGCCGCCGATGGCGCCGACGCCAAGGACGCCGACAAGGAGAACGAACACGCAGACAAGGGCGAGGATGCCGAGACGCCCATGAAAAAGAAGACGAAGACGAAGACGAAGAAGCGGGTGTCGTTTTCGGCCAGCGCGAAGGATCACGACGGCTCGGGCAGCGATGTCGAGATGACGGCCGACGGGGACGAGACAAAACCGGCGCCCGAGGGTGAGGTGAATGACGGCGACGAGGGCGACGATGAGGGCGAAAAGAAGAAAAAGAAGAAGGAGAAAAAGAAGGACAAGAAGAAGGCAAAGACAGGCAACGCGACGACGACCGCCGACGCTAACAGTACGCCGGAGAATCACGAGCCGCCCATTCTGTCCTACCTCAACCTATACTACAAGAACCGGCCGGCGTGGAAGTTCCAGAAGAACCGGGAGACGCAGCTGTTCAAGCATGTTCTGTCCGCGGAGCACGTCCCCGTCGAGTACAACGCTGCGCTCCTGGTGTATCTCCAGGGCCTGAAGGGCGACGCGGCCAAGCAGCGGCTGCGGCAGGTTGCGGAGGAAGTGGTGAAGGCGGACGTGGAGGAAACGCCGGCGTACCACAACGCCGTCCACGGCTTCCGGGGAGCTTTACACCAGGACAAGAAGGAGGAATTGGACCGCGTCAACACTCCGGAGGAGTGCGACGAAGAGACGGTGAAGAAGCTCTTGAAGAGACAGCGAGCTGAGCTGATCTTGTTCGCTGTCAATGGGTCGCTTTCCAGCTATCAGAAGCCGAAACAGGCTAAGGCAGCGAACCAGCCGGCCAAGAAAAAGAAGAAGACCCGCACCGCTATCGTTGAGATCTCGAGCAGCAGTGAGAGTGACAGTGACAGCGACAGCGACAGCGGTAGCAAAAAGACTACCAAAAAGGCGCAGTCTGGTTCGAGTACGTCGTCTGATTCGGGCGATTCCTCCAGCGATTCCTCAAACGATTCGTCCTAGACATTGTCTCTGGGAGCGTCTCTTTATACACTACATGAGACTCTACGGACGAATTCAAGATCAGGCTTGATGGTTTTTAAAAGTGTTCGAGCGGAAAAGTTTGATACCTGAAGTTGCATAGAGGAGTTTCCGAATGGGTTCATACGATAGATTTTTGGAATAATTCATTGACGTACATTCTGGTCTACATAATCATAATTTACGGAACTATTCGAATAGAAGACACTTCATGAGACCTCTATAAGACATTTGATATGGATACATTTGTATACGACGAGATTGGAAGGCGGTGACGATGGAGCTTACTCAATCGGGGTGTGCAGCTCACCTTCACCTGGAGCTTCGGCCAGGCATCCTCAAGCACGCGTCCTTTAGAACACTCCCTCCATCCTCCATCCCCCTCTTTCTTCTCTCTCCACCTTCGTCCTCTTCATTAATACCTGCCTCCGTTACGAATCTAATTTTCTGAGATTTCTAATTGAAATACCGCCGCCATGTCTGGTAGGACCTCAACCGATCCCCCGAGATCCCATGACTTCATCAGTGAACTGACTATCTTCGATGGCTAGGAAGCGCATACGATAGACACATCACGATCTTCTCGGACCAGGGACGTCTGTACCAAGTTGGTACGTTCATAATCCAGATGGCTTCCACGCCGATGGGATTGCAATCCCTCCTGCAACCCAACATGACACCGCCTAACCAACACCTGTATTCCAGAGTATGCGTTCAAGGCCATCACTTCCGCCAACATCACCTCGCTTGGTGTCAGAGGAAAGAACTGCGCTGTCGTGATCACCCAGAAGAAAGTTGCCGTAAGCCAGCCACCTTGCACACCATGGCTATCAACACCTGTCTGATCGATTCTTTAGGACAAACTTATCGACCCATCCTCCGTTTCACATGTCTTCAGACTCTCGCCCTCCGTCGGCTGCGTCATGACTGGATCCATAGCCGATGCCAGAGCAAGTGTCGACCGTGCCCGCGGAGAGGCGGCTGAGTTCCGCTACAAGTTCGGATACGAGATGCCCTGCGATGTTCTCGCCAAGCGACTTGCCAACATCAACCAGGTTTACACACAGAGGGTTTGTCTTGACGGTTTCTGTGTGGAGAACGAGGACCGAGGCTGACTTTCTCCCTGACAGGCTTACATGCGCCCACTAGGAGTTGCCATGACCCTGATCTCGGTCGATTCGGAGAAGGGCCCGCAGCTCTATAAGTGCGATCCTGCGGGATACTACGTCGGATACAAGGCTACCGCATCTGGTCCGAAACAGCAGGAGGCTCTCAACTATCTGGAGAAGAAGCTGAAAAACAAGGATTACGCCGATGGCAACTGGGAGGAGGTGGTCGAATTGGGAATCACGGCCTTGAGCAACGTCCTGAGTGTGGATTTCAAGAAGCACGAATTGGAAGTCGGTATCGTCGGGGGACCCCGGACGGATGGCAAGGAGGGAACAGATCTGGGGTTCCGTGCTCTGACAGAAGATGAGATTGACGAGCGGCTGCAGGCGATCGCCGAAAAGGACTGATCTGATTGTTGGAGGAAGCTTCCGTTGTTGTTAGACGCACATTGATGGTATATGAATATCATATCTTCGTTGAATTGAGAGCGTTGGCCTCTGTTTCGTCCTGGGGTGGTTCTCCTTGCATAGTTCACGACGCTGCGCCTTCTGCACCTCGCTTCTCTCCAGAGCAGTGGCAACTCCAAAGACGTGTTGTCCTAATATAGGATGCTGGCGTGTAGTTCTGCGGGCTGACCCGGCTTGACGGGGGTTGCACAAGTAGATGTGTCGTCCGCAAGGATGGGATATCAGTGCTCGGCATTGATGCTACAAGTGGAGACCTGCGATGTCAGGGGGCAAATGTCCGAGATGACGGCCGTGGGCATTGTCCGAGGTACCCGGAGCTGAATGAGGGCTTTGACCGGTGGAGTTCGTAGACGCGCGCAGGACGAGGGAGTTTGCCACCCAGCTCTCTAGTTTATTCTTATGCTCAATATCGAAAAATCAAAACAGTAAGATCGTTGTGGTGTTATGACGCATTTTCATGCTATTTTCAACCGAAAGATTTTTTTCTGACAGTTTCTATTCTTTGCTTTTCCTCAGCTGACAGTTGTGGCCGGGCTTGTGGCTGAGCTGTACACACTATGTGTGGCTTGTGCCCATCGTCCATTTCGTTCCTTTTTTCCTTTCTCTTCCATGCGCAATCCCAAACAATCCTGGAACTCAATTGAGTCAGACCGCACTAGAGTCGCAGCGTGCTACTTAGCCTCCACATTTCCTATCTGGTCTCGTCCTCCGAACCTGAACTGCACGCCCGTCGTGGGTCGTGCAGGTTCCCCCAACTAGGGTGTGGCGTACACAACCTAAACGACCAGCTGGCTGGTGCCCATAATTACTTCCCTAGTGCCATCATGCCATGACGCCCACCCAGACTCCACTCGCCGACATGCAAGATGCATCCACTATGGTGGTCCCCCGAGATCCTGCACTACTGCGAAAGCCACTGTGGATGAGCTCCCACTGGCGCGGTTCACTGACACATGAGGGGATGTATCATACATCTTGCCGCCGCCATGTTGACTGCTAGTCTAGTCTGCGGGGAGGTATTTTTGTGCCCCCTGTGGCTAGATCCGAGCTGGGAAAAAATTTCTCGCGTGAAGGCCAAGCTCGCTGCTACTCCATTCGCTCAATGCCGGTGAACCACTGTCGTCCTTCCGCGACATGGTTTCCCCTGGGGACTATAGGTCCACTAGGGTTGTGGTTTTCCAGCTGCAGTCCCTAGCTGTGATGTACTACTGCTCCATCAAGATGATCCATTGGTACAGCCAGCCACGACTAACGATGATCTTCTTTCACTCGTCCTCCTCGTCGTCGGGCGTAGGCGTAGGGCTTGAGGCCATTGCCAATAAGCTTTAAATGGAATACTCGCCCTCTGACCGTGGGACTGTCCCAGAGATGAAACATTCATTTCCAACGGCTTGAGATCTAGTCCATTGCTTTGGCTTAGTCGGTTCTCTTTGGACTGCGCCGACGTCCTTCATCCTTTTGACTGTTGATTTTGTCTACTTCATTCTTTAATACTTTGGGCCCTATCACACTCCTTCGATAACCAATTGGGGACCGAAGACTACACAAAAGTAACCATGGCCGACGGACGTAAGCCACCCTTCTACTTCCAATGACTTCTTCGTTAAGTCGTCCACTGTGTGGTGGGTGTTAGGCTAACGAAGATCATAGTCAACCAAGCTCGTGCCTTGAGGGTGGCGGAAATCATCAACGACTACCGCACGCTCCTTGTACACATCTCCCAACAAAATGTCCCAGCCCCGGCGGCCGACTACTGGGAGGATGGCTACAAGATCATTCGAGAGTGTCTCGCCGAGGCACAGGCTCTCATGTCCTCCAACTACATGCCCTCAATTCCTGCCGCTGGCGGTAGTAATGAGGAGGCGGAGAAAGTCCAATTGCAGCGGTATGCGTGGTTCTCAACGGCCGACTCTGATCGTATCCACAGCTAACGGTCTATTAGGGTGATACTTGACGCTAGCGCCCGCCGTTTTCGAGCACACAAGATCTATCTCCGGGCGGCCGCAGCAAGGCGATGGGCTATCCATCGTGAAAACATCCTTCGAGGGGGGCGGCCTGGACCCCAGCATACCGCCCAGCTCAAGGCTGTGGACAACACCCTCCGCCAGGTTGGTCATCCTAGACCATATCTCCCAAGATATAGCGTTAATGACGTCCACTATTTAGGAACTCTCGCAATTTACAGACCAATATGTTGTCTCTGACCTCCGCGCGGCCGATGTGCGGGCACGCCATTGGCTCGACGATGATCCATCTCTACCAACGATCCTTGGCTGGATTCGGTCACACCCATAGAAAGTACGCTCCACTTCGATTTGAATGAATACCTGACAGGACTTGGCGACACAAAGGTAAAAGAGAGAAAAAAAGAGACGTTCTACGATTGATATGGGTGGCATGACATTTACGAAGCGCCGGCCGCTGAGGTTTTGACGGGAAAGTTACCTACATTTTTACTTATTTTCCACTCACTTTGTTACGACCATGATATCCCATTGATACACGATTCTATGTCATAGTCCGAGTGAGGACGCTTTTAATTTCGTTTCCAATCATGTCTTCTTCTTTGTCGTTGTTGGTTTCATTTCCAAGGAATGTATTTCGGAATATCGGATTCGTCTTGTGTTCAGACATCTGTACCAGTCAGATTAAGGACCGCATTGGGCCAATTCCTTTGGGCATTTCCTTTCGGCGTCGATCCTACTTTGATGGGTTTCTTTCGCTCTGGTTAGCTGAATTGAATGACCTGTGTTCATCATTGGCTAAAATTTCCTCATTCCGTAATTCTACTACCTAGCTACATGATGTGACTGGTCCTGGTTCCAGTTCTTTTCGGCTACCTTTGCGACTATCAGTTACGTTGAATCGTTTCCTGTCAAGTCTTGCGTTTTCATGAGTGGATCCCGTTGATAGCGGGTAAACAGGGCGAACAAGATAAAAAAAGATTGACATAGTGAGGAGCGGGTATATCTCTCGAATGTATGCATGATATTCTTGAGAAAATGAAGAAACACGACCAATCGCACCGGTCCTGATAGATTATCAGCAGCTCTGGTCCAGTCAGACACCGAGATTTTCACGGCCTTCGGACATGCCGAACCACATTGAACGTGGATTGGCTTACCTGGCGGGGTTAATCGAGCACATCCCAGCTGAAACGAAAGAAACTAAGATTAGATTTGCTGCACGGCAGTTGAACTGGGGCGGCTGTCTTTTCCCGGGCTTTGCTGGCTAGTTAGGTTGTGGGCTGTTTGGCGTCAGCGGTTCACTTAGGTAGGTTAGGGCTTGGGGCGGGGGATGGCGGCGCGATCGCCGAGTGGCCGTGCTCCCAGAGCCCTGCAGTAGCTTAACGCACCCGGGGCGAATCACGCCCCTCAGACGGGGTGTTGCGAAGCACTTTCAGCTGAAGAGGTTCACGGAGGACTCCACTGTGCCCCTACCGTCTGCTGCCTCAGGTATCCCCATTATTATGGTGCTCCCAACCAGGAAGATCTATGCTGCGGGGCTCGACTTGCTGTCTGGAGTATGAGACCTCCGACTCCATCCTCCAAGTCCTTTCCCCTTTTTGATCGACATGCCTTCGGTCTAGAGCCACGAACGTGCGCTAGGGCTAGTCTGCCACGTTGGGTGGGTTCTCCTCAGCAGGGATGTGAGAAGCCGATGAAACAATCCTGAGAAGGACCCTCTTTTGGGAGCGATATGGACCAAGTACCAGGCTAACTACTTCGGAGTACGCATCTGGATTGTGTTCGGGTTGGTAATCGGCTACAGTCTCAGACAGGTTCACTCTGGTCCCTCCCCCTGTTTCACCTTGGTCGATATGTACGGTCATGCGCTTAAGTCGCGGAACGGACAACTAGACTACCGGGCAACTATCGGAGCTGACTGGAATGAGTCTGTTGCTCGCGAGAGGTTGATGTTCGTCTGTAGGTAGACATGCGTCCTCGTGTCTCCGGATATCCAGATCGTACTTAGCTATGTCCGATGTTACCCAACGTCCAACGTCCTCGTGGTATCGGAGATTGCAACCCAAGCTCCCATGATAGATCTGAGATCTGGTCGAACAAGCAAGATATCATGGGTTGAGCCTCGTGAAAGCCATCATCTTCGTATATGATGTACTTTCCCTGAGAGATTGGTCACATAATCTCCGATCAGACAGACAGCGTGTTACAGGGTTACACGGAGAAGCTCTCGTGACAGATATATATCTGTGTCTACCAGATGTGACCATGCCTTATCCCGAAACCACTTGAGTTCCTGAAGATGCTGCCAACATACAAAGTATGTTTACGTCAATATGAGGACTTCTCCGCGACAGTATTGGATATCGCTGCAGTCATCCGCCTAAAACAACCAGCGACATCGACTAAGACTGCCGGGCCAGACAGCGGGGTGACTACGCCACCACGATGCCAGGTGGTTTCATGGGCGACACATGGGGTTTGCATTCTCTGTTTACCAGAGAGTTATCGACATATAAAGCTGCATCTTCCAACCACCTCTCCTTCATCTTGATCTGAACCACTTCAACCTTGCAAAGTGATTACATAACCTGACCAGGTACACCAGCCACTCAAGCCACTTCCCCACACGTGCACCGCCTCACCAACATCCACCCAATCACTGCTTCTATTGTTGTTATTTTGGGTATAGTAAGGTCCGTTCTGCATCATAGGGCGGTGCTTTCCCTCTCAGGTCCCCAAGGCTGCCATATACCTGCCGGCGTTCGTATATATTCGGGTGAGTATGAATTGCTGGCACCTCGCTGACTCCCTCATTGCCCTCATCTTGTTTATCCTTTTCTCCCGCCCAGTACTTGGGTTATAATCCAGCTCTGATTCCTCTTCAGCCCAATACAGCGTCGATCCACACCAATCTAAGCTCAACCCCCACCATGTCTGGAATGAAATCCGTTGCGTATTTCGTCAATTGGGTGAGTCTCTCAATCCTCAATGACCCTTCACTCTTCCTATCAACATCATCCACCACTTCTCTTCTGGTAGCTAACGGTGAACCACAAGGCGATCTACGGACGCAACCATAACCCCCAGGACCTCCCCGCCGACAAGCTGACCCATATCCTGTACGCCTTTGCCAACGTTCGACCCGAGACTGGCGAAGTGTAAGTGCTGGCTTCTCTTTTCCAACCTGTTTCGTAAGAATTGGACACCATTCTGACCTCTGCAGGTATCTCTCCGACACGTGGTCTGACATCGAGAAACATTACCCCACTGACTCATGGAACGATGTGGGAACCAACGTCTACGGCTGTGTGAAGCAACTTTTCCTTCTTAAGCAGCAGAACAGAAAGCTGAAGGTTCTGCTTTCCATTGGAGGATGGACCTATTCCTCCAATTTCGCCCAACCGGCCAGCACCGAGCAGGGCCGAACCAAGTTCGCTGAGTCTGCGACTAAGCTTGTGACGGACCTTGGATTCGATGGTGAGTTTCACTCTTAGAAGAGGGGTCGCAATTCTGACTAGAGTATAGGCTTCGATGTAGACTGGGAGTATCCCAAAGGTAATTGGGTCCTGGCGGTGTCATGCTATGCTACTAGGCTAACGTTATTTAGATGACACTGAGGCACAGAACTTTGTCTTACTCTTGAAGAAGTGCCGCGAGGTAATTTCAGTTTATCAAATGCAAGATGGCGTAGACTGACAAAACGAAGACCTTAGACAAGGCAGCTGGAGCGAACCGAAAGTTCCAATTGACTATCGCTTGTCCGGCTGGTAAGTCGTCTGCTTTGATCCAGATCATCCACCACCGCGACGTTCGCTGATATCCATGCCTTCTTACAGGCTCCGAGAACTACAACAAGCTCCGGCTCACCGAGATGACCCCTTATCTGGACTTCTACAACCTCATGGCTTATGACTACTCCGGCAGCTGGGCCCAGATTGCTGGCCACCAAGCGAACATCAGACCGTCCATGGATAAGCCAGCGTCGACTCCTTTCAACACAGTCCAAGCGGTCGACCACTATACTGGAGCGGGCCAGGTCCCCCCGTCGAAGATTGTTTTGGGCATGCCTCTGTATGGACGTGCATTTACCAACACCGATGGTCCAGGAACTCCTTTCTCCGGCGTGGGACAGGGAAGTTGGGAAAACGGAGTTTGGGACTACAAGGCGCTGCCTAGACCTGGAGCTACCGAGCAACTCGACAGCAACATTGGCGCCTCATGGTGTTACGATTCTGGCTCCCGTACCATGGTGTCGTACGATAACGTCGCCGCCGCAGAAATCAAACGGACGTACATCCAGCAGCGCGGCCTTGGAGGGGGCATGTGGTGGGAAACGAGCGGTGACAAGGGAGGCAAGACGGCCAACAAGGCGGACGGTAGCCTGATTGGAACCTTTGTGGAGGGCGTTGGCGGTGTTTCTGCCCTGGATCAGACGCAGAATGCCATTGACTACCCTGACAGCCGGTATGACAACCTGCGGAATGGCTTCCACTGAGATTGGGGGTTGACAAGTTTGATCCATTCGTGTTGATACTTTGGTACTATCGCTATTATCCATAAGTTGGTTGACTGCAGGAATTCATGACGATTAAACGTTGAGTCTACGTGCAGGAAAAGGGTGGTTTCCGATTTTTATTGATTTTCGGATTCAAGGATGCTACCGGACGAAGTATTCGACAGGATCCTCAACCCCACAACCCATCCACCTATCCCTCCGACATCCTAGCCGTAAAACCAAGCATCACCGAAAGAATGTAGACGGATGGGACGACTCATGAGCCCATTTACTTGGACTCGTCGAAGACGTAGGTGAGGTGGCACTTGCCGCAGTACTGGCGGTTGTGCATAGCAGCCATGAAGATACCGGCACCGCACTAGATAGCCGTTAGTACATGATCATGCACCATTTCGCAGACGGGCGCGGGAAACATACCTCGGGAGAGGGGCACTCGCGGCGCAGACGCTCGATCTTGCCATCGCCGTCCACCTTGTAGTACTTGAGGACGGCAAGCTTGGTCTTCTTGCGCTTGTGCTTGATCTTCTTGGGGGTGGTGTAGACCTTCTTCTTGCGCTTCTTACCACCACCACGCAGGCGGAGCACGAGGTGCAGGGTGGACTCCTTCTGGATGTTGTAGTCCGAAAGAGTACGGCCGTCCTCGAGCTGCTTGCCGGCGAAGATCAGACGCTGCTGGTCCGGGGGGATTCCCTCCTTGTCTGTGGGGTGGTTGAGTTAGCAACCGACCGAGAAAAATCTTGCGAGACGCAAACCTACCCTGGATCTTGGACTTGACATTGTCGATGGTGTCGGAGGACTCCACCTCAAGGGTGATAGTCTTACCCGTCAGGGTCTTGACGAAGATCTGCATCTTGAATGAAGGCCTGGGGGAGAGTTAGTGGTGTTCGGTCACGATTGTGGCTGCGATGGTGATCATCGAGGTCTCGTTTTCTCTGTGCGTTTTGCAAGCTGCAAGGCCATGACTTTGCAAGGTGCGACAGAGAGGAAGGACGTGATCCCCCAAGAAAGGGTATAATGCTGTAGGGGTAGGGTTCAAACTCACCTCGACAAGACTTGTCTTCCTCAACCTTCGTTGCGATCGTGAGGGAAATATCTGGAGTGGAGGGTCTTTTGGTTCGTTAAAATCGGTTGTGTGGTCACGTGGTGCTGGCTTGTCCTGATCGGGTGTAGCGCGGGCACTCGGGTCATCTTTCTCGGAACCCTTGCACGTGATTTTATCTGCTGACATAATTATGCATAGAAATGGGCCAAGGTCCTACTGCTTTGAAAAAATCTATAAAAACTGTTCAACCCCCACAGGCGTCTCTCTTTTTCCGTATCGAATAGATTGTATTCATCTGATTGATATAGATATCAATAAGGCGTTATATATTTGACAACTTAGTGGTATTCTCAGATCCACAACGTAACATACAACAACTTCGAGATACACGCAACTACCAAGCCGTATTGCTCTCAATCATCTGCGTGTGATGGCTCTTCCGTGGAATATTCGTGGGTCAGCATCTTAGCTATATTTCTGTTGATGAATGAAGTGCATACCGAGAATAGGACACCTGTACTTATCCCGAGAGTCAACAAACGATTGCTTGACATTGACGCACGAATCGCAAAGTCATCGTGGAAGCAGACAAAAGAGTATATGGATGCATCTTTGGATGATGGCAGGAATGTGTCTCCAGATTACTGTAATCGACTGCTCCACGATGCATCGGGGCTCAAACATTACTTTTTTTCGATTGTTTCGCCGCTCTCTCGATTTCCCGGCGGTTCTGGGTTGGATTACCTTGTTTTGCTCGGGCATCAGTTTATGATTTGTTGCTGCACATTGGCAGTCGCATCTATGGACACTCGCTCTCAATGACCGTGTTCAAGTTGCCATTTGGACTGTATTTGCGAAAGGGGTCCCCCAATAACACCGAAATACCATACCGAAGCTCACACGCTCCGCATGGTCGAACAATCAAACCATATTCCTGCGCCATTAGCGATTGATGACTTGGAGACCTCGCGTTCTGCTTACCTGCTCATGACGTGTGTTCCGGGACGCCCCATTGGCCACATACTAGATTCAATGAACGACAAGCAAGTAAAGCAAGCCGTGAATGATCTGAAGCATTATGTTTCCGAACTTCGAAAACTACCGCGCAACCAACCAGAATTTCAAATCTGCAATTCTCAGGGTGGCGGCATTTGGATTGGCGACTGCCTGACAGCCAGAGCGAAGAGCTACGGCTCAAGAGTGAGAGTGATTCAACAAGTACTTGATCGGCCCTTTCGGGGAAGAGGTTCGAAAGCGTGGTGCGTCGCACGATATACATCACGAAATAGTTTTCACCCACGAAGACATGAACCCTAAAAATATTCTGGCAGAAACGGCAAGATGACTGGAATTGTCGACTGGGAAAACGCAGGATGTTTCAAGAGTATTGGGAGTATAAGGGCACACTACACCGTCCGAAGCGTGAGGCGTTGGCTCCATGACGTCGTTGACCGAGTGTTTGACGGCTACCGCGATGAATCGCGAGTGGAGAATATGCTGTCCGATCTCCTCGGCCCATTCTGACCGTCAGGAAGCATCGGTTCATATTGTTGAAGTTCCGGAGTCTGCGTTTTGTAGGTCCATAGAAGCTATGGTTGTGTTTTGCTTCTCTTAAAGTTCAAAGTCCGGACTCCTTGATCCCTACTGCACCCCAATAATTCGAGAAAATGAAGGAAGCTCCTTGATTCCAGACAACTGAAGACGGGGCAATATATTGCAATTAATTGACCCCTTCGGTGCGAGTCGCAACAGAGGGCGGAGTGGCAGCGTCATCGCCACTAGTTTCATCCCTCCCAAGCTGCTATCGAGGCCAGATTGACGCCAATTATTACCCGCCTGTCGAAGTTTTTGCAGTACCCAAGGGCGCACCATGAGATATAATGTCTTACGCCCTCACCGACGGGAAGAGGAAGCAGCATCCGAAAGGGAGGCCACTCCTTACCGACGGATGGAGCGGACGGATCGCAGGCTTAATCTGCGTTTGGGCCAGGGGACTAACGAGTTAACGAGTTAGGCTGGTTTCCCCGACGGCCCGTTGCTGGGCCAACGCCGCCATTGTTGATCGGTTCCGTGGGCGGCGATCGCGATAGCCTCATCAGCTCCATCCACCTTTCCCTGGTTCCCACCTCTAAATACCGTCACTTCCTTTGTCTCGCCCTCGGATCCTCTTCTCCCAGATCCTTGAGCTCCATCCATTCTTCGCAATTTCTGCGCGACCTAAGTGTCCTTCACTTGCGCTCTACATCTTCCGTTTGTCTTGAAGATCTAGAAGCTGTCGCCGGGCCTTTGATAGATCTCCTGCAGAGAGCGATCGAATCCACCTGACATTGCTTTTCTTTCGCACTCTCTGATCTAGCCCGCTTTTAGTTTGTCTGCTTTGTTTTAGAGGACACAGACTGACACGTTTGACAGGGCGGTTCCATTACCATCTGCTCCCAGCCGCACGGCGAGCGCTGCGTGAGGTGAGTGTCTCGAATCTATGGACATGCTGCACCCATCGGAGATGCTTACATCTGCATCCAGATCGGTTTATTCTATCGGCTTTGACTCGCGACGAGGGGTCCATCATCATGCTATCCACCCAGCACCGAAATTCGCATGACCGGCACCGGCAACATCGAAGGCAGATTTCCACCCCTTCTGCCATTGACGCCGCGAAAGCTCCCTCCCTGCCGGCGCAGGCATTGCATCGATACCATGCTCATCGCCGAGGCCAGAGTTTCGACCAACGATCTCTACATGTTCAACGACCGCAGACCATGCACGATGGTAACGTTTCAGCTACTAACAACACAGGACCGCAGACGGTGATGGGAGAAGTGCAGCAGCTGCAACGTTTCGGACCCACAGGACACTCAGGCTATCACCAACACTCGGCTTCTATGCCGGTAATGCCCGAGTGCCAACCATTGAGCCAGGAAGACTTCCAGACCCTGGGCAATCGCAATGTCCCAGACAACCAGACCGCCATGACCTATATGACGCCCGCGCTGCACCTCAACATGATGCAGCAGCAGCAGCAGCTTCAACACGCAAGAGTGCATTCCAACAATGCGCTTGATGGTCAGCTTCTCGAGAATGGTCCGTGGGACATGTATCAGCACGACAACCTTGCTGCGCCGCTCCCACAGCAACCCAACACCATTCCCGCGGGCTTAAGGCGTCTGTCAGCTCAATCAGAGACCACTCCTGCGCAACGACCACTCACTCCGAAGCATAACAATACCAGTAAGCCTCGTTCATTGGTTCAATTGATGAATCATCCTAACAACTACTTAGATTACCTTCCTATCACCCCTGCCACAACGCCCTTTAAAAAATCAGTGGATCTTGCCCAGTACAGCGGCGAACTCCATTCAACTCCCACCAAGGACCAGAGCCTTTCCGCACCCGGCTCTTCCCAATCGTTCATGCAACGTACGAATTCACTCCAAGGAGTGGCTGGAACAACATTCTCCCAACCCAAGCTTGAAGTCCCCTCCCCCCCAAACACTGCGTCATTTGATGTGGACAGCTTCGATGCTTTTGACTATCAACAGGAATCCAGTTATGAAATCCCCAAGTCTGAGAGCCTCAACCATTATGCCTCGTCGTTGGCGTCGTCATCATTCAACTCATCCCCGGAACTCGCGGCTATGCCGTGTCCACAAGACGGCGGTAGAGCGCAAAAGCTCCCCATCTACCCGGTCACACCAAGTCGCACAAACATGAAGAAGTCTCCCAGCGTCACCTCCAACTCGTCCGCGTCGAAGCCAAAGCTCTCTCCAAGGGTCGCAACCATTGACAGCCTCAACCTGGATGCCAGAGTCCATGCATCCATCAAAGAAACTGGCGTCACAATCGACGAGATTGCCTCGTACATAAGCGGCCCTGATCCAGAGGACGGAAAATGGGTGTGTCTGCACCCAGGATGCGAGCGTCGGTTTGGAAGAAAAGAAAACATCAAGTCCCATGTTCAGACCCATCTGGGTGACCGTCAGTACAAGTGCGACCACTGCAACAAATGTTTTGTCCGCGGCCACGATCTCAAACGCCATGCCAAAATCCATACCGGTGACAAGCCGTACGAGTGTCTCTGCGGTAATGTGTTCGCTCGACACGACGCATTGACGCGCCACCGACAACGGGGCATGTGCATCGGTGGTTACAAGGGAATCGTTCGCAAGACAACGAAACGTGGTCGCCCCAAGAAACATCGGCCCGAGATGGACGAGAGACAAGATAAGGCATCTAGAACCCGCCAGCGGCTCGCCGAGAAGACATCTTTCGACTCCTCCAGCTCAGATATCTCTCGCAATTCTCCCCCATCGGAGGTACTGGAACAAATGAGCCTTCACGGCTCTAGCCCCGCCGAACAGATGCCGGTATTCCATAATCCAAACTACTCGCTGCCTCCGGAGGTCTTTACGTTCACTCCTCCTGCATCCCCTGGCGGTAGCGCTGGAAACAACCCTTCTCCAAGCCACAGCCAACGCTCCCTCACGCCTAGCACCGAGGACGAAATGCCACCTTTGTCACCTTCCAAGCAACCTCTGTCAAAGATTGTGGAAGAATCTGGCTTGCCTCTTATGCCCGATTGTGCATACACCAATGCCACCAACTCAACCATCAATGCTTTGTCGTCCCCGCATACCGCACCCACCCTGAGTGATGCTTCAAACGGCTCCGATCTTGACATCTTTATCAGCCAAGATCCGTCCACCGGCTTCGGCAAGCATGAGTTTTCCGACCTCACTGATTCCGACATGGCGGCATTCCCTGACTATGTGAACGGCTCTTCCTTCGAAGGCGGAATGGACCTCTTCCAAGGAAAGGGGTTCTCCAATGCTCCCCCAATGAGCGACGACTTCTTCTCCTTCCAATTTCAAGTTGACGAGCAACCATCCGATGTTATGACCCGCGATTTCTTCATGGATTAAACGAATCCCTCCGGGCCACTCCCGAACGATCAACGAAAGAAGGGAAAATTTTCTCAAGAGACGATGACGACGCGACGACTGGGACTAACGGCATGCAAAATCTCTCACGACTTAGGATTGAACGACTGGAAACTATGCATGATATTTCAACTGCACGACTGTACTATTCAACGACCATGAACCAATTTGCCCACGACAAATGATTAGCACCTGTGACAAAAGATTTCGGGTATATCAATCTTTCATTATACCTTATGTGAATGTTGCTTCCACTTACTCCATTTGAACGATTTTATGTACGAACAATGCTGGAATTTGCAGAAGGACTCTGCCAAAACGGAGTTCTGCAGGCCACTTGCTTTTTGATTGTTTTGATTTTCTATGCCAGACTGTTCTTCTTTTTGTTTGTCCATTTTACTCTCATGATGTTTATGCCATTTGTTTTTTAAGCCTGTACCAATCGCTCTGAATCTTGTTTCTGCTACGGTTTCCGTTAGATACTCTAATCCTTGGTGGTGCGCCGTTTTGTACTCTAGCTAGCTATAGAATTCACTGAACAAAAAAGAAAGACAAAAGACACTTCATATCAATAATGTAGTTTCTAGACAAGTAAGCTCTATTGCAGCTCTATGTGTAATGCAGCTATAAAATTCAATCCCCGTGTCGACAGGGCACGCAGATAGTTCTGGAGTCTGACCCGTAAGTGGACAACAGCACATCAAGACGTCTCTTTCCAAGTGATAGTCAGTTCAATGGGATGATCTTCCTCCGAAGCGTACACTTTACTTTGTATAACGCCCTTCGGAGCCTTGTCGGCAAAGAATGTCGTGTTCCCATTATAGGACAGCTTAGTATCGTCGACCTGCAACAGCGCGTGAGCACCTCTCCAGGCAAGCCATGCGCGCACAAGTGAAAGGACTAGGTACTCACGCTGAATTCCGCGGGGCGGGTGATGCGCGGCCCGCAGCTGAACACGTCCTCATCAAAGCCACAGGGGCCCTTACTGGACTGTAGGGTGAATGCCTCATCGGCAGAGCCAGCCACCGGTCTCGTCTTGAAGGTTGCGCAGGTACCGGAGGTGTACCACGTCCCGCGGCTGATAATGCAGCCTCTGCGCTGGCCCATCGTCGAGACGACTAGGTTGCCTCTCCCCGAGAAGGGGTTGCCGGGCTGGGTTGGCTCGGACGGTCCCCGCGTCTTCGTGGGTTCGTGCTTAGGAGGCGTCTTGGGCTGGTAGCGGATGCCTCTGGCGGGGCAGTTGGAGGTCTGGCCGTCTGGCCGGCTGGGGAGGAAGGACCCCGATTGCACTGGCCCGGCGACGTTGAAGTAGTACCAGATCTCGTTGAGGGTGTGGCCGCGACAGCGGATGGTGACCTCGGCGCCGTGAGCTTTGGCCAGGGCGTTTTCGATGTCCTGGCGGGTGTAGGTTTCTGTATAGGAGGGGACGATGGCGGCGTCGGCGAGGGTCTGGGGGTGGTTAGTCTTGGGTATTTGCTTGCAGAGGGGAGGACAGACTTGGTAAGTGGGCAGGGTGCGGAAGAGCTCCATTGTCGTGTCGAAATAGTCTACGACCTCGCGCTGCGGGTAGTAGTCCTCGTAGCAGTGGGTTTCGAGCGTGCTGATGCAGGTCCCGTGTTTGTTCCACTCGTGTTCCCAGAGCGTCGGGTCGTCGCCACGGAAGTCTTTCCAGTACCGGCTCATGTCGTCGAGGAGGTCGCGGCGGCCGGCGTCGACCAGGATCAGGGAGATGTTGCTGTACTTCCGCGAGGAGTCGCAGAATTGGTCGAAGCCGCCATTGCAGTAATCGGGCCTAGAGAGGATATATAGATCAGGAGCCCGTCCAGCTGGTAATAACACGCGGTACCGCTCTCGTCGTGGCGAGGGTTCAAGCTCACCAGAGGCCATGGATGGTCCAGGAGTCATCGGGACCGACGGCGGGATCGGCGTCCCAGAACTGGGTTTGGAGGAACTGTCCGCCTGGGTAGTTGAAGCAGCAGGTGTCTTGGCCGTGGTATGAGGTCTGACAGCTCAGCTCGGATTTGGAGCAATGCTGAAATGTGCTCTGAGATGGATCGGAAGCTGGAGCAGAGAGAGAACTGAGGCCTAGTGAGCCGGCGATGGCTTGTAGGACCTGCTGTGGTCCTGGGATAGCTTGGAACATCGTCGTCGACCTTATCAAGATTGCGGTGGAGCTGGTAGACTGCGGAGTCCGTATGTGATGGTGACACGCCTCGATGTGCCTAAACGAGTACAGTTATGGGTTTCACGCAGAGACGAGCTTGTAGTTTCTTGGGAGAGCAATGTCAAGAGAAGATGAGGGAATTAGAACAGAGGAAATGGTGAGGTTGAGGTACAGCGCATGACGCATGGAATGCCTCTCGCCCCATGACCCCTGACTAAGCGCCCCTTGTGATCTGCCCGCTGATAAGCGATAGGCGATCATTGATTAGATAGCCGATAACGCAAGGTACAGCACATACACAAGTCAAGGAGAGGGGTATCATTCATAAAGAAATCTCTAGCTAATCTATATATCACAAGCTGTTCAGCTCTCCATGGCGGTCTGTACCTCTTTCTCATGTACTCGCTCCTTCCATAGCCTGAGTACTTCGAATCCGACTTCAACAGCAATGAGAAGGATAATGATCCACTCAAGACGGAGCCCATGCGTCTCGCTCAGCCTCTCCCGGAGAACACTGGCAATTTCCTGCGCATAGTCCATCTTCTCATTCAAGAGCTTGATGCGGATCCCAACATCAAGTGCCCTTCCCACCTGCTCGTAGTACCCCTCCAGGCCCAGCTCATGTCGGCTGTCCCAGAAGAGATCTGGCAAAGAGTCTGTGAGTTCGGAATAGAGATTCAGCTGGGCCCGCACGCTCAACAACTGTCCTGTCTTCCGGAGAATAAAGTCTCTCGTGAAGGGAAGACGAGAGCCCTGCGATAAGAGTGTGGGGATCGCCCGCGTGGATTCAAAGTAATTCGCAAGAAGAGTTTCCAGCACCGCCAACTTTGTACTTCGAGCCAGTCCTGACGAGAAGGCCACCTTCGTCAGGACCGTATCTACAGTTTGCCGTTCAGATAGTTGCGATCCGCTTGCAACGCCCGTCGGCTTGGTCCCCAGGATTATCGTGTCGCCCTTGATGCTGCTGTTCTCTCGTTGTGGATCCTCAACATACTCGAGATCTTCCGTCTCGAGATCGTCCACATGCGCCCCCTCAGCCGCTGGAAGCAAGGTTCGAGTCGCCAGAAAAGATGTGAACCCCTCCGGCAGCGACCAGGCCACCACCGTACCTGACGGAAAAACGAAGATGTCGCCAATCTCGTCCGAGGACAAATCGGAGGTCGTTGGGTTACTCACGCGGCGGATCGAATCGAGGGGAACTTGGACATGGACAACTTGTGGATATAGGCCGGTTTCGAGGGGGTCGGGCTCATAGCCTTTTTCTTGTAGGATGTCCCGAACTTTCCGGATGTTGAATTGCTCAGCCACGGCGTAGGCGGTCACTGCCTTTGATTACAATGTTAGGGAGAATCTAGGATAGATAACGGAGCGGATACCTTAGTCTGATGTAGCCCTTGCTCCTTGAGCTGGGCTTTTGACAAGAACCCATCTCTCGACCTCTGCGCCTCCACGGCGACTCGACGTAGAGATGTGGGCGCCGCCGGAGATCTTGTCCCCCTTCGCCGTTGTTTCTGAGCTTCTTGCAGAGCCTCTTCTGCCGCATCACCAGACCGAGACTGTCTTTGGCTGAGGTATGCATTGGAGGAGAAGAAATCTTTTCTCCTAGGTAGGCTTAGCGGACATGACGCATGGAGGCACTGGCTCTGCGGAAGCTTCTGTAGCCGTTTCACCGCCGGCCGCTTGAATATAGAACAGGCATAGGGTCTCGCAAACATTGATAAAAGGAAGGCAGAAAAGCAGAAGGAATTGAGATGAAAAAAAAAATTCAGGATTTTGGAGAGATGAGGTGGACTTCAAGTTATGTCAGGATAGCAACGGACCGCGGCGTTTGAACGCTTGCAACCGGCGTCCGCTGAGTCATCAGCTCCCAGCTACCCCAGCTTCCCGCCCGCAACAGCTCCGTTGGACCTCCCCTCTTCGATGACGTTTTGACCGCCGGAAAGCCACAAGGCACACGAAATACAATCGCCATGGACGCGCCTGGCGCGACGGAGCCAGAGGGTGGAGTTCGCTCTGAAGAGCTGTCCGATGCGGCATCTTCTATGCAAGAGACGGATTCCCAGCGCAATCGCTCCGCACATGTACACGACGGTAGCGACCGCGATTCAGAGACTCAGGACGAGGATGTGGAACACGAGGGCAGCGCGGAAGAAGACGAGGAGGACGATGATGAACCGCATCTTAAGTATGCACACTTGACCAAGCATCTTGGTGGAGTCTATCGCAACGGAGATGCAACCAGCTCCTTTCTCGCAGCCGCAGATAAGATGGTATGATACCTGATAAGTTGCAGACCTGATCCGTAGCTAAACCAATACTTGCAGATTATCGGAACGCATAATGGGAATATCGTACGTACCATACATCCTTTGAGGAGCTGGCGGATGCTAACGCACGACAGCACGTACTATCAATACCTCTATTACACTCCCTTCGCGTCTACCACGCCCATTCTGCGAGCATAACATGCATTTCGATCTCGCCATACCCACCTCCACTCCCTACCTTACGAGCCGAGAATCTCAGCAGAGTAACTGAAGACCAAGGCTTCTCGGCGCCGTCCTCCAGCGGGGGAAGCATCCGAGGTCAATCGAGAACGAGTCACCAGTCCACTCTCCCTGCAACCCCGTCAAATTCCATATATATTGCGACGTCGTCGATCGATGGGAATGTTTGTGTTGCATCTTTGGTCGATCCGAAAGATGTCCTTTTGCGTAACTTTGGGCGACCAGTCCAGGCTGTCGCCTTGTCCCCGGATTACAAGAGCGACAGGACTTTCTTGTCGGGAGGACGCGCTGGCGACTTAATCCTCACTACTGGAGGAAGAGTCGGCGTAAGCACGAATTCGACGACAATGGGAGGTGCCGCAGCCGCAGCTACAAGCTGGCTGGGTTCGATAGGCCTCGGCGCAAACACGGGCAAGGACACCGTATTACATAGTGGCGAGGGGGCCATCAGCACAATTAAATGGTCACTGTCAGGAAAATATGTGGTATGGGTCAATGAGGAGGGAATCAAGATCATGCGTTCAAACTTGCGCCTGGAATCTTCCGACACAGAACTCGCCTGGAAACGAATCAGCCATATCGACCGGCCTAACCGGCCTGGATGGGAGGAAATGGCTAGTGTTTGGAAGGCTCGCGCTGAATGGGTTGATCAAATCGCTTTGAGCAATGACGACTCTCCTCACAGCAAGTCGGGTGCTCATCATGGCGGTCCGACCAGGATCCCACCAGTCATCCAGGAGGAGAATGTTGAAAAGCTGGTAGTCGGTTGGGGAGGAACAGTCTGGGTGATCAACGTATACCCTGACCGGCCGAACAAGAACATTAAAAACCACAATATTGGGTCTGTGGAGGTTTCCACCATGTGAGTTTGGCATCGTGCTATATCTAGCAGTGAGAGAAGCTAACAACCCACAGACTACGGACTGATTGTGTTATATCTGGCATTTCGCTATATACGCCGAATCTTTTGGTTGTCCTTGGCTATATTGAGGCAGACAATGATGCCTCAGAGGAGGAGATGTCGAAACTAGGTCTTCGCCCAGGAATGCGCCGCCGCCCACGGGGACTGGAGCCTGAGCTTCGCATAATCGATATCGACACCAAGGAAGAGATTAGCGCCGATACCCTTTCGGTTAGTCGATACCAGACGCTCACTTCTTCAGACTACCACATGTGCGTGCTTCCTCCTTGGAAGGCGAACGTCCCAGTGCACCAACGTGGAGCGCTGGAGAGTCTAGGAACTGGATTCTGGGACGCGACCATGTATCCTGCGCGACTTTTTAGCTCCGGCGCAAGCATCCGCAGTACGACAAGCAGTGGCGATAAAGGTTCTAGCAAAGCACCTAGCATGTATGCTTCACGGAGGATACCTACTGAGGAACCACTATCCAAGGAAGTGCAGGATGTTGCAAAGAGTGTCGGGGCCAAGATATTCATGCACAGCCCTTATGACTGCGTTGCGGCCCTGAAACGAGATCTTTCAGATCGACTCGCATGGCTGGACGAGCATGAACAGTACGAGGACGCTTGGAAGCTTCTTGACGAGCATCCAGAAGCCGCAGGCCCTGGGAACGGGAACGATGCCAACGACAGCATTGCCGGCACTCCCGGAAAGTCTCAAAGTAGCTTGGGTGATTTCTTTGCTGATGACAGGTCGTCCATGACAACCACTGGCCGGGGGACCACTTCTGCGGCGGAATATGAAAAGCGCCGTATCGGTGAGCTCTGGATTGAGCAGCTCGTTGATGCCGATAAATGGGAGGAAGCTGCAGGGGTATGTGCGAAGGCCGTCAATACCACACCGCGGTGGGAACACTGGATCGACACTTTCATCAAGAATGACAAGGTAGATGAAATATCCACTGTTATTCCTGTTGATTTACACCCGCCACTGCCTTCGAACCTCTATGAAACCATTCTCAAGCATTATGTTTCTCGGGACCGATCGAAGTTCAATGGACTGCTTGAATCGTGGCCATTCGACCTTTTCGACGTCGATAACGTGACAGAAATCATTGACAATGAATTGCGATTTAGCGCAGTCGAACCCGACAGCGATGACTGGCGCCTCTTGACGAAGTGTCTCGCTAAGCTGTATCTTGCAGGGGGCCATTACGGCGAAGCTCTTCGCTGTTATATCCGGCTGCAGGATGCAGATACAGCAATGACTCTGATTAGAGATCATCGCCTCCTGGATACTCTGTCCGATGACATTCCAGCATTCATCATGATTCGAGTATCCAAGGAACAGATGAAGTCTGCACCCGTGTCTGAACTTGAAGAGGTCACCGCAGAGCCGATTAAACTCCTTGTCAGCGAAGCCTACACTGGTATCGTGCGTCCCGACACGGTGGTCGAGCAACTGAAAACGGCAAACAGACTCCTCTTCCTGTACTTTTACCTCCGAGCTCTTTGGCGTGGAGAGTCCCTTCCTCATGGTGCCGCGAAACCGCGCCGCGGCCACGGCGCCCACATCCGCGACGCAGCAAACAAGCTGGCCGCAGACGAAGGAAAAGCCCTGGTCGACAATTTCGCCGACACTGCCGCGGAATTATTTGCCGATTACGACCGTCCTCTCCTGATGGAGTTCCTCCAAACCAGCATCGCCTACTCCTTCGACTCGGCCGTTACCATCTGCGAAAACCGCCACTTCACCCCGGAGCTCATCTACCTCCTCTCCAAAACCGGACAGACCAAACGGGCTCTGAACCTGATCCTCTCCGACCTCAAGGACGTCTCGCAGGCTATCTCCTTCGCCAAATCGCAGGATGACCCCGACCTGTGGGAAGACCTTCTGGACTACTCGATGGATAAACCGCGGTTTATCCACGGCCTCCTGGTCGAAGCCGGCACGTCCATCGACCCCATCAAGCTGGTCCGACGGATCCCCAGCGGTCTGGAAATCGAGGGTCTGAGAGAGGGGCTCACCCGTCTGATCCGGGAACACGACCTGCAGGCCAGCATCAGCCAAGGCGCCGCCAAAGTCCTACAGAGCGAAGTCGCCGTTGGCATGGATGCCTTGCGCCAGGGCCAGCGCCGCGGGATCAAGTTTAACATCGTCGAGGACGCCACGTCGCCGACATCCGATGGCTTCAAAGACGAGACAAAGGACGATACCGCCTCGGAAAAGACATCTGCACCATCTCCATCCCGCGCATCGACCGCGTCGCGCGCCGGAACTTGTGCCGGCTGTCATCATTCTTTTCACGCGAATGGTACGTGCATGCTTGTCATCTTTTACATCCCGCTACAGGCTGACCGGTTGCTTACTTGTATTACAGAGAAGGAGATCCTCGTCGGATTTGCCTGCGGCCATATCTTCCATCTTTCACATGTTCATCCGACCGAATCCCCTACATCCACCCCCGAAAGCCGCTCGGCTGCTCAGACTCCCAGACCACTTCCTCCCTCTCGCACCCCCACACTCGATGACTTGTCCCTCTCCACGTCTAAAACAGTCGGTCCAAAGGTGACGACTGCGCGACTGCTGCGGGATCGGATCGGGGACGGGTGCCGGATCTGCGCGTTGGGAAAGGATCTTGACGCCATAGGGGAGACGGAGACATGAATGGTGACCGAGGGTGGACGACGGCTGGTACCGCAGAATATAAGCTTTGTTTATCAGGAGATACCCATGGAAATATAATCTACTCGGAGAATGGTTGTGCAAAGATAGAGTAAATTCAATTAACTTGAACGGACACCCGCCGTTGTGTACACATCGGTTGAAACATGACTGGGAGCAAGCCAAGTAAGGGATTAGGGCTGCGTCCCATAGTAGTAAGAAACGAAAATTGCACAACGTAATTTCATGTGGATGATCTGGTCATATCAGATGATGCTGAAACTTCATAAAGCCCTGCCCCACAAACCTGATTAGACGGCGAGGAAACCAAGGAACGTAGCAAGCATAGCCAGAATAGCTGCGTTCAGTCTTCCCTGAGTGACAGCATCACCGGTTTGGGGCGGAGCAGTGGAAGAGGATGTAGAGTGGGCCGTGGTGGTCGACGAGGCTCCCTTGTGAGTAGTACTGTGAGTGTGAGTGCCGGTCAGAGTAGTCTGGTGCTCGCCAGAGGAAGAAGTATGGGTAGAGGCTGTAGAAGACACTGACGACCCGGTTGGGGCAACGGTAGTGGGCGCCGAGCTCGCTGAGGTAGCGGAGCCTGACGAAGCTGACGAACTTGCAGACGGAGGCACGGGGACCAGGGTGGGAGCAGTAGTAGGAACACTAGTCACAGTGGAAACCCCAGTCGTAGTGGAAAGGCCGGTTGGAAGAGTCATCGTTCCAGACAGGGTTGGATGAGTTTCGGTGGGAAGGGAGGCGGTTGTGGTCAGAGTCGTACCCGGAAGAGGCGCAGTCAGAGACACGGTGCTGGTCGGGACTTTAGTTCCACAGTCAGTGTCAGTGACGGTGGTTATGGCTGAGGACCCATAAGTATGCAACGTCGAGTTGAAGGTAGACCTGAGAGAAAAGATTCACTTACCATTAGGATGAGCGTGTTCCTGGCGGGGAGCGACTCTGGGCTCAGCCATGGGATGTTCTAGAGCAGCGAAAGTATCTCGTCAGCGTGGTCTACCTCGGTGAGTCTAGGGAGTTAGAAGATCTACCAGCGAAGACATCTATGCCTGAATAGCCCCCGAGATCATTGGCCATGATATTGTCTGTTGAAGTCAGTGGGATGTTGACCGGCGAGTCTGGAAGAAGTAGGAAGTACTCACGGCTGGCGAGGGCGGTGACTGCGAGAAACCAGACACCCACGCAGAAGACGGTCTTGATGAAGGCGATGGAGTCCATTTTCGAGGAGTGAGTGCGGAGTTGAGGCTGAGCTGGTAGAGCGTGTATGATGAAGAGATGGAATGAGCGACGGGAGATGGAAGATGATGAAAAGGAAGATGGAGGATGAAAGAAGAGGAAGAAGAGAAGAGAAGAGAAGAGGAGAGGACAAGAGAGAAAAGAAAGGGGTCAGGTGCTGGTGCAACAGAGTGGGAAGGTGCAGCTCGAGCAGTTACCCAGTGCGACATCAGAGGGACTTCTTCATCCTGCTATACAACCAGGGACAGCATGTACCCCGGATGGGCGGTGCACCCCGGCCCCAAACAATGAAATCGAGGTATAACTACCTACCTATGTACTCCATGTGCCTGTGCCTGATGACATGACGGGATCATCATGGGTCCAAAAGCACATGGAGCCGTTCCTGATCGACAGAAAATCAGGGACAAGACCTTGTCAATCGTGCCAATCTTGCCACCGGCTCTGTCACTCGAGCTTCCATGCTTCTTCCATGTACCAGTAGCCGAGATCGAACGCCAAACAAGCTTATTTAGCCTCTACCTGACGTGAAATACAGGTGGAATAGGTATGTTGGAGACATACTCCTGGAGCCATCCACCAAACCAGCCGAATGCATCTCAACAGCATGATACACCCACGATAGACCATATCGACTGGTGCGAGCCAACTAGTCAGGCGTAAATGCTCCGAACCAAAAGAGTGTCGTGTATGTTCCAGCCGACCAGCGCGGTTCCAAACGCCGGCGGTAAAACCAAACGGTGTACTCCGTATAGTAGGTAACGGAGGAAAAACGGAACGGAAACCAAACGACGGCATCATTACCGCCGGCCAATGGCCCACATCGGCACGATCCGCGTGGAGGCTGCGCTGTTCCAAGGAAATCGCCAATTGCCTCTGCACGATGACGCCATGGCGCTGTCCCAACCGACTGGTTCCTGGCCTGGGGCAGGGGAAACAATGTGCTCCGTCGACGTCATTCCGCTGGCGCGTTAGAGCGGAACAGAAGATTGCCCACATTAAGCGAGCGGGCACCCAAGACCACTCAGACCACTTCCACTTCAGACGCAGGCTACTATACGGAACACACTGGAGTTCTCTAATTTTGGTGAGAGGAACATTCAATATTGAGCCACCAATGCACACTACCCCTGAAGACTGGATGTATGTACGTATGCCCCATGTCCCCTCCGTGTACTCCTACACCGGCGAGGAACAACAAGCGCAGATCTCGGATATCACACAGCAGGCGAACGGTCCAGAACCGCTTAGCGCCGCACTGGCGAAGGGACACTAACAAAGGGGGTCCATCCATACCGCTTCGAGTAATCGCACCAGTGGGACTCTTTTCCGTCGTACCCGGGATTATCTACCGGTATCACCCTGCGGATGCGATTGGGTCCGCCTCCGTCCTCGTATGGCACTAGCCCATACCGCCGCCGTACGCGCCATACTCCATGGTTGAGACAGATATCTCTTGGCATTCGCATCGCTTCCAGACCCTTCTCGCCTGCCCGTCATGTTTCTACAAGTACCGACCCATGAAAGATAGTCGACTAGTGGGATCGCAAGGGCCGGTCGTCCCTGAATCCGAGCCAATGGCAGCCCGACAAGACAACAGCCTAAGAGGATTAAGGTGATTTTCAATTCGACATACTATCTATGCATGGCCTAGCCCGTGTACTCTGAACCAATGCCTGTATGAAGTCATAAACAAAGACGAAGAACGGACAACAAAAGAAAAAACGACATCTGTTCTCGATCTTTTGCGTGTTTCGAGGGTCCCCTCACGCACGGCCCCATGCGCTTGCGCACAGTGCCCGGGGAGTAGACAACCCCAATCAAGAATTGAGAGTCGCAATCTAGCAAGTCTTTCCGCAATCCTATCCGCAAAGACTGAATTCTCGGAAGAGCTTGTTGACTGAAATCGCCGATCGTAACTCATAAGACTGAAATCAATCGAAACTGGACGGTAGACAGACAAGAGACGAAGAAAACAGCCCGACACAAAACACAATGCAGCGCGATGAAAATGGAACAGGGTATCTTTTTCGTGTGCGTGGTTCCCTAACCAAATCCTCGAGAATCACAGCCATGATTAATGAAATAACAGTCAGAAATCGTGTATCCCTAACAGAGAAAAGGAAAATATGAAAAAAAAAAAAAAGGAAAACCAATATCGCTGGCAAGATGTGATCGACAATATCGTAACTATGGCACAAGAATGGCGTGAAAAATAACAGATCAAAAAAAAATGCAGATATAACGACAGGGTATCATTGCTCGAGGACTCGTGTATTATCCCCGTACCCAACTCCCCCTCAAAGCACAAAAACAAACACGGATTAAACCCATCGTAAGAAAAGCGGATCAGAGAGTCAACTTTGGCAAGCAGCAATGTAACTCGCAGCGCACCAGGCGCCGCTCGTCCTCGTCTGCTCCGTCAAGCCGAGCGCGGCGGAAGGAAGAGAAAAATGGGCCAAGAATGACAAGAATCGAAAGGAAAAAAGGCGCTTTTAAGAAGTTGCAGCTCGTGCACGTTGGCGTGAACCTAGTAGCTCAGCTTGACTTCAACGGCGGGAGTTGAACTCTTCTCGGTGGGGGAGATGGCTTCGTCACAGGCTGAGGCTGGAGCAATCTCAACAACCATATCCTGGCCGTCGGGAAGCTCGCGGACGACATCATCGTCCACCATGATCTTGATGCCATTGTCCTTCTTGACGTGAACAACACGCAAAATGCGGTTAGGGTCTATCCGTTGCTTCATCGAGATCTGGCGCATCAGGTCACCCACGGTGCGCTCGGTCAAGTAGACAGCCCGATAGTAGTCGTCCTGAACCGGATCGCCTCGAGGGAAGCGGACATAAAAGCACGCAATCGGCTTGGCCGGACGCTCTTCCGGGGGTCGGTATGTGGGGTCGATGCCCACCGCTTCAATAAATCCTTGCGGCATGTCCCCAGCAGAAGATAGTCTTTGCACCTTCACCGGATGTCTCAGCAGCACTCGATCGCCACCAATCTCGGAGCAATGACGCGAATTGTCCGCGGATGCGCTCAGAGAAGCCTGGAATCCCGAATCGTAGAAAAGGCCCGGCTGCTGAAGGCTCGACGCCACATGAGCGGGCGAGTTTATGGACATAGAACTGCTCGTGGGAGACAAGGTCTGGAGACCCGGCTTGGTTTCGATGCTGAATTGGCCCACCTCCTTCTTGACAAAGCTGTGCGGATCGGGAAGCTTGACCGGAAACAAATCGGGATCGTCTTCCTCTTCGCCACGCAGTCCGAGGATGCTCACTGTTCGAGTCGACCCGAACATTTCGTTCATCAAGGCCAGTTTGACACGGAGGTCATCCTCCATGCTCATCTTCTCGGGAGCCTCCTGCGAACCCATCGACCAAGTCCGTTTATGTTTCGTGATCTTCGACGGGCGAGGGTCAGTGTTCTTGAGGGCGATCGAGCCACTGCTGCGCTTCCGCTTGCCGTAGTTCCCAGCGCCCATCTCCGCTTGTGCAATTTGTTGGTTGAGCTTCTCGATGGTCTTCTTCACATGGGCGACGTCGTTGGATAGTTTCCGCTCCGCGCCATGGTCGCGGAACAATTTGACTTTGCAATAGCAAACTTCCGCATCACCACCGCTGGTACCGGTCTGCTCGTCTGGAACAATCATCTCCGTCTTCGCACACAGTCTGACCGGGATCCCTTTCACACCTTTCGAATGGCTGAAATCGGTGGAGAGAAAGTTGAATCGGACGGAGATTGCGCAGTCCGGCACCCCAGTAGTCGGGCTTGGGGTCCACGTAACACAAAAGCCATCGAATGAAGAGCTCTCCAGCTGGACAGGGCGGTTCTTTTGGCCCTCAATACCGCCTTGGATGGGATCGACATATTCGACCGCCTGAAGTTTGCCACCACGTTGATGAGCCTCGTTCGATCCGCGCCCCTCCTTCCACAGCTGCCAGCAAGCAGCGGGTTTCGATCTCTGTTCTTTGTCTTGGAAAGAAACCCGGATATACGTCCGGTACTTCACTGGTTGATGGCTGATGGGCGGCGGCGCGGTGTCGATCACTGATATGGAATAGGCTTGGCCTTTGTTGAGATATGACACGGGGATTTCGTTTCGATCCTTGACCATTGCGGTTGGTGCGCGCAAGGTGACATGATAACGGAATCTGACAGTGGCGAGACGAGTTAGACAGCGCAATCGAAGGTACGGGGCCAGATGAGCCCGAAGCAAGACTCACTTTTCACCCATGGACTGATCCTCCATCTGATTCAGATGCTGTAACGTTGGCGCCATGGTCTGAACACTACCCTGCATGTCCATATCATTCAGCGACAGTCCATCCACCTGATCTTCCATGGCATCGTAACCTGAATCTTGAACAAATGGGGCAGGGGCAAACGGGGGCTGTTGTGCGAAAGCCTGCGGATTCGGGAATGGCTGGGGGATAAAGGATGGATTGAACTGGTCCATCGAGAGACCCGCGCCGTCGGCATTTGCGGCGGTACCGGCAATCTGCTGAGGGAGCGAGAGTGGTGTCATCATATGCAAGCCCATGCCGGGCGTATGTAAGTCGCCGGCCTGGTTATGGAACATGGCGCCGAGACCACCGGAATTGGGAGTATAGTAGCCATGGGGCTGGTTGGCTTGGCTCACGAAGTCCAACGAATTCGGATCGATGAACTCCGCGGAGTAGCGGAGGTCTTGTTGAGTCTGCGGCGCACCATCGCTGGCCTCGAGGCCGCCACTAAGTCTGGAGGTTCAAGGAATCGCGTTAGCATAGCGATTCCGGGGAAAGCGGTGACGCGGGAGTTGGCGGGGCGCAACGGAAACCATGGGAAGAAGAGAGCCAAACTGTACCTGGGTGTAATCGTCTGGGCGGGGACTTGGTCGGGGGCTGCATGGGTGGTGGGGAGAATAACACCGGAGAAATGCGCTTGAAATCTCTGGATGAGTTCAGGGTTCGGCTTATGCTGGTTGTTCCTGTACGACGGATGCCGTCGGTCAACCATCGCCCGAGAAATGTCGGAGGGAGGGCGACCGTACCTGTTTTTGAACATCCTTTATGCAGAAATCGGACCGTGGTGGATGCGCAAGTGTCCGCAAGAGCAGGACGGGAGACGTTCAGGGGAGTTGAATAAGTAGTAGGCGGGAATAGCGCTATCATTCGGATTCAATATCCGGGCCGGATGTTGGTTTGCTAGTTTGACCGGGTTGTTCTCGCAATTTTGACGGGCTGGACTGCGATCGATGGAACGAGAGGGACCGGGTGGGATCACCTCCAAGGAAGTACGATCGCAGTCGCGAAAGAGACAATAAAGCAGACCGAGGTCAATGAGTGATGTGGCGGGAAAACCGTTGCGAACGCGGGATGGGGAGCGAGGGTGGCGGTCGACAGTTGAGTGGAAGGGAGGTGGTTGAGTATGCGAGGCCAGATGAAGAGGAGAAGAGGGAAGTATTCCCGGTGTCTGCCGCAACAGGTGCAGACGGCCAATAGTGGGGGGAATTCTTCAGGACGTGAAGGAGGGGGGGAGGGAGAGAGTCGGAGTCGGGTAGGAAGAGGTCGAGAGAGAGAGGGTCGAAGCGGGAATAAAATAAAATAATAAGATAAATGGATAAAATGGGAAAACAAAAGAAAAAATAAAATAAAAAAAGGGAGAAAAATGGAAAAATTGATAAACCGCCCCAGGCAGGGAAAAGAAAAGAAACAGACCGTGCAGTGGAATCAAGGTGTCTTTGGGTTCTCTCGTCTTCTTCTCTGTTCTTCCGAGCGAAATCGATCTATGGGGGTTCGTTGGAAAGCCAGGTAATTTCTCAGGAGGAAATACGACGAGGGGTGATCTGGAGAAAGAATGCGATGCCGGCTGTTATTATATTATATCGGAACAGAAAATAACAGACCATAAGGGACCACATGGAGGAGGCGGCAGTGACGTACAATGACTATTGACCTCACTTGATGAAGACCTTATGGATCTGAATGTTGTTCCCCTTTTTGTGCTAGGCTGCGTCACTTCTTCTGCTCCAGAAAAAAAAAAAAAAAAAAATCACCGAATTTCTTTTTTAGAAAATAAAATCATATCAGCTGTCCTCTGATATGATTTTCTGGGACCGAGTCAAAAACGGTGGGGACAAAAGAAGAGGGTGGAGCGGATCCAGAAGTAAGGATTACCGTGGTAGAGAGTGAGGTATCTTGCGGAGTATCTCAATTACATCGGTGGCATTCTGGTACCCTCTGTACCGTGAGAAGTACAGGTATGCGTATTGTCACAGGTACAGAGGACGGAGAACCCAGCACGATGTCAACTGGGCCTCTATGATTGAATGGATTCGGCATAGCTGCTCCTACTAGTAGGCACATCTGCCTTTGAAAGTTGATGAGCTGACGTACCAGAATCATCCGCAGTCTTCCCCTGTTGCTATGTAGGTAGTCCGCGTTGAGGGACATTCGACATACTTTAGGTACATACCTACCGTATACCGTAGAAAGATGCCATACTCCCCACGCCGTCCATGCAGATCCATGGAGCCAGCCCAAAGCCTCATGGACAGTCCGGTCCCTCGGTAGACAAGCAGCCACCCTCGTGAACAATCTCATAGAATATCATGGACGACTCGGGACCGACAATAAACCCTCCTCTGGTGAACCAGGAAGTCAAATCGTCTTCATATCAACCGCCAGGAGCTGCAGGTCGCTTATCAGGTACGCCAGCGGCATCACCGAGAACTATATCCAAAGCTACGCGCTCAGGAAACCCATACGTCGACTATCAAGCGGGGCGGGCTTCAACAGGCCCGAGGCATGGCACATACCGCATGAATCAGAGTGACTGACATGGCATGTATGCCGCGATTCTGCCTTCCTCTAGGAGAGATTTGGACAACGGTAACTACATCCCCTCCCGGAGATTAACCAGGGAGGGACTTTGCAGCAATCGACCGGGATGCGTCTATCTTACCATCCTACCCATGGATACATCGATGTGAGTTGAGTCACGATCGGTCGATCGGTGATAGCTGGATGGTCTTCTCTAAGTGGTGTATACTCCCTACGGTGTAGATAGGAGGAGCGTGGCTCCTCATATGGCGTATCATGAGCTATCTACCAGGGTAAAGGCAGCGGAGGTATCGTGGGCCGTAAGAATCTATAATGCCTGAGGCAGCACAGGCCAACATGATTGGTTTGGAATATCGTCCCACCAATCAGCACACAAGGAGATCGCGCACCGACGGTGTCGCACGGAGCTCTCCGAAAGTCAATTACATACCGCGAGACCCACGTATTGTAAGAAACCACGGCTCAGCCAAGGTACCCAGGAATGTGCTTCGGTACCTTTTAAGGTCGCGTGCTTGGCAGAAGCGATGGATCTCAAGTAGACAGGCCAGGCGATGCTCTTATTCGTCGGAGAAGTCGTCCGGTTGAACCGTGGCACCGTTAGGGGGGCAAATCCCATGGGGTAATACCTTGAAGGTCTTTCTCAAAGGAGACACGACTCGAACGACACATTGCGTCATCTACGTGCTTTCTCCGCTCCTTATCACGATGTCATTTGGAGAAGGGCGGGGAGCTTCATCGGCTTGATACCCTAGAGTAGTTGCATCTACCCATCCGTCTGTCGCCCGCCCGCCTCCTGCCACGCACGCAAGGTTTCTCAGCCTTAACTCGACCCCTGACGATTTGTTCGGAACCTATTTACGCGGCGGAGCGGATTGGGTCTTCGCACAGACATTACCGCATCGGTTGGAAGGTGGGTTGCGGGCGGGCGAGCTATGCTCTCCAGCGACGGATGACAACAACTATATTGGATATGAGCTGCATGGAACGCAGATCACCTGCAAATCAATCCACTTGGATGGTCGGTCGCACGTCGAGGCCATTGAAGTGACAAGCCGGTCTGTCATTCTTCTGGAAGGTAACTGAAATCCGACTCCGAGGGACCTGCAGGTGATGTCTACTAGGTACTAGGTACTCCCGTGCCTAGAGCTCTCGGACGACTACATAGGTATCGTCCGCGATGACCACACTGATTCAAGCTCTAGAGGTAGCTCATAGGTACCCCCACCAGTGTCAAAAGTACGCTTTCTCTTCAATGCTTTCTTTCCCAACTATCTACGCCACCAGAACCCTAACCCTATTCCCTTTCGCTCCCCCCACACGCATGGACATTGTCGGCGACCCCGCGACACCAAAGTATATCTCGTAGAACTCACCACGAACAATGGAAACATCGTCAGGCCGTGGACGCTGGTCGATGACAGTTACATCCACGGTTACATAACAAGTTCCAGCGATCGCCCTCCGAGGAGATGCAGCATGGTGCCTCGCATACAGCCCGTCATGACAAGGCGACGGGAACGATCGGTCCAAAGACCACGGCCAATCGTGAACTCTATGTCTCTAGCTGTCGGCGCATCGATCGTCGCCACATCAGCGTAGACAGTTGTTTGATGAAGCGGGATGCCGAGCAGGCAGTCGTCAAATGTACTCCAGCTTCGCGGCCACGACCATGGTTTCCCAACAGCTCTCTCGTGGTGCCCTCCTTCCCTCCCGTCTCATAGGAAATAGAAAACGACCACGCAGCCAATGACAAGCGCCGCGGCGGCCGGCTGAATAGAGCTAGGCGGCCGTGGAGGCAGTTCGCCACGCCACCGTTCTGCGGTCCCTGCGCCCTCAATCCTCCCGTGGTGGAGGTGACAGGATGTGGTGGCTTCTGCACGCTCATTTGTCGTCGGAGACCCCTATCACACAGCCAATGTGAAACGCCCTGCAGGGATTCGGGATCTGGAGGGGGGACGTTTTGTCTAACATCCGGACGCTCGGGATGGATATCTGGTCATGGGTTGGTCGCCTACCGACGTCCAACCATCGGGCGCAGAATTGATATGGAAACGTAAGATAAACATGATGGTCATGGATGATGCTGCGAGATTTGATTGCGATGCATATATGGATTACATCAGCACGCACAAGACGGAAGCTCATCCATTCGAGTCGAGTCCATGCTCAGATTTCCATACACAGATGTGCATATCGCGATGCACGCGATGGACGGCAGACATGCGGGTGGCTGGAATTGTCACGCCTGTCAGGGCCGAGCGATCGGTAAGAAAGCCAGCGTGGACGATCCCGTTGACGCAATCGAATAAACGCCCGTTATCGGGTCCATCGCCAGCATTCTCGATCGCATGTCTCACCCGCGAATCACAGAGTCTAGAATCTCCTGCGTGTGGTTACTCAAAACCATTCATGAGGTTTGACTAATCTGATATTGGGTCTTTGTTGATGAACTAAAAATAAGGAGGTGCTCCATCAGTGTACTCCGTAACTACTGTATGTAAACATCCCCCAGGCTGACCAAGTCCGATCATGACATCATCCCTACCGGAAAAGTTCATCAACATCAATTTTCTCCGCATGTCTGACCCGCTGGACACGGTCGCGACCATTCCTCTCTCTGTTGTGTTGTCTTCCGTAACTCCCGCCAGACCCTCCCTTGCGATGGTGGTCTACACACAGCAGGGATGTCTCATCTCGTCTCTCGCTCGTCCAACCCATACGGAATCTACTCCCGGATGGTCCCAGTCCCAAGTTAGTGGAAATAAGCGAACCCAGACCCAGGGGAACAACCAGGGAAAGATGAAAAAGAAAAAAAAATACGATAGTATGATTGTTGCTCCGGATAGTCTCCCGGCAAAAGAACGGATCAAGCCACGCGGGATCGGCCTGAGGTTCCGCGAGCGAGGAAACGCCGTCATAACCCAAGCAGTTTGCCTCTGCCGAGCGGCGCACGCCACAGCGAGTCATCATCAATGCAAATCCAACCGCATCAGACAGTTAGTCACACATTTGGCGAGGGCGAAAAATCTGATGGTGTAGGGCTCGATGCGGTAAGAATCTGCCAACACCATCGCGCCCTACCCCAGATCAACCCGTGGACGGGCGACGACGAACGGACCCCGACCAAATCCCGGCGGACAAAGAAGTCTCGTTGGCTGAACGGGCCCGACAAATGAGATGCGTTGACAGCCCCGGGTGTCGGCAGCGCGGACAGTGCTCTGCCTGTACCTCTAGTCTAGGCACCGCGCATTCTCTGATGTCTGACTGACCCACTCCGCTTCAGGAGATTACTTCCAGAGCAATCATACTGACCGGTACTCACCACGTAATACGCTATAGTCGTATCGTCCACGGGTGGGCTCGGTCCAAGCTGGACAGCCTGCATAGGTGGTATCGCGGTATGGGCCAGTAATGATTACAAGGGCACCCCATGTAGAACCGTTATACATTCCGACACTCAGTGACTCCCCCTTACTTGGTGGCGTGATGGTTGGCGTGACTATAGCTAAGTTCTTCGACTGATATGAAGGCGAAATATCGACGGCACTTGATGTTGGAAAGAATCTCAACGGGATCGGAGGTGCTCTGCCGTTTTTCCATCTGCTGGATAACGTGAAGGTTTGAGAGCCCTGACGCACCGAAGAAGACTGAAGAAGGGCCATGCGGCACGAACACATCTTAAAATCGCTTTGATCCTCCCAGTGCAGACTGTTGTTCAACCACAAAACGCCTCCACAATCGCGGTATAGTTCTTAGACACGCTGCGGGTGGTTTGGTGTGCTGCCATGGATATTGCAATCCCACCTAAGCACAGGCCAGACGCCAGGCATATGCGTCAATGCGCGCATGGCGTTGATATGAAGCGACAAGAAGTCTTGTATCGGCCTACATGCTTCTGGATCTGGCGTCCAACGAGCCGTCGCAGTAGCCACCGGCTCCCAAGGGCCGGGTGAAACAGAGAATCGGAATACGATGTCACGCTTGAGGTCGTTATAGGGCTGAAGTTGTGACATGCATTAGCCCAGGATTATAGTATTCCTCGATGGTGTTCTAGACTCGGTCGATCGCTCAGTCCGATGTTTCCATCATACAGAAACCCGATCAGTATACAGATGAGGGAGATACACTGATCAAAGAGATTGGACTTCACGCTGAACAATCAGATAGGAAGAGAGATAATTGTGTCAGGAACTGCAGCATTTCTCCGATTAACATCATGCTGGTCGATTGCAACAAAATAACCAACCCTACCAAGAGAAGACGACAAAACAGCACATAAATATGTGCAGAGCACAAGATATGTATATGCCAACACGGAATCAACCCGAGGGATCACTAGCCAAACTCTGAAGAATCCCCCTCGCGTCACTAGCACTGAAACATGGCAGGTGCTGGCTTCCTCGTGACCCCAATGTTGGTCAAAGACAAGCCTCTCCGCTGACACCTCCATCCTTCCATCTCTATTTTCAGACCGCCATTTCATTAGAAAGGGTGAATCTACTAGTGGAAGAAAACACAATGAACCGGATTATCTATACTCTGGGTGCGGACTATCTCCCTGCAACTTTCTCGTATCATCTGCCTATGATCCAAGTCCAGCTCTTCTCATGGCATATTATGTCAACAACGCATCCCATATTTCACATCCCGCGGGACCTGTATGAGCCAGCCCCTAAAAACAGTGCACAAAATCCCCAGAACGCCTGAGTGCAATCCAGCATGTGAACAAGAGGTATGAGTACTTGGGCCCGCAGGCCCCATAAATATGCATTATACAATCGAAGCAAACGACACGACAAGTCAAACACTTGCCGAGAAAATAGCTTGCCTGGTGTGATGCGCAGTCTGAAAAAAGAACATTTGTGCTGCCGGAAAGAAAAAAAGGATTAGAGGGCATGTCATGCTGCCTAAGTTCAGCCTGCGAGGTTACCACCGGAACTGTTCAGCCTCGATGAGAGGATCAGATAGGCTGAGCTCCTGGTTAGGAGATCATATCGAGCCCGGCGTTCTGCATCGTCTAAGATTGGAAACCGGTAAAGATGGCGACTAGTCGTCTGAGGTGTATATGGAAGCAGAGGGTGCGTCGGGCGTCATTCAGTGCATTATGATCAATGAGAAACCGTCGACCCAAGAACCGCAAGACCCTGAAATACCGGCGATCTTGTAGCCCAGCGGGGGAATCAAAGTGTATCTGCAGAAGATCGTTAGATAGGTATCACCACGGAACAATTGACGACGCATACCCTGATCCGCCATCGGCGTTACCAAAAACACCAGACTTCCTTCCCAGACTTGTCAGGATTTCAATGCCATCAATCCATACTCCAGCACGGAGGTAGAAACCAAGCAAGATCTCTCCACGACGGGTGTCTGAAGGTCACGTTAGAGCTAGCTGTATTGAAAACGTAAGAAGAAGCGTACCGAGGACAAAATCATCACCACCAGCCTTCCCACTCCGTTTTCCAAACAGCTGACTGGTGGCATCTTCGTAGAAAAATTCCAACCCATCGAGGGCCGCTCCATGGTATACCCTGATCGAGGTGAGGAGTTTGGTGGACGTGAACGCGCAGTCCAAAAGAAGTTGCTGCGGCTCGCTGCCTTCGAGCTGAGAAAACCCTAATTTACTACCTCTATACCCTGTGTGACCCTTGGGAAGTTTAACCAGGGATAGTTTGGACTTCAGTGAACTGATAGAATCGACGGTATGACTGCCGAGTGCCCCCGAAACGATTGTCATCTTGATATTCTTTTTCCTCTCCTTTTCGTTGCCAAACACCCTTTGTCGAAGCTCGCTTTCCGTGACGGTGATCTGTTTGGGAAGTCCGTTGCTACTCGATTCGGTGTTGACATACTCCATAAAATTGTGGCACATCTGCTCCCCCTCCGCGTACAGTTCCACAAATGCGATCCCCGAGGAAGCGGTGATCAGGATCTTTCCATTTTCAACGGGCCACACTTGGACACTGTCGTCTGAACTGACAGGCGCATCACCAGGAAGCCGAAAGCATGGATGGAAACGGAAGCGTAAGGCGTCTAGTCGGTGCCAGCTGCACTCATCCTGTGGGAGGCACAACTTCAGGCCTTGCGTTTTGGTGCGAGTCGAGTAGGGTTCACGAGTGACGAAGGACCGGTTGAAACGCACATAATCGCGAAGCATAATCCCCGACTCTTGATGGGGACACCCGAACAGATGGCCGACTTCGTGCAGATGTGCTCCAATGCCAATGTTTGCGGCCTCCCAGCTGGAGCCAGCTTCTCCGCAGTCATTCGCCACAAGCTCGGTGTTAGTCCGCGTGCAGTCCGAGAAGGCGTCGACTACATCTTCAAGGCAGGTTGGATAGCTGTGCAGACAGTGAGAACCGAAGATGGCCATCTTGGTATCACCCCCGCCGGAGCCTAGGGCTGCGTGGCCGGTGACTGTCTGTGAAGCTGTGTCCCAATGGGCGTCCATAAGAAGCACTGAGATGTACTGCTTTTGACCGGGGCTCAGATGGAAATAGTCCTTCACAGCGTCTTTTGCGATTTTGAATAGCTCATCTTTCTTGGTGGCCGGACCATGCTGTTGGGCAATATTGAGGTCTCTCAGCTCCGCAACCGTCTTATCGGTGCGAACGACATGCACTTTCGCCTCATTCCGCATGGTCCCATTTGCTAGATCGCGGCGACTCAGGGTGCCGGTCTGCCACTCTTCCTCAAACCGGAAACAGCGCCGGCCAAAGTTGCTGCGGAACATCTGTTCACCCGTAAACGCTTGCCAGAGATACGCGGCGGTCCGGTACTTGCGAATGGCGGTTTCCAAGTCGTTGCCCTCTCGCTGTATCTTCTCTGGGGTAGAGTCAAAGGTCCCGTCGGAGTCCCTCCCCAGTAAGACGACCAGATGCAGTGGAGGGGTATTGACTAGTGGAAGGTAATTGATGCAGATCCAAGAGGAATGGGTTGCTGGATGGGCGCTCCCCGCAGACAATTTGGTGGAAACGAAGTCAAAACGCAGGCGATTAGGCCCCGGAACAAGGTGTACCAAGGCCTTGAAATGAGACGACGTCACCGGCCAGGTCATAGCAGGGAACGCATCCTGATGGTGACACACGGTAACAGTACCATCGAGCGGATGAAGTCGCGGGTCTGCGATCTGGCCATAGACCAGCAGTACCTTTTGATGGACCTAAGTTGGTGGCGTAAGTCTATCTGCATACATGAAGCTCCGACATGCGGTGGCCATTCAGAATGAGAGAATGAGCAACTAAACACAAGACTTACCCAAGCATTGTCCGCGATGGACACGATGCGGGGAGCATATGGCGAGGAAGGTGTTGGGGATCGCATGCTGCTATGACCGGACATGGGGCTCCCACCCTGCGAAACGCAGTATCAGCGGGAGAATGATCGGGTGAGCTGGGCTTGGGAAGGAGGTATATACGTACGACCATGCTATTGCGCTGGACCGGAGACGTGACGAGGGCTGGTCGCTGAGGAGCGAGCGAACCATTGCCATTTGATGAGCTGCCATTGGATTCACTCAACGAGGGAAGGTTTGAAGATGAGACAGTGGGTTTGATGGATGAAGGGGGCGTCACGGAGCTATAGGAAGCGGTCTCGAGGGTCGATGAGGATTGTCCGGACGGGACTTCACCATTGGATTGCGACCCATTGGACTTGGACTCGTGGGACTGGGACCTGGCTGTGCGGAAGCTAGCCTTGGAGCGGCGCCGCAGCTGTTCAAAGAAGGGCATGATGAAGTGGATGTTGAGGCGTGTTGAGATGGGCGAGAGAACTCCTTCAGTCTGCGTTCTTCGTTTTCTTACCCTTCAATTTCGTGGTTGAGGGGTAGAGGTAGGCGGTCGTCGCGGTAGATGCAACCCCGACGGGTTGAGAAAAAAGTACGCCCTCGTCCGACTGGGCTGGAATTCTCTCTAAATGAACAAGCTGGACGCGGCCCCTCACCTCCCAGGACAACTGATGACGAACCAAACCCCCCCGGACCGAGAGAGGCAACGGTACAGAGCAGAAGCCTACCAAGGGTAAGATGGGAGAAGCTGATGGGGGAGGACGAAGGGTGGTGGGAAGGACACAGCGACCGTTTGCGGATGGGAGTGACGAATCAATGGAACAACAATCTCCACCCCGCATAAGAACAAGGCAATTCGGTCATTCGAGGACAGCGCAGAGACAGGAACCCGACCGAAAGAACGGGTGGAGGTAGACCGGAAGATTTCAGTGAGGTCTGGATGTAGCGTAGGTACCTTCGGTAGGTAAGGTTGAGGTATGGTCGTGATGAGGTATGGAGGGAGGGAGGGAGGGAGGTAGTATGGATGGATGAATATCGGAGTAGGAAGGAAGGAAGAAAGGCAAGATCGATCGTCGATGGCGGTCACTATCAGTCAGAAGAATTTTTTTTTTAAAAAAAATTATTATTCTCATTATTTTTTTAGTGTTTGATTCAAGAATGAATTCCTGTTTTTTTTTCTTCTAGCTGTTCTTAAAATACCTTAGGGGACGTTAGAGGCCTTCCCACTCCTTTGTACGACTACAACGGCCGTGTTAATAACACGATAACCGCTCCTATGACTATCGAATGCAACCAACCACTCGCCTCTCAGGAACCGCAATGCCCACCCATGGAAGCTCTCTTTTCCGACAAGTATCAGACCGTGGTGATGCTACAGTGGGTCTAGGCAGCGTTCGGAGGTGTTGCGGATTGACAAGGAGGCGTTACGTAGGTCATCGGCCAGCGACCAACCGTTCATGGCTTTGCGGTGGATCATCTGCTAATTTTATCTATCGCCCTCAGCTGGTTGGTTCCTCCCGAGAGCTCTCCTTAGGATGCGATCGTCCTGGCCATTCTGTCTTTTTATCTTTCTATAGTAAGGTACTATATCACTACCTAGGCACCTAGGTACGATTCCTCGTACTTATTTGGTTCCTTGTACTGTACTCTGTACGTACCTCCATGATTGTGCTAGAATTCGCCCCTCAAGCTTCCCCTTTTCCCTGTCCAGACTAAAATAAGGGTAACTCTAGTCCGAAACTAGCGCCTCCAGTATCACAGGGCGGCTCCGTTTGCCCATCCCCGGCAGCAACGGATTCATTCGGTCGGACAGAGCATATGGATGGTTGCTCAACGGGAGCATTGAACGGCATGCTGGGACCATGATTCTGGACATGATCCTGGTCGGTCCAGAAGCATACTTCCTCCCAAAGGGGCTTAGACCCCTGTCATTCATCCCCTTCCCGCCGCCCACGATGGCTGCTCTCCCCTCCATCCGCAAACATGCAGAAACACTTGTCTATCCGCTCCCTCGTCTGTCCTTTCAGGGGTCTCTTATCATTGTACTCACTCCGTAAGCTAAGCTGTGCTCCACTCCCTTGGCAAACGCGCCCGAAGCGCAGAATATTAAAAGACAAGAGCATTTCATTTATGACGACGACGCATCGTCGTCTATGTATGCATTCAGACTTTGGCGTCCTCTCTTCGTGGCATGGGAAGGGATGAAATGTCTCAAGCCCGGAGTAGGATTAGCATTCAAAGGTCAATGGAGTAACTCAAAGGGCTCTCAATCGAATCTGAAACCAACTGGTATGAGATCTGGACCACTGGGGTGGTCGGAACAGGCAGGAGGCGAGATCCATACCTACGGAGTACACAGAGGTACGTATGTCCGGCATGCTCATCGGTGGATGTCCGTCCGTGATGCCTCTCCGCCGTACGGACTAGGTAGAGAACGGGGGTCCCTCGGGTCAGAGCCCCATGGAGACCGACCGAGGCCACTGGCATGGCAACCTAACTGAAGACTTAAGTACCTTCCTTCCCTTGCCCTCACCCAGAACGGATCATCGTCAGATCTAACTGCAGGAATCCTCGTTGCTGGGGATCGACAGGAAGGAGAGAGCGAGGAATGGGTCGGAGATGGTTGGTCGCATAGTGACCACCAGACGGGACTCTGGCATTCCGAGTCTATCGACTGTAGTTCGTGGCGGAGTTGGTGAGGAACTGCCCATATTATTGATTTGATGCATGAGATTGAAGCAGGGGTTGTCCTTTGCTCCTCTTTGAAATCTTCTCGCCTCCATAGTTGGAGTCGACCTGGATATAGAGGGTTTGAATAAGCCATGGACTTTGGAGGCAAGTAAAGCATCCAAATTCAGAGCCACATCTGAGAAAGTTGACTGAAGAGGTATGCGTAACTGGGTATAGACCATGGGGCTATCAGCCAAGCCAGGGATAACCAACCAGGTTGAACAAGGGCAATTCCAATAGAGAAAAAGCCACTTTTCATCCGACGCCATAATTGACAGAGCAAATACCCTAGAAATGGAACAGGATCTTCATTCTTCATGTTTCTTAGTCTCCTATTTTCCTTTTCCTACCCCAGACGTCCATTTCGCTTCCCCCGGGTTACCATCCCGCTCCATACATACAGGTACATCGCGGGCATAGCATACCAGCCTCAGGCAGCCTCAGGCCCCAACTAAAATTTCCCTGTTCCGTCCATTCATCATTCAGCCTTTCCTCCTCCTCTCTTCCTCCATTTCTCCTCCCGTTCTCCAGCCGCCCTGATTCCTTCCTATCAGGCCCTCGTCTCTCCCTCTTTTCAGTTCCCATTCTTCTGGTTCCTGTTCTTGCATTGCGTTTGTTTATCCACTTTCCGGTTTATGACTGCGCTAAACCCCCTCAACCCACCTGGTGCATAGCCATAGCCCTTCCCGTTCCTCCCAGTTGAAGCAATGGCCCTCCGTCAGCCGTCCACCTCGGACAAAACGATCCGCAAAATTGACATCGCTCAGGTATGTGTACCTGCCCCCTTTGTCATCCTTTGGATTTAATCATCTCCGTCGAAGGTGGCTGGTGCCCTTCACGGCAAGTGCGTGAAACCAATTCTGACCGACGTCCCGAACTACTAGGTTTCCCTCAGCCTTCAAGATCGCTTGGGTCTCGCCAAGGTCAAGTACCAGAATGGCCGTCTTCATGCCCTCGATTCGAATGGGAATCGTCACATCTCCCTCGGCAGTGACAAGCCCTCGGATTCGTCCTCCGATGTCTCCCACAGTCGTTGCGAAACCCCCATGACTTCGCCGCCATTGCGAACCGCGACCTACTCCAAGGAACTCCCCAGGTCCTCCCGCAATCGTCATGCGGCCACCTTCAACTCACAGGTCATGCAGCCCATGCTGTCAGCCAGCCGGAAACGCCTTCGATCCGACTCCATTACAGAGCGTCCCGTCAAAGCCGCCCGGGTGTCATGGAAAAGTGCCTACCAACTTCCGGCATCGTCGCCAGGGTTCAGCCGGCGTCATACGAACCGAGGCCAGCATCTACCCTTCATAGCGGAGACGTCGACAATCCCGGAATTCTCGTCTCCGGGTTATCGTCATCACTCGGATGATGACAACGACCCAGACCTTCCGCTTCATAGTTTCCAGAATGTCAGTTCCGTGGTGGGCTCCTCCCCTCCTCGTACTCCGCCACCCAAGCATGCTCGCATCGCCCGCAACGACCGCAACTTACGACACGAGGACGGAGCAGACTTGCTCCTGTATCTGGCCAACTCTCCTACTCCCGCGAGCGTTGCAAACAAGGCGCAGGCTCGGGACTTCCCACCATCTACTCCACCCAGTCAGCATGCCATCCTACCCTCTCTGACGCCTACTCCGGGCGGAGGCGTCTTCCCCAACTTTGGCACTCCCACCCAGCAATTTAATTTTGCCGACTTTGTCAATGTGACACCTAGCCCGGCACAGCCGCCATGGGGTGGGCGCACCCCGGGAAACCCTGCACGCACTCCTCTCGCCAACAAAGACCGGAGACGGTCGAATCTTGACAACCTATTACCTCCTGGTGCTGATAGTCCCAGAAATCGCGAGAAAGGCTCTGGAATGATCTTGCAACTTGGTGGTGAACTTCGACCGTAAATCTCTGGCGGCTCGACCCATCAACCTTTTCCTTCTCATGGATATCTTAATGACCCCTCATGACTGTTATGTACATATCCCTTGCTGTTTACTTTTATTCCCCGATCCACCCTTCATCCCGTATGACGGCCATCCTTGTCATGATTTTGAAACTTTGCCCTCGACCTTATGTATCCCGTCATTGGTTTACGAACCGTGTTGGTCAGCTGACCTTACTGTCTCTTCATGTCGACGGATCTGCGACGAAATTTTCCTTTGTAATAACCTCTCACTCCGTGCCTGACGCTCTTTCCTATGTTCTGGTTACTCGTGATTACTGGGGAGCTGTGCCGGTGGGAGTGGGGTATCTTTAGTTGATCATGCCAATTATTGTGTTATGAGATGAATCCTGTACATACACATACACATGTGAATGTCAATACCTAGGTAGCAATGATAGTATCTGTGAGAATTACAGTTGATCTTAGAGTCGACACATCGCATTGGGGCGGACGAGAACAGCCCGGCCCGTCCCCGCAGCAGAGAAAGAAAATTCCGACGAGGAAAACAACACGCGACGCGATGAACTCTATCTCGTGTCAATTTCGCGTTGGCACTAGACCGTAAATGGAATAATTGGAGCCTTGGCTTACGGTGTTTCTCCCGTATCCGGTTAGACTCATCGAGCGGCTACCTCTCTCTGCTTGGCGTGGGCACGTGACATGCGCAAAAGACATCATAGAGAACATTTCAGGATGGGCTAGTATATAGACACGTTTCATCATGGGATCTATAGACATATATATCATTACGCAACCGTGTATCTATTGGTATATGTCACCTCACTCGTGAGCGCAGCTGGGTGAGATTGCATCGCCCGATACTGATCGGCGCGATCGTGAGCACACAACCACGACACGATCACTGACCCCATCCCGGAGGGTTTCCAATGAGGTCATTCATCCTGCCAACCCAATTTCTCGCCAGACACAGGCTGGCCTGCGTCCTCGAGGCGCGCTCGCTCGGACTGCTTCCGCCAAAGTAACGCCAGATAGTCGGCGGTGGAGGCCTCGTCGATGGACTTGTCGTCGCGGACGCGCAGGAAGCGCGGGAAGCGGAGGCTCAGGCCGCGCTCGTCGCTGACCAGCCCCAGGGCGGCGGGGTAGGTCGGGCTGAGGGTGATGTCGGCAAAGGCCATCTCCCAGACCTCCTGCGGCTCGAACCAGACGTCCGGCTCGCCGTAGTACTCGACGTAGGCGGGGCGCGAGATCACGTTCGTGCTGCCCTCGGCGTACTTGTCCTTGTTGGCCTGGTAGAACTTGTCCGTGAAGCCGGACATGCACTTGGTCACCGCCTCGAGGCTGCCGGTCTCCGGGTTGCGCACGGCCAGCAGGATGGGCGACCACCACTTCGCCTTGCGGCCTTGGCCGTGCCACCCGGCGACGGGGATGAGGTCGAGCGTGTCCGACGAGGTGCTGTAGTCCTTTTTGACTTTGAGCCAGGACTCGAGTCGCTTGTCCGGCTCGTAGGTCGAGAGGAGCGCCTTGCGGCGGTTGCCTTTGGGCGCGGGCTTCGATGCGTCGGCTGGCGGATCGGCGGAGGTGGGAGCCGCCGGCATGCTGTTTTGTTCGTCGGGTGGTACGGCGGTATTCTTGGGCACGTTGTCTAGCACCTTGACCATGATCCCTTCGCATTTGCTGTCGGTCGCGCCTTTGAAGAACTCCAGTACGGCGTCCGAGTCCGCGGACGTGGCGTCGAGGCTCTTGACCCAGGTGAAGCGGTTGGGGATTTCGACGAAGAGGCTGCGCAGGAGCTCTCTGCGCTCGCGGAAGGGCCGGTTCAGGAGGGGCTCGCCGTTGAGGTACATCAGGTCGAACGCGAAGAGGCAGACGTTGACCTTGATTGCGCCTATCTGCACGTCTTTCTTGGCGCGGTTGGACAAGACTTGGAAGGTCTGGAGTTCGCCTGTCTCCTGGTCGACTGCGACGACCTCGCCTTCGAGGATGAAGCTGGACACGCTTTCGCCGCGGATCTGTGGCACCAAGGACACCAGGTCCGGATACTTCTCCGTCATGTTCTCCAGGTGGCGGGAGAAGATCGACACTCGCCCCTTATCGTCGCAGTGGACCTGTGCGCGCTGCCCATCGTACTTGTACTCGCAGCTGAAGTCGCGTCCTTGTAGCTTGGTCAGCATGTCTGAGAGGTCGCGGGTGATGCTGCCCAGCATGGGCCTCAGCGGGATGTGCAGCTGTAGGCCGCACCGCAGGAGTAGCTCTTCATTAACGCCTATCTCGAGCAGACAAGGCACGAGGTCGTTGTAATTGGGGTGTCGAGCATAAGAGGCCTTGACGATCTCTTCTGCGTTGTTGTAGATCTCAGACAGGTTCTCTTTCTTCAGACTCGCCAGTTCCTGCTGGGAGTAGACAGAAAATTCGGCTCCGGGGGGCTTAGAGTATAGGAACGCTCGAGCCAGCGCGATGAGCATCGTGGTTTTGACGGCGCCGATGCGCAGGTTTTGAACGAGAGTGCGCACGATATATCGGCTCTCCTCCGCACCTCGCGTGTCTTGGAGGAGTTTCTCGACGATCCGCTGCTTGGTTTCCTGGCTCCCACTGCCTTTGCTCGCGGCGATTTTCTGCAGTGACTGGTAGACACCCTTTATCTTGAGCGGCTTTGGTTTTATCAGAGTGAAGGACTGTCTTTTCTTTGCTTCGAATGCGACGTCACCCGCGTCACCATGCTTGTCGTAGAGCGTTTTCAGTCCCTGGTTGTCAAGCCCGTATATTTTCTTCAGTGCCTTGGATATGGAGGACCCGCCAAGTCCAAGCTCCAGCTCGTCGTACGGTGGAGAGATGGAGTTGGTTGCAAGCCACACGGCGGGGAGAACGCTCGATGGGTCGCCTTCGATTAAGATCCGCAGGAAATTCACCAGCGTGTCCACGATCTTGATACGACTAGTTGTCGCATTCGCGAGCACGAACGCTCGCGTCAACAGCGCGTAGGAGGCGGAACCCCCTTCTGCAGCCCAGTGCGCCTGCAACTCCTCGGCATACTTGGTTGCGTCGAATGTCAAGGGGCTCTGATCTAGGGGAATAGCCAGAGAGACCGTGTCTTCTGTACCAGCAGAAGACTGCAGCGAGATTGTATGCTTTTGTTTTGTCTTTTGCGGGGACTCTAAGCTCTCAATAGCGGCCACGGGTGGTGTCTCTGCTGTCTCAGCTGCCGTCGACTCGTCCATTGCCACGTCGTTTACGGCCGAGCGTAGCTCTTCCTTGTTCCATTCTTCTTGGAGCTTGCGAGCAAGGGCCTCATCCGACAGATTTAGCGATTCATCTTGTGGTGTCGACGACGGTGTCGACCCCGTTTTCGACTCCGATTTGGCTGCTTGGCCCTTGAAGAATGACGCTATGCTGCGCTGTGGAGCTGACTCTGGGGCGTCTCTTTTGCGCTTCTTCGCTGGACTAGACATTATGCAAAATTATGTAGAGAGTTAAATAAGATATTGCTGATATAAACGACTCTGTGTAGCAGATGCCATTCTGGCGGGTTGATGAGTTGATGTTGCCGCGGAGGCCGGAGAGACCTGCGATTCGCCCGCCGGCGGAACTGAGGTGACGTTGTTCGCAACACCTTGCGCTTCCCTCACGTCCGCGATCTCCCCGCCAGCATCCTCCTCCTCCCCACAATGGCGTCCTCAACCCCGGCACTGTCGTCGCATGAAAAAACCCGGGTACAGGACTATCTGAACGACAAAATCCAGGTCTTTGCCGATTTCGAAAGTCTTGATTCGCTCCTCGCCAGCCTACGTGCCCAGCACCAGCTCCAGCGGAAGCAGGTATGTGCTCGGTGTCGATGCTCTTCTCCCACTTGCTTTGCCAGGGTACAACTACTAACGATATTGTAAAGCTCGCTGAAGCGCAGGAAGCCTTGTCCAATGCCACCAAAGCCTCCAACGAGCATGCCGAAGCCACTCGCAAGCGAGCCCACGAGTTCAACGAACAGCAAGCGGATATTGACCGACGTCTGAAAGCGATTACCGGATCGGACGCGAGCGACGATGCCGCGAGGAGATTCGAAGCTAGCATAGAAAAGCTGCGGAGACTCGAGATATCAAGAGGCTACGTGACTTTGTTGAAGGAAGCCGAGGAACTGAGGTACTCCACGCAATGCTGTCCGGTGTAGCACTGTCATGCTGATGGACCGCAGCAAGGAAGCCTTAAAATGCATAGAGACATCCCCTCGGGAAGCCATCCAGCCGTACACCCGGCTGCGAAGTATCGCCGAATCGCTGAAGGAGGCTCAACCTGCAGCCGAAGGCGCAGCGCCTCACCTGGTGGAGCATGTCGGTAGACTCTCGTCAGTCCTGAGAGAACATCTAAAGGGTAACTTCACCAAACGACTGCAAGCGATTCTGGAACAGATGAAATGGCCTTCCAAAGAATTACACTTTCCGAGCGACTTGCAGACCCAGTGGGCCGAGAATGTCGGACTGCTCCTCGACCTGCAAATACCGTGCGTTCTCTTCAATGTCTGCTGATCTAGGCTAACTGGGTCCAGGGAACTCAAGAGCCGCGAGTCTGCAGGCCAACATCCAGTCGACCTGCCGATCTTGTTCCCGCTGGAAGTCATGGTGCATCCTTTGGAGCTCCGATTCAGATACCACTTTAGCGGAGATAAGCCGACGAATAGGCTAGACAAGGTATTTGCGATTAACCGAGTCTGCGTGCGATTCACGACTAACAAAACATAGCCGGAGTACTTCCTATCGCATGTCATGGATTTGATTAACAACTTCAGTGGCTTTTTTGCTTCTTTCCTACAGCCAATCTTTGACGACAAGGCGAAAGTTGTTGGGTCCGACCTGGAATGGAACTTTTACAACGCTTCTCATGCCTACATTACGGCACTGTTCCCGGTTTTGAGACAGAAGATCACCACGTTCTTGCCTCAGATCTCGAACCACCCGCAACTTCTCAGCCATTTCATGCACGAGCTGATGGGCTTCGACAACGATATCCGCGAGTCATGGAATTACTTGCCAGACCCATATATGGAGGACAACTGGAAGGGTATGACATGGGAGGTCCTCAGCAAAGGGGGGTGGTTCGATCGCTGGCTGCAGGTGGAGAAAGATTTTGCGTTGGCTCGCTACAAGGAAATCGTCGAGGCTCCGGACAGCGGCCATATCGACTATGACGGCGTCGAACCCACGGCGACCAAGCCGACCAAGGCAGCCATCCGGGTTAACGACCTCCTGGAGACAATCACCGAGCGTTACCAGCCCCTGTCGTCATTTAGTCAAAAGCTACGTTTCCTCATCGATATTCAGATCACCATTTTTGATCAATTCCATGAGCGACTGCATTCGGCGCTGGAAGCCTATCTGGCAATGACATCGACGATCGGTCGCACGGTTCAGGGTGCAGATGGAGCCAGCGTCGAAGGCGTTGCAGGATTGGAGAGGCTTTGCAGGGTTTTTGGGAGTGCCGAATACCTGGAGAAGAAGATGGAAGATTGGAGCAACGAAGTGTTCTTCGTCGAGCTGTGGTCGGAACTCCAGGAGCGAGTCCGAAAGAACACAGATGGTGGCAAGAATGTCGCTGGAACCATGTCTGTTGCTGATGTTGCATCGCGCACTTCCCAGGCGGTTGGGAACGGGTACGATGGTCCAGGTTCGACTGAGGGAGCGTTATTCGATGAAACAGCGTCCGCGTACCGTCGGCTACGACTCCGGTCCGAGTCGATCATAACCTCAACACTCAATTCAAATGCACGGTCGGCGCTCAAGACGTATTCTCGTGTTTCGACTTGGGCTACTGTTGCTCCCACGTCGTCCGCTCCGCTACCTCCAACTTCTGACCTGGCTCCTGTCATGCGTACCCTGTCGACGGAAATCTCTTTCCTTTCTCGCACTCTCGGCGTTGCTCCTCTGCGGCGTATTGTCCGCCAGGTGCTTCTTTCCATCCAGACTCATATCTGGAGCAACGTCCTCATGAGGAATACATTCTCCGCGGCGGGCGCTGCCCAACTCATCAGCGATATGGAACACCTCTGCGGTGTTGTTGATGCTGCACTCGGATCTGCAGCACAAGCGGGTGGATCCATGAAGGTGCTCCGGAAATTGAGTGAAGGTCTCCTGCTTCTGGGTCTGAAGACAAGTGCGCCGAAAGACGGATCTTCCGAGGAAGACGACAACTCCCCTGACGAAAAAGTCATCGGACTTGGGTTGTGGGATGTAGAGAAAAGGCTTTTCAAGGACAATGAAAGCGCCCGAGTCGTTCTCGCTGATCTTGGGGTCGAGACGCTCACGGAAGCCGAGGCAAGGAGCGTATTGGAGAGGAGAGCTGAGGTCGGCAACTAGGCATCTTACAGATAGAATAACAGCCTTATGGGCCATAATCCAGGATCTGAAGCTGTCATACATCGTAATGTGCCATTTCTATGCCTATAAATTTATACATTTTATAACTTGTAACGCGAGCATCTGTTTGGTTTTGCCTCTTTCAGTACCGTGTGGTCTCCGCGTACGCCGTCCAGTAATCACCCCCTTGCCCGCTTCTCCACTCGCAGTCCACTCTTGCCCGACCACGCTCCCCTAAAGCCCAGCACTACCATCAGGTATAGGGAAATACTGTGGTTACCATTCTGCACCACTATAGTAAATACTTTGGTAGGTTCCCTCTGGCGACAGACTACATAAATCCTAGAAATTCATAAAAGAAATTTATCCTATCTTCGTGCTAGAGGTGAGTCCGCTCATTAGGCTGGAGGGCGCCCAATGGCGCCCGCAGCTTTCAGAGGGTTATATTAAACGATGCATGGAAGGATTCCATGTCAATAATGTTGTAGGATGAGGTCCTCGGAAAGGAACAGGCATTGTATGTAATCCATTGGTCTCGGCGTCACGTGACAGTCCCGGCGACTTTGTTTTCTAAATCTCTTAATGTGACCCTGGGAGTATTATTTAAAGCGGCTTCAAAGTTGAAAAATATATCGAATGATTTCTCTCCTGGTCATATCTCAGAGTATCCAGCACCAAGAACCTTACTATTGTAATTTGGTCGATAAAATGCTATTCGATTGTTTGGGCTCTTTCCAGTCTTCTTCTCTATATTCCCTGTATCTTGGCCCTGCCCGAGTCCTGGCAATATGGCTACTCTCCAGAACGGTTTCCTGTTGATTGTGACTCTCCGGCGTGTCTACTGGGTGCTCGGCGGTTCTCCAAGTTCCGTGCGTAGAGAAGAACCCCGCTTTGTATCCCAGAAATTATGTCATTCTGACATTGTGCGTAGCTTCCCGGGGCATTGTTGATCCTCACTCTCAGTAGGATCTCACCCACCCTCATTATCTCTCCCCTCAATGCTCGCTCAATATGGCTCAACCACGTTTGCGCATGTCGGACCTTTTCCCCGACCCAAACGAAGACAGATCCCCGGTGGCCCTGGACGAAGCCACCCGGGCTCTGTACCGCCGGGCGATTGACAGCCCATCGTCCTTGACCGACGAAGAGCGGAGAACAATCGCTCGCCGTCCCCCGGCCCCCGAGGAAGACGAGCAATGTCAGCAAGCCTGCGGTCTCACGTTCTCCGAACTCGTCCGCAAAGCCATCGACCAGCGCGATGCCCTCTCGTATCGCGAGGCGGTCTTTCTCGTGGAACGGTCTGTCCCGGGCGACACGGGCCGATGGCTGCGCTACCTGCATAGTCTGAGTGAAGCCGACCAGAATCTCCTACATGCAGCGATTGACGCGGCGTGGGCGGAGGACATGCGCGAAGCTCGCGCTAATGCGCATGCAGTGCAGAAACGAGCCCTGCAGGCGAGCTCGGCCGCGGCAAGGTATCTGAATGATGATGACATACGGCATGTGCGGCTGGCTATGATGCTCCCGTGGCAGGAGCAGGTGGTCTTGGATACGGAGAGCGAGGTGTGTGGATTAGTGGGTTTCTATACGGACCAGGAGGAGTGGCCGGCCTTCCAGAAGCAGATTGAGACGGCTATTTATCACGGGTTGCATTATCGGCCGGAAACGATTAAGGATGAGGCGCTTGCCAAGTTCACTATGCATTGGATCCCTATCGATGAGTCATCCGATCGGGATCTGCGAGAGGTTTTCGCCGCAAAGAAGAATCTGGGTGGATTTCCGCGGGGTCTGCGGACCGACTCGTTCTTGTTCGTCGATCAGGAGGCACTGCAGTCCCGGGACTCGACGAGACCGTTTGTCTGGCTGTGGGAGCCGAAAGGGCCCAGCACCGCTGGAGAGAACGATGACAATGAGCTAGGTCCCCTTAAAATTGACATTAAGCATATTGCCCCGACGCTCTTCGCCCGTCTCACTCAGCGGGACTTCGCGACGGAGGAGGCGAGACGGAAACCGTATCGATTGGACTCCACGCTCAAGACCCTTCACCGCGTTACCTGGAAGCATCCTACGACCCGGGGAAGAGATGGGATTTGGCCGGCTCCCGCGCGATTTATGTAGATGTGCATGGATTCCGTACTGTTAGAAGCTCTGACAACCCGCTGTCATACCAGCCTGGGTCGGCGTGGGTGTACCACCCGGAGCGGAGGTAGTTGTCACTGTCGTTGTCACGCCAGGTCCTGACCGTCCCACGCAAATATAGTAGTCCGGCCATAATCCGGAGCAGTCTCCATTTAGAGCCGGATTCCAGGAATACAGATCCGAAAGGGAAATGCTCTCCGCTGAGGCAATATCGGCGCACCCGTCATCTTTTTGCACCAGGTAGAACCGGTTGCAGTGACTCGCCATTCCGCTCTGGGTTGGCGTTGGAGTGGTGCTTCCTCCAGTTGACCTGGTTGTTGGCGTTGCCCCGGAAAGTAGTCCGACGCAGACATAATAGTCCGGATAGAGGCCGGAGCAGTCTCCATTGAGGGCTGGATTCCAGGAGTAGAAATCGGAAAGTGAGATACTATTTGCTGCAGCGATGTCGTAGCAGCCGGCATTAGGGCTTACGAGTTCGAATTTTCCGCAGTTCGAGGCCATTCCGGACTGTTGGAGTCAGCTATGAACCCATGACAAAGTAAGAGCTAGGGCTACCTGGATTGGCAGTGGGGTTGCTTGGCCGTTTGCCCCGGTGCTAGTGGCTTCCTGGGTGGTCGTTGCGGACGTTTGGGATGTGATGGAAATGGTGGGCGTAGCAGAGGGCACCGTCAATTGGACACAGTACTGATACCCGGGTCGGAGTTGACAATTGCCCGGCTTTGCAGCATCATAACTTAACGTGGGGTTCCAGGCGACAAAGTCCAAGACATCCACTGGCGTTTAGTTAGACATTCCCATCTATGGCCTAGGGAGGAGTCAATCCTTACCGTCATAGATTGTCGCAACCACGTAACACGTGTTAACCGTGGATGTATTCCGAAGAGGAGCGTAATACCGCGTATAGGTTGAGCAGTTAGGCCATGTTCCCGGGGCTACCGGCAAAGACGTAGGTTGTGTAGTTGTAGTAGTGTACGCTGGAAATGTCCAAGCAGTATCGGTCGTGACGGCACCGGTTGCCATGCAAGTCGACGGGACCGGAACGGTCAAACAGGGATTTACATTTCCACTTGGGTCTGTTAATGCTTCATGCTTTGAGCGAAAGAGAAGGGGTATGGAGAACATACCCATAGCCCGGATATGTTGTAATGTCGCCCACTGCCTCAACACAGTAAGAATACCCTTTGAACAGGTTGGTACAGTTTGGATTGTTGATTTCTGGGTTCTGTTGCAGTCAGCTGGTTAGTATGCGGTCGAGACGGTATGTATGAGCTTACCAGAAAGAAAAAGTCCGTTAGACTAATCCCCATCATCACTGTCACCGAACTGCAGGTATCCCTTGGGACGACTTCATAATATTTGGCACATCTTGTATTGGTCCCGGCCACCACATTAGAAGGTATTGACCTGAGGAGAGCATAAAAGGTCAGCTACTACAGCCACATCAAGACGAACGAGCGAAGGACATATATATACCGCCAGCTCTGCTTGGTTAAATTCTTGCATCAAATAATGCCATGACAAGGTAGTCTACCCCCCATTCGATCGTAGATACTCCCATATGCAGGAAAGCTTAAAGACACCAGCTGTGCCACCCAATGGACAATCTTAAATATCATTATTCCCGGACCACTCACTAAAAAAGCCGTAACTTATCAGATCGATAGCTTTAATTGGGCTGGAGTAGCTTATGCTTAGTGGGTGCAGAATAGTGGCGTGGAGCACGTACGAGCGCTAGGCAACTGCTCGCCGCTGGAAATTACAGGTGGAAATGCGGCTGTTTATGGCCTCAGTAGCTGTCATTTCGGCGTCGATTTCACAGGTCCTCACATTCTAGTTGTAATAATATTTTCACTCCATCAAGGATGGTGAACCACCGGCCCATGACCTCGTTCCCCCAGCGTCCGGAAATTCGCCGGCGCATTCCGCACGCTCATCGCATCCACGATACCGGGACCGACCTCCTCAATCGCCCGCAGCAGGTTCTCGACAGTCTCCCTCGTCGTCTGGACATTCACCACGCAGCGGAAGAACTTTCCGTCTCCGACCGCATCCTCGTCCCCACTGGGCGGCGCAAAGTCCACCATGAAGCCCTTGGAAACGATAGCGTGCGTCACGCGCTCAGTGACTTTGCTATTGGCCCTGCCGCGCTCGCTCTCATTCGACGCAATGCCGCGCGGGTGCAGCAGCCGCCCGCCGGGAGCGTAGTAGAAGCACACCTGCAGACACGGCGGCGGGTTCTCGCTGACGAGGATGAAGTTGGGGTTCTCGGCGACGAGGGTGGCCAGGTGCGCGGCTACGTCGCAGGCGGCGTCGATCTGGCGCTCGTACCCCGCGGTGCCGTAGTAGGTCCAGCCGAGGAAGAGCTTCAGCGAGTCGGCGCGGCGGCCGCACTGCAGTGTGAGGTCGGCCAGATCCCACACCTCGGGCGAGTCGGCCGCCAGCTCGGACTCGCCGCCGCCGCACCCGCCAGACGGCGTCTCATCGTCGTCGTTGTGGAAGAGGTAGCCGGCGGGGAGGGTGTTGGCGCGGTGGAAGCGGCGCAGGTCGGCGGCGAGGAGGAACGAGCAGGTGACGGGGACGCCGAGCATTTTGTGCGGGTTGATGGCGATGCTGTCGGCGAGGTGGGCGCCGGCGAGCTTGTGGCGTTGGCGGGGGGAGAAGACGAACGAGCCGCCCCAGGAGCCGTCGACGTGGAGCCAGAGGTTGTAGCGGCGGCAGATGGCGGCGATGTCGGCGAACGGGTCGAAGGAGCCCATGACGGTGGTGCCAGCGGTGGCGTTGACGTAGAAGGGCGTGCGGTTCTCGCGGAGGGCCTTCTGGACGAGGGTCTCCAGCTCGGCGGCGATCATGCGGCCCTGCTTGTCGACGGGGACGGCCCAGACGGCGCTGCTGCCGAGGCCTAGCATCTGCGCGGCCTTTTCGATGCTGTAGTGGCCGTGGGCGCTGGTGAAGAGCACGAAGCGGTGGTCGCCGTTGCCGTTTGACTTGGTGTCCGGGAAGAGGTTGTTGCGCGCGATCACGATCGAGGTCGTGTTGGAGGCCGAGCCGCCCTGCACGGAGATGCCGCCGGCGCGTGGCCCGGTCAGGCCAAAGAGCGCCGCTAGCTGCTGGCCGGTGTATTTCTCGATCACGGTGAGCGCCGGTGACACCTGGTAGACGTGGACGTTTGTGTTCAGGGCCGCGAGGATGAGCTCGGCCGCCACGCCGGGGGCGTTGGTCGACGCATACAGTTTGTCGAGGAAGCCCTGGTGCCAGGTGTTGACGGAGAAGCGGAGGACTTTGCGAAGCACGTCGAGGAGGCCGTCCTGCCCGGCGCCTTGCATGGGGAGCTCTAATTGAAGAAGTTCTTGCAGCTCTTCGGGCTTTTTGTAGTCGACTAGCGAGCTGGTGGGTGGTTTGTGGGCGCCGTTGGTCCCATTCGTCCCATTGAGGCCATTGTCACTTCCGTTGAGCCCGTTCTTCAGCGCCGGTCCGTGAGGGTCTTCATCGGCGGCGCGAATGAAGGGAATCAAGAGGTCTTCAACTGCGCTTAGAAGCTGCGGGACAAGCGGTGCGTTAATTATGGATCGGATGGTTCACAGCCAGAAGACTCACCTGTTTCACTTCTTCTGCGCGATTGGGTGTGGACTCAGCCATCTATATTGTAAGTATATAAAGAGAGAATATATTCAGCAGTGGATTGAAGACCATCGAGTGAAGAGGAAAACGTCAATGACGAGATCGCTTCGGCGGCGCGGATGGATTCAACGTCGGTTAAACCCACCAGCCCAAGTGGAACCAGAACCAGAACCCAGACTCAATCGCCCATGTTTGTCAGCACTTCCGCTGAGGCGATTCAGATAGGCTGTGTAGATCTTTAGCATGGTGGAGAGGATGGTAGAATGGTAGAACGGTCGATATTGCGACACTTCTGGACGATCTGACATCATCGATGGAAGGGATTTTCACATTTCCCGACACAGTTAGCTGCAGCTGGAGAACTTAGTAGGAATCGGTAGTTGAAGTGTCGGCAATGCACCGAACAAGCAGAGGATTTGTATAGATCGCAACGGGTCTTCGGCAATGCGACAGGTATCTTTATATAGAACACTCGTCGAGCACATAACATTGCTGCAAGTTCGATGACCTGCAGCAGATTGCTTTTCTTGGCTACTCTAAACCAACTACATCTATCCGTACAATCATTTCGCAGCCACCCCCTTCGCCTTTGCCTCTTCAGCCTTCGCCGCAAACCGAGCTCGTGCCAATTCGATCTTCGATTTCGGACGTTCGCCAGCCGCATTCTCCCCATCGAGTCCCTTGGCCTTCGCGGCCCATTCGCCTCGTCGTCGCTTGTAGAGGTCCATCGACCAGTTTCTCCATACAGCGCGTCCCACGAACGAATCCCGCAGTGCCAGTTCATGTTGCGTCAGCTCTTGTGCCATGCGTTCCTTGATGAAGAAAATATCCTTAGTCGCGGGCCACAGAGCATCAACCACACGAGAACCATTGCTGTCGAGCGCAAGATCATGCAGATGACCGAGGAATCGCGGCACAAACTGTCGGCGGAACTGCTGGGTGGACGTTGAGGCCGTGAGGGCCTGCTGGATAACACGCGTGGCTGTCGGATCTTTCGAAATCTTGACAAGAGCCTCGGGGGATTGCGCAAGCAGACTGGAGTATACCAGACCACTCAGGTTGCCAGGTGCAGTCAACATGGCCTGAGCAAGTAAAGAGCCATGCAGCTTTTCGGCCGCGCGGGAACCGGGTGCCGGTTCTTTGGACTTGTCCGCTTGTTCCGTATCCTCCTTCTTATCTTCCTCCAGTCGAAGCATCTGGTTCAGCCGGCGCGCAGGGTCCTTGTCGTAGGAAGCCTCCAGAGCCCCAGCAAGCGGTGTTGTATTAGCTCCACGCACAATACAGCGCTCAATCAGCACCTTGGGGACGATTGTCCTTGACCGTTCGATAAGGTTCGGGATCTGAGGAGAAAGCGATTCTACCGCCTCTTGGAGGTCATCCTTTCCAAGACGTTCTAACACCCGGAGAACAACATATCCGGCTGTCTGGTTTCGTGCGAGAGAGGTCATTTGATCGTGCATAAAGTTTTTGTAGAGGCTCTTGAACAGCTTTCCGGGCATGTATCGTACGATGGTTTCAAGTAACCGAGATCCCACAGGGTCGTAGAGCAACCCGCGGGTGAACGACGTCGTTTCCGTGCCGTCTTCGAATTTCTCATCCGGGATTAAGCGTCGGATGACGGATTTCGGGTCCTTTGCACTGGCCTTTCCGAAGTGCGACAGCTCCAGATACACCAACACTTGCAACACTGGGTTTCCGACCGGGTGCGTAGCCAGGGCTCTCAGATAGGTATCATCCAGTACGGAAATCATGTCGGTCATGATCTTCTTCAACGTCGCTTCGAAGGACTCCGGCACCGCTCTCCTCTGCGAGACAGCACTGCCCTCCTGTGACTCGTCATTCAATAGCCCCAATCTCTCTTTCTTTCGGCTTGCGACGACCGAGTCGCTTGTCGACAGGTCCACCGGCTCACCAGCCAACACCAAAAGAAGCACCCGGATGGTGTGCGAGGCAAACCGCTCCGTCAGCAAATAGCCCCAGTTTCCTTCCAACTCTTCCACCACCTTCATGAACATCTCCGCTAGCGTCAGCTCGGGCTCGGGCTCCTCGTCCTCGTCCTGGTCGATATCCATCTTGTTTCCTTTCGTCTTGGAGATTTTTTGCGTCACGCCCGGCGCCGCATTGATGAAGAGCGTCTCACAGCAATGGCTCGCGAAGCGATGCTGAACCAGGTGCAAGAAATGCCCGATGAACTTGCTGAACAACCTCCGGATCTGATGGATATCGGACATGGAGATCAGCTTCTCCATAAGCCGAGAGCACGACTGACTGCAGGCAATCTTGAGTTCCTTGCCCCTAGCCTCTTTATAGACACTCTCAACAAATATGCGCCGCTCCTCTGCGTCCTGAAACTGGTTCAGCTCCAGCACCTCGTTCGCACGGGAAAAGTACTCCTGCTCTTCTGGGTCAAGAAGACCGTAGAAGGGCGTGTCACCAGAGGCGGTAACATCCTGTGTGTTGTCCTCAATGTTTTCCTCGACGTTGTCCTCAACGTTATCCTCGAAATTCAACGGAATGTAGTCAGCGCCTTCGGTGAAGTCGGTCGCGGGCTGCGTCTCCTCGATCGACGTCGACGGCTTCAACCGTTTGGCGGCGGGGTCTTCGGGGGCTTCGTCGCGCTTTCGCTTGGAGGCATCTTTCTGGGCCTTCTCGGCCGCACGGCGACCGCGTTTCTGCTTTTCGCGGGGCATGATTGGGTCTGGGGGGTTGTGATGTTCGTGTTGGCGTTGGTCGGGGTTTTCTCGCGCTGGAAATTTTTTGGATAAGCGGTGGTCCAAGCGTCTTCCGCGGAGTCGCGTGTTTGTCTTGTTTGCATATTTCTTGGTTTCTATAGAAGTACGTAGAGGATTCAAGCTTCAACAATATTGATATATATCGCTCTACTTTCATCTTGGTGATAGTATACTTTGAGTAGGCTCAAAATGAATGCTTTTAGCTTGTAGCATAACTACATCCTTCGTTCTCAGACGCACGCAGAACAGATCGTAAAGATATGTTCTGAACCAGACAGTACAAAATGAACATCAATATTCATGAGTAGGGACTTAACACATCCAATAAGAAACTAAATTACATATTCGGCCACATTATACAGAAGAGTAAATAGCAGAAACGTGTCGGCCACACACTACCCGTTGTTCCATGCTTACCGTCCGCGATCCAGCCTTAGCTTTATGCCGCGGCATGATCTGAAGCCGTGCTTCTTCATCTTCCTTTTCATCCCCGGGCGGCGCGTTAATGTATGTCGGCTTGGACATGTTGCTTCTCTTCCCCGTGCCGAGCTGGAAGTGCTCATTTCCACCCCACCAAAGAGCATCATAGCCCCAATCATCCGACTCGTTCAAAGAAGTGGTCGGCGAGGGTTTCATGTGAACCTTGTTGTCCATCACGGCTGAAACGTGCGTCGTGCCCACGGCGATATCACGTAATCGAATTGGGGAGAGAGTTTTTGACTGCTCGTCATACTCGAAAAGACCGCTCAGCGCTTTGACCTTCGTAGGGGCATCCTGAATATGTGTCCATTTTCCGTTTCCAAGAGCGCCCCAAATGCCGCGCCCACACGCCCAGGTATCAGCTGTAACACGGTCCAAGTCACGGATAGTGGAAGGATTCTCTCCAGACCCCACAATGCGTTTTGCATCGACCGTCAAGAAGCTGTTAGCCCCTCCGGCGGCAATTCCGGTCACCTTGGGGAACCAGATATCACCTTTGTAGAGGTTCTTCACAGGGAGCAGCGTAGGAGCATCGAAAAATGGCAGAGACGGATCGAACATCATGCCCAGTTGACCGAGAGAGTTGTCACCAAAAGCAAAAACGCTGCCGTCTTTGCTCAATGCCAAGGAGTGGTAATCGCCAGCCGCAATGTCAACAATTTTGGAGCCACTGAGCGCCTTGACCTCGTGACAGGTATCTACCGGCCCCTTTGGTCGAGTCGCCCACGTAAGGCCTGGGACACCGAGCTGCCCAAAGGAGGGGTACGATTCGGTCGAGGCGGCAACAGAAAAGACACGGCCGCTACTTGTCAAGAGAAGTGCATGTTCCAGACCTCCACGGATAGCAGTAATCTTTTCACCGAGCTTCAGACTCGGCTGGAGCACCCGGTAGCTCAATCCGGAGCTTCCAGACCAGAAAGGAATCCATGAGCCTTCCTTGGGCTTCTTTCCCGACAACTGATCTGCTTCCGCAATGGGCACCGAGTACACCTTACCATCAGCCGCTAGCGCCAGGATGCGGTCGTTGGACATGCAGAGAGAAGCCAAGTTCTTGCCCGTCAACGTCTTCGTGGGCTTGTAGTGAGATTCCGAATATCCCTTTCCCCACTGAACCAAATCCCCCTTCTCATCAATCGCAGCGCCCGACTTATCCGTAAGCTTCAGATCGCGAAGCACTTGTCCGTCAAAGTATGCCAGTCTCCGAGGGGTTTTGATCACAGATTCCTTGGAATCTGGATCCACGACGCGATAGGAATTGGTGCCCCATACGTAGACACCTGGGCTTTTCACGCTTCTCTTCTTCTGAACATATTGCGACCCCAACTCTCCAGGCGTAGGCGAAAAGTCCTTGGCTTTAGGGCTTACAGGACTTTCGAGTTCATCGCTCTTGGTGGCGTAGGAGTAGATCAGAAATGCCGCTGTACCCGTTCCCGCAAGACCCAAGGAATTCCAAAACCAACTCGACGAAGAGGGCGACTGTCCAGAAGAGTGACGAGCGTTGCTGGCATAATTCCTTCGCCACTGTAGTCCAATCGATCGGCCGGTCCGGGGAAGGCGACGAGAAACGGCGACGAGGCTCGTCGCAGGCTGTCGGGCTCGTGTGCTCCACATGATGCGCTTAGAGATCCGTAGACATGCGCATGTCGCAGCTTCGGGGATATGGTGGTGTTTGATCTGCCTAGCAAGCGACAGAGTCAAACGTCGAGGCTGTCGCGATGGTCACTTGCGTCAGTAGCGGAAGCGGAAGGCGGCGGCAGAATATCGCGACGAAGCGGCCACGGAGGACAGTTCAGTTCCATCAGCAGCTACCACTCCCCCCACCAGCTTATGGTCCCATCATGATTGCTTGCCCCGTTTGCACCAGGGCATAGGACCAGAACGAATTCTAACTTCTCGGACCGGCATTCCTTTCAGAATGCGTCAACAAGCTGCGGGAAAGCGATCCCGCCGCCAAACGGCTCCGCCCCGACCACCCTTGGAGCTCCAGGCCAAAGGCATCGCTGCAGCTGAAGCCGTGCCCGAAGGACCGGAGTCGATTGCGGATGTCCATAATGAACTGGAGTTTAGCCAATGGTACCATGACATTGAGGATAGCCTGCTCGAAACCAGTTACGATGAGTACCAGTATGCGCCCGCTACGTGCCGTTACGACGCCCGAGATATTGACTATCGCTGTGCTCTAGAGCCTGCCTCCATGAACTTCAGATGTCCAAATCGCATCTCGACACGCTGCTGTCAGATACTTCCTCGACCCTCGACCTCCTTACCAGTCTGTCGCAGGACTTCAAAGCGGTGGAATTGCAGACGTCCAACTTCCAGAAACAATGTGAGGGGCTGCTGACGGCGCAAAAACGGGACTCGGAGCTAGCAGCAGACATCCAAGAGAATCTTCAATACTATGACTTCCTGGATCCTGCTTCACGACGACTCAATGCACCAGGTGCGGGTAACACTGTCCGCAGCCAGGAATTCTCGGATATGCTAAGACGGCTGGACGAATGTTTGGACTATATGGAGACGCACGTTAGTAGATCAATTCCCCTTGCTGCACACTTTTCTAACTTTCGCCTCCAGCCTGATCAAAAGGAAGCTAGCGTATACCGCTCCAGATACCGATTACTTCTAACACGCGCCCTCACGTTAATTCGAGGGCACTTCGTTTCGGCGCTTCGAGATGTGTACGTGGGTGTCTCCAAGAAGATCGCAGACAAGCAACTCAACGACACCACTATGTCGGCACTCCTTTACGCCAAATTTAGAGTTGGCGCCCCGGAATTGAAACAGATTGGGTTGGAGATTCAGAAGAGAGCTGTTCCGCCCCTGGACCCGGACCAAGGCGCGGAGGCCGAATACCAAAGTCTACTCAATGAGCTCCACTCTAACTACGCTGCCATTCGCAGCAAGTTGATAATCCCCCTGGTGCAAAAGAACCTGAACGATATAGCACAGGCCCCGAGTACGTCGAAGGACCTTGTTTCCTTTGCACGCGGTAGCATCAGCTATATCCGTGGTATCTGTCTGGATGAGTTTGACCTGTGGAGTGAATGGTTTCACGGGTATGGGGGCTTGTATGACTTCCTGGAGGCAATCTGCGAACCATTATATGACCATCTCCGACCGCGGATTATACATGAGGATAAAATCATTCGGCTATGTCAACTGTGCACTCTACTGCAAACTCGGTATTTGTTCGACCAGGACGAGGAGGCTGAAAGCCCGGACGCAAATCAACTCGACTTCCACTCTCTGATCCAACCAGCCCTGGAGGATGTCCAAACTCGCTTAGTGTTCCGTGCGCAAGCCTTCCTTCGTGATGAGATCGAACGATATAAGCCTCGTCCGGAAGATCTTGATTACCCTGCACGTAACAAACAGGTGTCGATATCAGTCACAGAAGGCCAAATATCGGGTCGGAAGATTGCTCCTGCCGACGCCCTGGTGAATATATCCAAACCAACAAAGCAGAGTGAGGATGGCGCGGATCCCTCTGAGCAGGACTCAAAGTGGGATTTTGAATCTCAAGCAGCTTTCAGTGGTTGGTACCCAACACTGCGGAAAGCCATTTGGCTTTTAAGCAGAATTTACCGGCTGGTAAATGTATGAGATTGTCTCCTATGTTGATATTTGCTACATGCTAAACTGACCGATTTATGCAGTCTACTGTTTTTGATGACCTAGCGCATCAGATTGTCCACCAGACAAACGACTCCCTCCACCAAGCAAGCTCTTTGATCTCCAGCAAATCTTCGCCTGTGGATGGACAGCTCTTTCTCATGAGTCATCTGCTCATCCTCAAGCAGCAGATTGTTGCTTTCGACATCGAATATGTTGCACCTGAAGTATCGTTCGACTTTTCAGCCATGACCAGTACTTTCTGGGAACTTCGAGAGCGAGGTGGTCTATTTAATCCACGCAATCTCATGCGTCTCGTCGGACATGGACTACTCCCTCGTGTTGTGGAGAACATGCTCGACGCCAAGGTTGAGCTTGATGGACGTCTCCGGACGGTCATCAACGACTTCATCAACGGGTTCGCCACGAAAATGACGGCCTCGCTACCGGCAAAGTTTGTTGACACACGGAATCTCCAACGCGGGGAACTGATCTACCCTACCTGCCGGAATATCGAAAAGGAAGTCCCGGAGCTGCGCAAAATTCTGAGCGATTACCTCGATGATGCCCGGATGAAGGAGACGCTGGTTGGCGCCGTGCAGGATCGCGTGATCCAAATCTATGAGGATTTCTTCGGCAAGTACACCTCTTCAGAGAAGAGCAAGGGAAAGCCTGTCAGCAAGAAGGGCAAGGGCCGCGAGGATGCTGTGTGGGACGTGGATACATTTGCAGAGTGGTGTGAGGGTGTTTTCCGCGTTGGGATCTACGGACCCGATGATGATGACGATGTGTTTGCGAGTCGCAGCGTGAGTCGGACCGGTAGCCTTGGGTCGCAGTATCGGTAGCGTTCGCGATTCCAAACGATAGATACTTGGATTCAGATGTGTATATTCCCCACTCGATTCAAATTTGCATGTGTCCATGTCTTATATGAAGCCAGGCTAAGCCGACGTGATCTGAGCTGATACTGCCTCAGGCCGAATTGCTAGCGTGAGCCAGCCTTGTAGGAACATGCTGACTACCCCTCATTTCTCCCAGGTTGTCAGCCTGATGAGTCTCTTAACTACTCATACAAGCGAAAGGAGTCATCTCTTGGCCCAATTATCTCGCAGATGGCTTCCCTGACCAGCGACGATTACACAGTCGCGTGGATATGTGCCTTACCGTTGGAGGTAGCAGCAGCAAGAGTCATGCTTGACAAAATCCACCGTCCCTTCCGCCCACCGTCCACAGATCCCAACGCCTACGTGTTTGGTGAACTTAATGGCCATTTCGTCGCCATCGCCTGCCTACCTACAGGCATATATGGAACCGTATCTGCTGCTACTGTTATGGCGCATATGTGTTCCACTTTCCGTCGGATCCAGTTTGCGCTTCTGGTGGGAATCGGAGGCGGTGTTCCAAGCACACAGAATGACATTCGACTAGGAGATGTGGTGGTCAGCAAGCCAGTGGGCAAGAACAGTGGAGTGATCCAGTATGACTACGGCAAGACGGTGCAGGGCGGAAAGTTCGAGCAGACCGGCATGTTAAACCACCCGCCGCAGGCTCTTTTGACCTATATGGCCTATTTACAGGCCGCTCAAATGACAAAACATGATGAGACGATTTCAAAGATTGTGGGCGATGTATTGGCACGGAATCCAGATATGAGAGAAAAATTTGGGCCCCCAGATCAGGAAAGAGACTACCTCTTTTCTGCCTCCTACCACCATCTCAACAATGGTAGCGACTGCGACAAGTGTGACAAGGAGCAATTAATCGCCCGAAAGCCGCGTGACCAAACACCTCAGGTCCACTACGGGTTGATTGCCTCTGGAGATCAGGTTATGAAAGATTCGGAAACACGCGACCGCCTCGCCCAACAGTTTGGAGTATTGTGCTTTGAGATGGAGGCAGCAGGTCTTATGAATCAGCTGCCCACTCTCGTGATCCGTGGGATTTGCGACTACTGCGACTCCCATAAGCAAAAGGACTGGCAAGGATATGCAGCTTTAACAGCAGCTGCCTATACAAAATCCCTATTGTCAGTCGTACCTTCTTCGACGGATCCGAGCCAGCCGAAGAACAACAGAATGGGTCATTGGATGGTCCCACTGGCAAGGAATCCACGATTTGTCGGCCGTCAGGAAGAAATCACCAAAGTACAAGAACTCATCATGGCATCAGATGGGCCTCGCCAGATCGCCATCACTGGCCTAGGAGGGGTGGGTAAGACACAAATAGCCTTGGAACTGGCGTATCGCATACGGGACCTAGATAAGGCGTGCTCGATTTTCTGGATTCCATGCACTAGTCTTGGAATGATCGACCAGGCGTATCTAAATATCGCACAGACACTTGGACTGTGTGATGTGAATCCCGCTCAGGTCAATGCACAGATCAAGACATACCTTAGCTCTGAGCGTGCCGGGAAGTGGCTTCTGATTTTTGATAATGCAGATGATATGGATATGCGGCCTACTCTCGAAGACGCTCTCCCGGAAAGCGAACATGGCTGTGTCCTGTTCACTACCCGAAACCGAAAACTCGCAGTTGAATTGGCGTCCTCCGATACCATTCCCATCCCAGATGTGGATAGAGATACCGCGTTGAAAATCCTGGAAAAGTCCCTGATCGATCAAGCTTTGCTGAAGGATAGTGAAACGACAGTGGCTCTTCTGAAACAACTGACCTTCCTCCCGTTGGCAATCGCGCAGGCGTCAGCGTACATCAACAAAAATTCACTAGATCTGTCCACCTACCTGAAGCTTCTGCAGGAAAAAGAGCCAGACATAGTGAACCTTCTAAGTGAAGATTTCAAGGATGCAGGACGCTATAAGGATATACAGAATCCTGTGGTTACTACATGGTTAATCTCGTTCGAACAAATCCAGCGTCAGAATCAACTAGCAGCGGACTTTTTGTCTTTCATGGCGTGTATCAATCCGCGCAACATCCCTTATTCTCTCCTTCCTTCATCAACATCTAAGAAACGCAAAGCTGATGCGCTGGGGCTTTTGAGTGCCTATTCATTCACAAACGCGCAAGATATGGGTATAAGCTTGCACAGACTTGTGCATATTGCAGTACGGAACTGGCTTAAAAAGAGTTCGGTCTTTAGCCACTGGATCCAAAGAGTGGCTGACCGGATGGCCGAAGTTTTCCCAAATAGTCACTATACTAACAGGGGACTTTGGCGGCAGTATCTTCCCCATGCGTTATCACTTGTGCACGACGAGGAGTTCAGACTGCAGCGAGAGCACTACCTTAATCTCCTTGACAACATGGCCTGTTGTCTTCTCAGTGACGGCCGCTATCACGAAGCGGAACTACTCCTTACAGACCTGATGGAAATGAGGATTGAGAAACATGGTCACGAATGTCACAGTACTTTCCTCAGCATAGCAAGATTAGCAGAAACATACTGCTACCAGGGACGATGGTTTGAAGCTGAAGAGCTACAGATACGGGCGTTAGAGATAGGGAAAACAGTGCTAGGGGCTGAACATCCCGATACTCTAACCTGCATGAATGACCTCGCATTAACCTGCTGGAGCCAAGAACGATGGACCGAAGCTGAAGAGCTAGGGATACAGGTGCTGGAGATACGGAAGAAGTGCTAGGGGCTGAACATCCGCACACTCTGACCGGCATGCATAACCTAGCATCAACTTACTGGAGCCAGGAACGATGGGCCGAAGCTGAAGAGCTACAGACACGAGTGCTACGGATACAGGAGAAATTTCTAGGGGCTGAACATCCAGATACTTTGATCAGCGTGCATAACCTAGCAGAAACTTACCGGTGCCAGGGACGACGGGCCGAAGCTGAAGAGCTAGGGATACGGGCACTGGAGACAATGAAGATCGTGCTAGGGGCGGAACATCCTGACACTCTGACCAGTATGTCAAATCTCAGCTCTACGTGGGTGTCACTGGGAAAGCTCCAAGAAGCCATATCTTTGTTGGAAGAGTGTTATACGCTGCGCAACAAAGTGTTAGGGCCTGACCATCCGCATAGCACATCCACCTTCCATGCTCTCAGTATCTGGAAGGACAAGCGCAATCAACTACCAACCATGGAGTCCACAGCGCCACTCACTTGTGTACAAGATGCGCAAAGCCGAGATGGAATTGCCGTCGGCGATTCAGAGGCTGAAGTGTCGAAACAGCAGCTCTGCAACTGGCAGATTATGCTACGTCCACCTGCGAGTCGATTCCTGGAAGATCACCCTCTCATGAAGGCCTTGAGAACAGTCCCGCTTGGGCCGAGAGATCTAGAACCGAAAGAAGTGGATTGAAAAGACATGATAACCCTCTATCATATATGTTTTGTTATCATCTTCATCGTCTGCTGAAAGCTATGATGCGGAATCATAATAGTTCAACCAGGCTGAGCAAGAAGGCTGGCTACTGAGTTATCCCATGACTAGAGGTCTAGATATGCCAGCTCTCAAGTGTAGTTTTCTGATAGACCCAGATGCGTAATCCCTGTATGTTCGGATAGGACATCACATTGGAAATCGCTTCAGGTCTTCGCACAAGAAGGATAGAAAAGATATAGTTGAGTCATAAAAGGCTCGGAAATCAATTGTTCGCCTTGGATGCCGCGACGCCAGCTTTCGAGGTTCGCATGGATTAAAGACGTAGGGCTAAATGCCATGAGACGGTCCCTCAATAAACAAAGATGAAATCCTCATTCTTCAGGTCCGTCGTATCCGCGAAGCCTTTGTCACTGAGCTGATCGTCATCAGGTGCACTTTCAACATTCTCCAGCTCCATCGCCTTGCTACCTAGGTCTTTCTTCGCCAACATGGACTCGTCAACGATCTGAGCCGACTTGCCCATCTCTCGTCTCTTTTTAGCATGTTTCTTATTCAGGTACACAAGATACAGATTGGTGATGCTGTCGGTTGAGTCGTAAGTATGCCAATCCAGAAAGTCAGGCAAGATATGGACACTTACATTGCGAACACACCCACCAACACAAACAAAATCAAGTTTGAGATCAGACCAGGTCGGTAGAGCGGTGCCTGGTCCGTGGAATACAGTTGAGGGCCGATGACCTGTGACGTGTTTAGCACATAACGTGGGCAAGGAAGCAGTCTCGCACATACATTGCCTGCGCACATCCCGATCAACACCACTGCCGATGTACATTTCCGCTTAGTATCTCCAGCAGTATTCTGCGCTTCCCAGGCGTAGACCAGAGGGGTGATAGCTGCTAGAAAAGAGACCTGATTCGGTAAGTATGCACTCACCGGGATTGTAGGGCACACAAACCAGATAAAAACCAAACAACAGGACACCCTTTTGGTCGCGAGGCACCACAATCATCAACAATGTCCCAATCGCAGCAACTATCGCAAATCCAACGATGACCAGCCCCTTCCGCTGGAACCGAGTGGCCAACCAGCCTCCGCCGATGATGGCGATGATTTGAATCACGCCGAAGGGGATATTGAAAAGGATGGTCTCGAAGCTGTTATAACCGAATGACTTGATGATGAGGTTACCAAAGGTGCTGATACCGCCGCTGGGGATCCTGCACAATGTCAATACCGCGTTCTCTGCTCTCTTACGTCGACGAGGAACACCTACGAGATAGTCACGATCAGGGAAAACCAGCACCAGGTCTTGAGATCGTACAGCGTCTCCCAGACATGATCCCAACGCCACTCGCGGGAGATGATGCCCATCTGATTGGCGCGCAGTCGCTCGACCGCGATGACCTTTTCGCGGTCGTTGAGATATTTCGCTTCCATGGGTGAATCGGGCATGAGGAAGAGGACTGCAAAGGAGAATGCGACGGTGAGAAGCCCACAAAACATGAAGATGATCTATCGACCCGGTCAATTGCCGTGCTCGGGAGATCATATTGGCTGTTTATAAGCATATACCTGATATGAATACAGCGTGTTGCTGTGGAAATGGCCGAGTCCGTACGTGAATAGACTGCCAACCTGGGGGGTGTTAGCTGTTGAAGACATGTTGCACTTGGAGACAGTACAATGAAGGTCACTCCGTTCATGCCGTTCCACAGCGCCGTGCGAAGTGTCTGTTCGCCTCGTCGCCACCACATTTGGGTCACGGCGACGCAGGAGGGTGCTGTCCCAGTAGTCAGTATTGTCTTTTAAGGTACTGCATGGGTTGAGAGGACCTACCGATCATGGCCTCGAAGGCCCCTAATGTGAATCGCAGCCCCAACAAGCTTGGGAAATCCGTGCAGGCTGCCATGATCGCGAGCGAACTCCCCCAGAGAAGAACGGCACTTCCAATGAGTTTTCCCGTGGGTGCCTTGACTAGAAGGAATGCTGCGACAGGCTGCATCACTAGCTGAGCCAGGTAGAGGATCGATCCTAGCCAGGAGTACTGCTGACCATGGAGGTTTGCATCTTCGACGATTCCAAATATGGATACATACGACAAAGAAGACTTGTCCAGCTGCTGGAAGAAGTATGCTCCGAGGAGCAGAGGGAGAAGGCGGCGGTCGATTCGTCTGAGAACTGCTTTCTCTTCTTCCAGAGTAAATGAGCGGTCTTGGTCTGTGTTGGCCAGGAACTGGGCTGCTTTTTCACGAATTATTTCGTTGGCACCCTTCGTCCTAGTAGCATGACCGTCAGTGGTGTTGTCGTTGGCGGGTTTGGGGCTGTTGATGGCCGTGATGGCATCTTGAGAGTCAGGTTTATCGGACACCATGTCTGAGGAGCACTATAGAGCACTAGTGTAAGATACTGTCTGCAGGCTCCGTCCTCTTCATGATGCTGGGTTATTTATTCTGATCCCTTCCATCGGCCTACATTTAACCGATGGTATCACAGCCAAGCCGCCATAGGATCCTGCTATCATGATTGATGGAGTGGGATGTCAAGCATCATGCAAGGCTTCCCTAAATCCTCTGTCTACTGGAGACTCGCCTTCCCCGCATGATATCGCAGGCTGTGATTCATGGAAATACTACTATCCAGTCCGACTGGGATCAGCGTGGATGCAGCTGATCCTCCACCTCGGGGTAATTCATCCCAGCATCCCCGCATTCCCCAGACTACCTATATACGAGACCGTTTTTCGGCCTCAGCCAGTCAACGAACAATACAGCTTGGAAACACCATACAGTCTGCAAGATGAAGAGGTACGCTTTGGTGGGCACCGGAGGCCGGGCCATGTTCTTCTACACAGCCATCGTCCGAGACTTCGCTGCCACTGCGGAGCTTGTCGCCTTCTGCGACACCAACAACACCCGCATGGCCTACGCAAACTCCAAGATCCAAGCCCTGGGGCATGGAGCTGTCCCTACCTATCTGGCCAGCGACTTTGACCGCATGGTCAAGGAGACCCGTCCGGACGAGATCATCGTGACCACCATCGACCGTACTCACCACCACTACATCGTCCGCGCGCTTGAGCTAGGATGCAACGTCATCACCGAGAAACCCATGACGATCGATGCCCCCCGGTGCCGCCAGATCATCGACACCGTCGAGCGTACTCAACGCCAGGTCCGGGTGACGTTCAACTACCGGTATGCGCCGCATAACAGCAAGATCGCGGAGCTGCTGGCCTCCGGGGCCATCGGGGACGTCTACTCGGTGCATTTCGAATGGATGCTCAACACGTCACACGGAGCGGATTACTTCCGGCGCTGGCACCGCGACAAGCGCAACAGTGGCGGGCTGCTGGTGCACAAGTCCACGCACCATTTCGACCTGGTGAACTTCTGGCTACAGACAAAACCCGAGACCGTGGTCGCCATGGGTGATCTTCGGTTCTACGGCAAGGAGAACGCAGAGGCCCGCGGAGAGACAAAGTTCTACTCTCGGGCAGCTGGGAGTGAGGTTGCCCGGGATGACCCGTTTGCGCTGCATCTCGACCAGAACGAGCAGCTCAAGGCGTTGTACCGTGATGCAGAGTGGGAGGATGGATACTATCGAGACCAAAGTGTGTTTGGCGATGGGATCAGCATTGAGGATACGATGGGCGTGATGGTGCGGTATCGGTCTGGGGCGGTGTTGACATACAGCCTGACGGCGTATGCGCCATGGGAAGGGTTTCGAGTTAACTTCAACGGGAGCAAAGGCCGACTGGAGGTGGAAGTGGTCGAACAGTCGTATGTCAACTCAGGTGGTGAACAGTCTCTGGAGGGGGCGCTGGAGAGTCGAACGATTCTTTTGCGACCCTTGTTCGAGAAGCCCATCGAGATAGAGGTTCCCACCGGGTCGGGAGGCCATGGAGGCGGAGATCCTCAGCTGCTGGAAGATCTGTTTGGCACGCGTCGAGACGATCCGCTGAGACGAGCAGCTTCGCATATCGATGGAGCCTGGTCTATTGCTACGGGAATTGCCGCGAATGAGTCGATGAGAAGAGGAGATACCGTACGAGTAGAAGATGTCTTGAGGATATAGATTAAATTGATAGACGATCTCCCATGTAGATGATGCTTGCCCAGAGAATGAAGGCTTTTTCTAGGTCCCTCGTAAGAGGACACCAGTATTCTCCAACAACGCGAAACCCTTTCCTCAAACCAATATGACCCATTGATCTCGCTGACGACTTTGGGCATAATCCTTAAGGAAGACTTTTCCAAATGCTGTCCCGCACATGCCTCGAATCTTCTCTCTAACTCGTCCTCACACACCTTTACAAGACTCTCTGCAATGCCTCTTTTCCTGTATTCCACGCCAGGTTTGACCGCAAGAAGATTTCAAAATCTCCCTTGCAACTATCAGCGCCCGTACTTGATGTATAGCTGCCAAGGCTAGGCGAATGCATGGGAAGAATCTCGTTGGCGCTTTTCCCTTCATAGTAGCCGCTTGGCTTCCAGGTAATGCCCTCGGAATTGGGCACACATTCATTCCATCGCCTATATGACTTCCAGAACCCCCTGGTTCATACAGCCAGGAGTGCACTGTGGGTTCAATCCGAACAATTTACAAGCAGTATGATGCATCTCCTTAGTTGATAAAAGTTAACATGCAAACTAACTGAGACCCGAGCCCCGCCATTTCAATCCTCTCCCTCGATCGACATAAATTCAATCTCTCCCTCCGATGTTACTGTGAACCGATCATTTCTGATACCGCTATCGTAGCCCACTTTCATGGAATAGCGTTTTAGCACTTCGATAACCGCCATCTTCAGCATAACAATGGCGATATTCTGACCCATACAACGCCTACTTCCAATTCCGAAGCGCAGGAACGCATACCGATACGCTGTAGGCGAGATACTGGCAAACCGCTCAGGGCAGAATACCTCGCTATCGGCACCCCAGATCTCAGGCGTCGTGTTCAAACGCTTCCAGTCGATGATGGTTGGTGTACCAGCAGGGATATGGTAGCCTCCGATGATCTTGTCTGTTGCCGTTTTCTCTGGTAGAGAGAACCCTTTGAGATACAATTAGTAGATGGGACAAACATGCCGCGCCATTATAGGGACTTACATAGCGCAGGACTCATACGAAGAGATTCCATGACTGCATAGTGAAGAAGCGTATCCTTTTTCTCCACGTAGTCCATCAATTTATAAGATGGCTCATTCTGGCGTGCTTGAATCTCCTCCCTCAGTTTTGATTGGAATGATTGATTCGCAGAGATGTTGAGAAGCAGAAAAGATGTCACGGTTGAGGTCACGTCTATGTTTGTGTACAGCAGCTCGTACATCGTTTGTAGGAACTGGTGAGAAGTGTTAGTACATATCAGAGGACAGATCAGGGTTGATATATACTTCTACTTTGTATATATCACCTGATTCAACACCATCAAATATGCGCAGGGCTGGACAGCGCAGGTTATTCTATTTTTTATGACCATATTAGCCTTGACTTCCTAGACAGTCAGGTCGGACGGTGAACATCTATACCTCTCGCGCTTTCGCAAGGACTTCGTCATTGAGTCGCTCCCAAGACCGTTCGAATTTCTTCAAACGGGATCTGAACTCGGTTGGGAGGAAATTAAAGAGCTTGTATGGTGTCCATTTGCCAAATATCGCGTCAAGCATCAGGGGCTCATGTAGGTCGTTCAGATGAACTAGTTCTTGGTATGTCTGCAATCATCAGCCTGGTTCTAGTAGGAGAACAGACCTACAAAAAAAAAAAAAATATTTGAGTACCTTCGTATCCAGAGCATCTCCGTAAGCTGTCAATGCTATCAACCGAAATGGTAGGAAGTGACAGGCCTCTGCTGCATTCCGAACAAACCTCGATATTGGATGAGGGTTGTCCGCAGAGCCTTGAGACAGTTCAGTCACCCATTGACTTATCTCTGTAGCAAATATGTCTGACATATAGACACTCGATGAATGCGAAAATTCTGGGTCAAAATGGGCACGAATGGCTACCCACTTTCGTCCGCCTTGGACTCCGGCTGATCTTCCGAGGAGCCTAAGGGAACTAGGAGTTAATGTATGATCCAGAGTGCGTAGTAAGTATGCTAACCGGCCGAAGGCATCACCCAGATTTAGGTTCTTCCCTTTCATATGATCTGAAGACCAGTCAGAGAGCTTCTTACAGCAAGCTTCTATAAATGAACATACCCTTCCCATCTTTCCGGTAGAACTCTTGGACGTGTTCGGGCTGTGTGACCACCAATTCGCGAGTCCAACCATTATGGACAAGATATGGTTCTTCGCCCGCCATGTCCTGGCCTTCTTGCGACATTTCGAGGCTGAGAACATCAACAGCAGTCCGGATCATCCCTCCAGTTGACTCACCCATGAGAGAACCGCAGGTACCGTGTGTCCCCCTTCAGCTTTTTGATCTTTCGACCACTGACATCTCGGAAGTGCTTGCTTGTCTAAGAACGTTAACTCCATGTCTTGCAATGGATGATGGAGCAATGCACATTTTGGAAATGCCGTGTGTAGACACCAAGTAGTATAGAAAGCACTGCAGTAACAAGCAGAGATCCCAACCTTGAATCCAAGAGATAGTAAGCCCCATAAACAGTGGCTGCTGGGGAAGTTAGATTCAACACAATAGATTTCATTATGAGAGAGAGCACAGTACAAAATAGAATGGTGTTGACAGGATCGGCTCTATTCCGGCGAATATCGGACGTTCTCTATATCAATGCTTCAAGAAGTCTACCTCGCCCGACGACAACACAGCTCGTACGAGACTCTAGATATCACTCTTTGGAATCACGCCAGCACCCTAGCCTAGTGCTTACTGCCATCACTTCCCAAACGTGACTCAAACCTCGAGTTGATGGCATATATCGGTTCAATTGGAAATCGCCGAGGATAACCAGGAGGCGAGGGCACAAACATGGTTCGAATTCGCCGATGTGCAATTCCGATAGCTGACTGGAGCATCTAGACAAGCATCGGGCTCACCATATGAGACGGTAAAAGCCTCACAACTCACTGTCATGCGACATACGAGATTTTGTCGAATTTACCCTAGAGACAACTACACACGTAACTTTGTTATACGACCTCCCACGAGATTCGATGCCCGATGAGACACGCCAATGAGCATGCCATGCCCAATGTCCTACCTATATAGACCTATATACCGTGGAATAGCTACCTTGGAGCTTTCCGGCTATAGGGAAGGGGTGCGGGCCGCGCCGCCGGATGTAAGGAAGAAAAGAAGACCTGGCATGCTCTCGGGCATTATATGCCCGCTAGATTTCCATATGCGAGGAAATGCATAATATCCGACTGCAACTGTGCATAGGGCGTCTTGATCACTTGCATGGTGGTAGGGATTGTGAGGCAAACTTATACTGAGCAAACACATATACCTTGTAAACCTGCCAGCATCTTGCCATGTTGTTCGAATAAGCACGCAACTATTGGACGTTTTGCGAGCGCTGCTCGCAAATGAAAGAAGCTTATGTTGCATCTGACAACTATAAGAACGTGTTCATGTTTCACAATCCTGAGATCACGCCACAATCCATGAATGACAATTCCATTCAAGACAGGCATGAGCTGGTCATATTCCTGGATATGTTACACAGCCTCTATCAAACTGGCGAACGCCTTGCATGACCCGACAAGTCATCGGCCGACTCCCAAGCCACCAATTTGTAAAGAAGTTCACGCCATGGTCCCGAGGCGCCGAAGAAGTAAAGTGCTTAGAAGAAGGCCATTGACGCCTAAGGATTATAATTCTCGTTGCTATAGGCACTCCCGATTGGTCTGAGCACCTGAGGCTTTAGCAGATCCAAGTGTTTATTTCTAGGAACCAAGGCTTGTCTATAAATACAATGGGAAAAACAGGACCCGGGTAGAGCCCTCATAGAACCACCGTTCACAGCTTCGCTCCAATTCTTTTGATGCCCCTTCAGAATGACGTCGTTCCTCTTTCGCACTTCCACGGCACCCGAGTTCCCACGTCCTCGCAAGACGTATGGATCAATGTACACGGACCTCGTTAGAGCGTCTTCGGACGCCGTCGACGCCCTTTCCCTCTACCGTACCCTGATCCTAGCCAAGGACACCAGCGCGGACGGTGTCGGATTCGCGGCATTTGATGCACATGTTGGTGACACGTCTTGCCAGTTGCGTGCCGCCATGATGCTTGATTTGACCAGGCAACATAGAAAGTGGGCAGCGAGCAGTGGACGCGCGCCGTGGCTTGACCAGTACATTGAGAGGCTGGAGGTTCTGCGCGACAAAGGACGTGATATGCTTGCGAAGCTGACGATCGATCGTATCCATCCTGACAATTTGGGAATCGGGCCCAAAGAAGATACCCCCACCGGCTTATTGACTCACATGGGTTGGTGTGAGCCTGAGATACCACGTCACCCTAATTCCTGTTACTTACGGTCATCGACACCAACTAAGGCATTCAATGATGCCCTAGTCTTGGATGGAAAAGACTGGGATATACCACCGTCGGACGAAGACTGCGTAACCGCCTGGACGCTGACGGAGAAGTCTCTTGCATCAAGCCCTACGCAGTATGCATGGTGGCAGATTGACAACAATTCAATGCACCGGATCAGCCCAATGGCGTCTTGCACGTCTCTTTCAGGGGACACGCTTGCAGAGGAAGTGGAAACACCACAGGAGGGCAGTCCGGACAAATATCTCTCTCCACTTCTGGATGGACAAGACACCGCGATGGCATGGGACCCCTGGAATGCCAAAATGCTGGTTCGGTTCATCACTTTCTCATTTGTTCTATCCAAGTATAAGACATTTCATCGGTTCAAACACGCCGTGGGAACACGACTCAGCCCGGAAGCGGCCATCCACGCGGGCGATGAGATGGTGCATGACGTATGGAAGAAGCGTCCGCTTGATGATTATCTTTATTCGAAATCGCCACGTCGAATTTATATAGAGTTCGGTGCCATGCAGACTTGGGTCTCAGAGCTTAGCTGTGCCTGGCTGTGCCACACCGCAAAGACATCCTCGGCTGCTCCTGGACTCCAACAGTAAGTCCATGTTTCTAGTAGTCAAGCGCAAAACAAAGACTCTGTTGTGCTGACGAAATATAAAATGGACAGGTTGATGACACGTACCCTTCAGACTTCTGTGAAGAATGTGACGTCTATTCCAGCATATATCGGGTATATAGTTATCAGGGAGCACTGTGGAAAGGAGGGGGAATCTTTGATTTTCGTTGATCGCCATTTCTGCAAGAAAGGTAAGCTTGAGCGGAAGGGGGACCAGTGCAACAAGAAGAACGTACAAGTACTAAGTATCAGAAGGATACCACTCCAACTTTTTCCTCGCGACACTGGATCTCAGAGCAAACTCAGGTGATGAGGATGGACGTCCCAAGCAGTGTCTACCACTCAAACAGGATGTCAGCTGGACAGTGAAGAGGATCGATGAGGCCTGGCTGCGGAACCATCCGGAGCAAGACTGGGTCCATTTTATCGTGATGGGCAATAGCATTGATGGGTCCTATGAAGACTACATGAACGCAGCCCCGACTCAGCAGAAGCATATCGACGAACGTTGCGATGAGAACGAAAGCCACGCTGCCAGATTCCTAGCTGGTGATCTCGACCGGTTGAGTTTGGCTTTTTTTGCGAGACACCGACACTACACTTTTGACCTCAATAGTGTAGGAAATGACGATGGAATTCTCCACGAGCGTACGGTGGTTTCCGAGCACATGGAGAATATCTTTCCTGAGCTGGCTGACCAGTGGCGCGTATCTAACGAAGAGGCAGATGAGATAGGTGTAGCAGGAACTTCGCTCTACATGTTTGCCTGGCAACATGCATTTGTCGAGACCAAAGGACGCATCGCAGCGTTGGTTTCTGAAGCAACCCACACCATGCCTATCTCGGCGCCCCTTGAGAAGCTTCCTGGCTGGGAAAGAAGGGCTTATATATAGTAGAATGTTGAGACGGGCGTTTTCTTTGTTGTGAAGCCATGTTCTCCGGAGACATTCCATTCTTGGAGTCATTTCAAATGGGATATGTCAACTAGAGAGTTCGGTAAATTCCGTGAATGTTATATCATCCAGAAGTGAACTCCACTGGGGCATGTCCACATCCAGGCCAGCGTTGAACATGTCCGACCATAGCTGACCCCATGTTTCTGGTTCTGCCGGCTGACTCGGAAGTCCGTTTGGCCATCTCCATGTTTCACCATCCATCGATCTCGATTGAAAATTGTTCGTATCTGCCACCAGGGATGTTGCAGTAGATTCAACTACAGCGGGGCCCTTCCCAGTGACAATGGTACGGCCAAGGCACCTTTGTTCATTCGTCGTGGCATCAAGTGGTGGTGGCCTATTTGCAGACGAGGGTTGATTTTGAAGAATCATCATCAGTGTTTGGGTATTCTTCTGTATTGCATTCTTCAGCGTATGAGACTCGTTCTGAGATTTTTCGAGCATATCGCATGCTTCCAATACCTCTGTCTTGCGAGCTTCTGCTTCGGGCGCATTCGGGTTCAAGGAGACATCGGTTGCCAGGATGATAGCAGCAAGGAAAACGTGCTGGACTACCATCCAAAACCGTGAAGGCTTAAGATTGATCAGTGCACCGGCGTTGTCCATGGACCGACGAAGGCTTAGGACAGTCTCAGCCGAACGTACACATGTCGCTCGAGAATATGCATATTTTGGATTGGTGAGGCCCTCCAGATGGAATAGGCGATGCAGCCGGCATATCCGAGTATGAACACCAAAATGCAGAAATATTCTTTGCCATGGGATGTAAGGACGCTCCCGACAAAGACCCATGCTTTGCTGAATGCTTGTGGGATCTAGTTTGAAAAATATCGGCATTTCACTGAGTAATGTTTGAAATTTTGCGTCGACCGCAAGTATCAAGTCGTAGTCCACGTCGTGGGCGGACAACTCGGGAGACTCGAGCAACAACGACGGCATTGTATCAACGACTTCACGACAGAGTTCGGCAAGGTGTATGCGAAAAATAAAGGCCGTAATGGAGGTCGGAACGGTCAAAGGGAGATCATATGGTGTACCTGAAGTGGGTATTGATTCGTCATCAACATTACTGGGGTAGTTGACGTTCATATGCTTCGGTTGTACGAGATAGGCACCCTCGTTGGCACCGCCAGCTAAGGACAGAAGCCTGTTATGAGGTTAGCCTAAGGGAGGCCAGCGTATACAGCCAGTAGCGCTCACCAGTCAGAAGATACCATATGCCACCAGATGCGTCGCTGTACCTCTACTTCGATGGGATTGCACCCCTTCGCTCTCCTTTCATCTCTTTTCCTAGCCGTGTCCAGCCGATGAAGTTGCACGCTTCGTGCCATCAAGAGGGTTCGAATACGTAGCATGTTAACTTTATCGGAAAAGCCATCCATATGAGAGAGGACATGACACAATGTAGTTATTGCTTGAAGCGCAAGAGTTGACGGGGAAGTATCCTGAAGTTTCGTGTCCACAATCAAAAGGACTACATGGACGTAGGCATTTAGAGACGCTTTCGCTTCGTCTTTGCTGGAGTGGAGCGTATCAAGGAGCTGAGGAGTCCATGCCAGTGCAGCTCCCGCAAATATGCTGAAAAGAAGAGCCAGCCCAGCGGGGCTCAGCTCCTCGCTATCCAAAATGGACTGATATATCTGCTCTAGCAATGCTCGAGTGGATGGGACGTGTAAGACGCCGAATGATGGCTGTAAGCAGCATACAAAGTGGTCGAAGAGCGCTCTGGCTTGTGGCAATGGAGGAAGCGCCCTGGTGAAGCTGGGTATGCTCGGAGACGATTCGTTGTGAAGCCGAATGTCAGGCGGTAGCTCAGAGCCAAAAGGGGTTAAACCAGCCTTCATATTCTCCGACGCCTAGAACTGGTCAGCTTCTGGCATGGCAAAAGTGAGATTGGGTATGCGGACCAGATCATTCGTCAAGTCAAGAGCAGGGGCGGCCACACTATGGGGCCGTCCCGAGCTTGTTGAGTTAGGTGCAATAAGTTCATCCTTCGAGGAATTCTCTCCGGCATATATACATGCTACCTTCCTCTGTGTACAGTTGGAACACGGGTGAGCCCGATCACAGCGAAGCTTCTTCTGACGACACAAGCTGCAGGACAAGGGCGCCCTAGACCATCGGAGCAACATGGTGCCAGGAATCTCCGAGGCCTTGCGCTTCATGATTGATCAGGGCTATGAGGTGGCACGACTGTGATGGGGGAGTGGATGAATGAGATGGAGTGCGATGATGAATGAGGTGGTGAGTTCCGTGGAGTGGGTTGCCTTCTTGGGTAGGTGCCTCCACGGAGCAGGAGCTACGCCATACCGTTTTAGGTAGGAGTGGCCGTAATGTAGCCCTAACCAACAGCAAAAGGATGGGATATATAGCACACTCCAGTCGCTCTGCCAGGGTTGGACTGTACTCCCATTCATACCGAGAAGAGACTACCTAGGCAGCATCATGTCTGAGCAAGCAGCTTCTCCCAGGCGGCCTGTCGACGATGTCAGCGTTCAGACCTCCTTGGAACAGGGGCTACCCAAAGACGAAGAGAAACACGACGAGAAACAGGATCCACCTCCAAAAGAAGGAACACTCAAAGCATATCTCGCCCTTCTAGCTGGTTTCTTGGGGCTTTTTGTCTCCTTTGGATGGGTCAACTGTGTCGCCCTCTTTCAAGCAGAGTATGAGGCCAATCAGTTGAAGAACTACTCCAGCTCGGAGATCTCATGGATCCCGTCAATCGAATGTAAGAGATCTTTCCATATTGCGTTCAGTCCAATTTAACTGACTGAGATGTGAAACCAGTTTTCCTTCTGCTTTTCCTCTCTCCAGTATCCGGTTACCTCTTCGACAACTTCGGTCCTCGCCTGCCCGTCTTCATCGGGGGCTTACTGCAAGTCTTCGGTTTAATGATGACCAGCCTCTCGTCCAAATACTATCAGATTATGTTGAGTCAGTCAATTGTGGCTGGAATTGGACCGTCTCTTCTGTTTAATCCGTGCATCACGGCTGTATGTTGTCTGACTCCTCTTGTCTAGAACCACGTTGGCTGACAGACAGGTGCATATAGCCGATGACCTACTTCCGTAGAGCACGAGCGTTGGCCGGCGGAGTAACTGTTGCAGGCTCTTCAGTTGGAGGAGTGGTCTTTCCGCTTATGGTCAACCATCTCCTGCCCAAGATTGGCTTCGCATGGACCATGCGTGTCTGTGCATTCCTTGTCCTCGGACTATGGGTTATCGTCGTCGCAACAATATCATCCAACATCCCCCATAAACGCCGCCAATTCAACTTCCGGAAGTATCTTCATGCTTTCAAGGAGCCGAATTTTATCATACTTTTTGTGTTCTTTTTCTTCTTATACTGTGAGAATCCCCATCCCCCGGAAGAAGAAAGTACTAACAAGCACAGGGTCTTTAATAGTACCGATGAACTATCTATCTGTTGCTGCAGTGTCACGGGGAATGTCTATGACTATGGCAGTGAATCTCGTTCCCATAATGAACGGGTCGAGGTTGGTCACCACATGTCGGTCTCGCCCCTAAGATGCGTACTAACCTCGCGACAATACAGCTTCCTCGGTCGGACTATCCCGAACATGCTGGCAGATAAATACGGCCGCTTCAATATCCTAATCGTTATGCTTGTCCTGACCAATGTCGTCCTGCTCGCCGTCTGGCTCCCCGGTAAAAGCAACGCTGCGATCATCGTCTTCGCGGCGCTCTTCGGTGTAGGGTCTGGCGCATGCATCGGTCTTGCCCCTGTGCTTATCATGAATTTGACCCCATCCCACAGTGACGTGGGTTTCCGCATGGGAGCTGCGTTGGCAGTTGGCGGGATTGCAGCATTGACTAGTCCCCCGATTGGCGGTGCAATCTCGGCACGCAGCGGAGGGACGTACGACAATGCTTTCATCTTCGCAGCTGCTAATGGGTTTGTTGCCACTGCAGTTCTCATTATCCTTCGTGGACGGGCGGTAGGATGGAGTCTCTTTGCGAAGGAGGGAGCGAAGAAATAAACGAATACTAGATTTGGGTATTTGGATGGGAGAGCGATCCAGTTCTCAAGATTTGGGACCCCGGCGAGAAAAGTGCACGTTTCTCTTTTTTCGTGTATCAACAGATGTTTTAGCAGAACTTGCTTCTATAGATTTTTCGTAATGCTTAATAGACACCTCTAACTCAAGCGCACTACATGGCCCAGTATCACGAATCGTACTCGGTGCTCATTGAAAGCTCTTCCAACTCCGTAAGATTCCTCTGCAGCTGCTCGATCTTCGTCTGTGCCGTGCGAAAAGCATTGCTTCCAAGGACGAGGCGAAGGTGCTCCGGTTTCCCCTGGGCCATGCCTTCGCCAGTGACAACCTCATAGATCCGCTCCGCCGCCTTGTCCGGATCCCCTGGCTGCTTGCCATGCCGGCCCTGGAGATATTGAATATTGTCTTCAACGACAGTGCCGCGGTATGGCTCGCTCGGCTGCTCGTACGTAGCAGCGCCGTGTTCTAGGAAATTGGTCCGGAACAGTCCCGGCTCTACCACGATAACCCGAACACCAAAGGGTGCTACCTCTTGGGCAAGGGCCTCACTGATGCCCTCCAGCGCATGCTTAGATGCAGCATACATACTCAGGCCAGCGCGCGATACTAGTCCCGAGATGGAGCTGATGTTCACAACGGTGCCCGATCGTGCCGCGCGCATTGCTGGCAGTGCGCATTGCGTCACCTTCAAGGCGCCGATGACATTCGTCTCGAATTGGGCGCGGGCCATCTCTTCTCTGCAGCACAGGTTATCATGGAAGCTCCCGTAGACACGGAATAGGGAAAGACGTACGTAATGTCCTCCACGGCGCCGAGGACCGCAAAGCCCGCGTTGTTTACTACAACGTCCAGACGGCCATGGAGCGCAACCGCTTCGTCTATGGTCCGCTTTATGTTCTTGGCGGGACTGGTGACATCTAAGGCGAGCCAATGGCCGCCTTTTTGTTTGACCTCTTGGACCAGCTCTAGTGTTTTTGAGGGGTTCCGCGATGAAGCGATCAGGTGGTGGCCATGAGCGAGGACGGCGCGGGCAAGAGATATGCCAAATCCGGCGGAGCAGCCGGTAATGAGCCAGACTTTTGGTTGAGAGGTCATTTCGTATCGTTGTTCTGTAGGATTGTCTATTCAGAGCTTCAAGATGCTGATGGCCTGATTTATATCTTGGGGATGATGTTCGGGCTCGACGGAGATTGCCGGATATAGCGGACGTCCGAGTTCCAACAGTAAGGTATCTCATCGTAATTACGTTCTGATGGACCTGACTAGCATACTAAGCATTAAGCCACTAAAATATAGCTGGTCTATTGTCAGATAAGGTGTGCCCGTTATGCAACACTTGCAGCCGTCATGAGCTAAGTGTGGCCGTAGCGACTATAGGTCCACGGCGCTTGTAAGGTACCATCATAGAACGAAACCAACACATCACATTCCAAATCAGCTTTCAAGAGTTAATCACCATTTTCAAGGTCTGTTTGGTCTTTATATGCTGGCAGCCCGTGTACGAAGTATATAATGGGAGGCAAGTGCTTTGAACGACCATGGAACTAGCGTGGGCACGCAAGCCTTAAATGTCATCGATTGACTCGTGCGAGAAAGAGCAACAGCATTATCAAATCAATACGACAGGACCATCAATCAACATGATCCTTCAAACACAGTGGATCAATACAGTGCTCATGCTAAGGAACGTAGGAATTGGCGAGGCCGATTGACGAACACCAAGCCGCGATGGCGTGAGCATGCAATTCAATAACACAATCAGCATCCACTCCATCGAGCTCTAGCACCGGATTTCTGTCCGATCTACCTGCTATTAAAGAGGCCATCCCCTCATTAACGAGGGGCAAAAACAAATTCTCTATTCGCAAGCACCCACAAGATGACCGTCACCCAGCAGAAGCCATGGATCCTCAATGCCTTTGCCATGTTCTCTCCGGGCCACCTCTCCCCAGGACTATGGAAACACCCACGCGATCGCGCTGGTGACTTCACAGACCTCTCCTACTGGATCGAGCTCGCCAAGGTCCTCGAGAAAGGCAAGTTCCACGGCCTCTTCCTGGCCGACCATCTCGGCGTATACGACGTATACAAGGGCCCCGCAAACCGCGACCCGGCGCTGCTCTCAGGCGCGCAATTCCCCATCGGAGATCCTTTGTAAGACTGGAACCTATCGCGCCCAATCCCGCCCAATTCTAACAGCCCAAGCCTCCTAATCTCGGCAATGGCCTCCGTCACCGAGTCGCTCGCCTTCGGCATCACCGCGTCGACCACGTACGAGACGTCGCCGTACGCCCTGGCGCGCAAGTTCTCGACGCTCGACCACCTCACCCGCGGCCGCGTCGGCTGGAACATCGTGACCTCGTTCCTCGACAGCGCCGCCAAGGCGTACGGCTTCGACGAGCAGATTCCCCATGACGAGCGGTATGCGCGCGCCGACGAGTACATGGAGCTGGCGTATAAGCTCTGGGAGGGCACCTGGACCGACACGGCTGTCGTAAAGGACCCTGTCTCGGGGGTTTACAGTGACCCGTCCCAGGTGAGGGCGGTTGAGCACCGCGGGAAGTATTTCAAGAGCACGGCCGCTAGTCAGTTGCCTGCGTCGAAGCAGAGGACGCCGCTGCTCTTCCAGGCGGGGGCTTCTTCGTGGGTTATCCCTCTCTGACTGTATCGGGCTGGGTGGTTATACTAATGACACCACGATAGGGCCGGGAAGCAGTTTGCCGCAAAGCACTCCGAAGTGATGTTCCTCCCTGGGCTGGAGCCGGAAAAGACCAAGCTGATCGTCGAGGATATGCGGTATGCAAATCTACAACAGTCGACGCAACACCCACCCAATCGCTAATACACTCACAGAAAGCAGCTTGTGGAGCAAGGCCGCGCGCCAGACAGCATCAAGTTCATCGCCGGCATCCTCGTCGTTGTGGACGAGACGGACGAGAAAGCCCAAGCCAAGTACGAGGAGTACCTAGCGCAGTCAGACCTGGAAGGCGTGGCGACGCTCTTCGGCGGCTGGACGAACAACGACCTGTCCAAATTCACAGACGACGAGGACTTTGCCTTTGCCGCGGTGGGCGGGATCCAGTCCATGATCTCGAGCTGGTCGAAGACGGTGCCGAACTCCAACGGACTGAAATGGACGAAGCGCCGCGTTCTCCAGGAACTGGCCCTGGGTGGCGCGCATCCCCGGGCGATTGGCTCGCCCACCACCGTTGCGGATATCCTGCAGCGGTGGGTTGATGTTGCCGGCGTGGATGGATTTAATTTCTCGTACACCGTTTCCCCGGGCACTTTCGAGGATATGATTGAGTATCTGTTCCCGGAGTTGCGGCGGAGAGGCGTCATCTGGGATGAGTATGCTGTGCCTGGGGGCTCCGCGAGAGAGAACTATTTCCAAGATGGGGAGGGGGCACGGCTCCGTCAGGGGCATCCTGGGAAGCAGTATGCATGGACCGGCGAGAGCTCGCAGTGAAATATTATTTTTATTGTAGTCCATAACTAGTTGGTTGCTTGGACTGAATCGGCCCTTGCGGGATATGTGAAACGCCAGAATCACGGCATGAAACTAAGCACAGAAGCTGTTGGCTGTAAAAAATCACACGCTATGTGGAACTAAACCGAAAGATATGTGCCCGCTATATATACACGCTGACTGAACAGCACCGAATATGTCTCAAAGAACATGTCTGATCTTGGCGTAAAGCTCCGTGTCCAAGAAATTGTATTTGGGATCCGGTTCACAGAACGGGTGTTGAGTAAGGAGCGTCTGAGCGGTTGGCCGGTCAGATGAGTCCCTGGTAGAAGTCAGCAAGGTGGGCTCAACCGAAAGAGAAGCACAGAGTGGACTTACACAGTGAAGCAATCATACATAAAGGCAAGTGCTGCTGGACTGATGTTCAATGACACGTCATCTGGGATCGGAGGCGCCTGACTCAAACTGCCCAGCTTGAAGATGGCGCCAATCGCTTCTTCTTTGCTCCAAGGTCGACGCCCAGCAAACATCTCTAACACCACACATCCAAGAGACCATATATCCACCTTGGCGCTGTAGCCCTGTCCCTGCGAGTGGATGACTTCTGGCGCCATCCAGAACACAGATCCCTGCATGGAGTTGGTCGAATCGTTTCCATAAATGTTGTCGGTCTTCTTCGAGATTCCAAAATCGGAGATCTTGCAAGTCCCATCAAGATCCAAAAGGATGTTGTCTGCTTTCAAATCACGGTGCAAGATTCCCCGGTCGTGGAGGTAGGCCAGCCCACTCAAAGTCTGCCACGTCAGGGATTTCACAACGCTCTCTTCGAATTTGCCGTGTTTGCGAAGGCAACTACCGATAGAGCCACCAGAGATATACTCCAGATAGATAGAAATGGAGAGTTCTCCTCTTTCGCACCCAAGATATTGCACGATATTAGGGTGCTCGAGGTGTTGCATCGTGTCAATCTCCTGGTTAAGGGCTGCAACCATATCCTTGATCCTTTCCTTGTCCTGCCCGGCAATTCGAGGATTGATCTCGACTTGTTTGACGGCCAAAACCTCACCATTATCGGCATTCATGCCCAGGTACACCCGACCATAAGTTCCCTTTCCAATAAGTTGACCGCGAATGATACGGAAAGTCGGTTGCCGTTGTGGCACGCCTCCTGCTGCGGCAGCATTCTGGGGAATAGGGTCAAGTTGGCTGACCCTGGTACCAGGTCTAGGACTGATCTGCATGATCTTGGCTCCGAACATCTTCGTGCTCTTCCTTCGGAGGATCTCTCCTGACTTTTGGTTGCCCGTGGATTGAGAGCTGCGGTGTCTGTGGGCTTGATTGGCGCCCTTTGCGACTTCTCTGATTGACTTCATGCGAGTGAGACCACCAGACCGGTTAACGTTGCGGCGAGCAACGAAACCAGCATCGTGTGGCCGGACTGTCGGTTCAGCCGAGTCCATGGTACTAGCGGCAGCTTCAGCGGGAGCCTGGGCTGCCTGGCGCTCTTTCTGATTCAACTCGTTGTCGGCTGGCGCTCTGGCGGCTGGAGATGATGGTGGAGACACGCCTTGTCCGTCAAGATACGGCGCATCAAGGTCGATGTCAGGGAAGAAGTCGTCAAGATGGTCAATGACGCCCTCGACTGGAGGTCTGCTTGCCCAGACATCCCGAGCGAATGAGTCTCTTCGTGGCGGCTTCTCATCCTCAGGGGAATGCCCCATCTCGGAAGAAGATCCCTTTTGGCTGGCTGACTCCATAGCAGAGCCAAAGCCTTCGCGAGTGGCACTGGGAGATCGGAAGCTGACTGACAACCCTTTCTTCAGCCGTGTCTCCGTATTCACAGTAAGAGACGGCTTCCTAGGCGTCCTTTCACGGTCCTGGGTGCCGACTGCAGACCCCTTGTCCTTGGTCGGCGTTTGTCTATTGGCCAACGGTTTTGCGAAAAGGCCTTCATCAGAATCATCATCAGAATCTTCCTGTGGCATCGGAGAGCCTTCGAAAGGAACACTGGGCTCTGGAAAATCGAAATCTGGGCCGTAGGATTTGCGGGACTGGAGGCCTGGTCTTGGTTCTTCAGGAGTGGTGGCACTGCTCTTCGCAGAAGACGGATTCGTATGAGACGTGGGCGTTGGTTGACTGCTTTGCACAGACGAGAATTGCGAAGCACTCTTTGGTTCCTCTGGTGTGTTCCGGCTTGGGCTTGCTCCAGCAGCTCCAGCTTTGCCGTCCGCTGATGATGAGGGCTTCCCGATTGCGCTTGTCATATTACCGACGCTAGCCAGCATGGCTCCTAGGCCTGGTTGGCCACGCGGTGCTCCGTCCTTTCTTCTGAGAGAATTGACCTTGGTGAGTGTCATTGACTCACCGGGAGCGGTTGGAGGCCTGCGCTGGGGCACGAGATTATCCGACGGCCGTTTGTCTTCGTAGGGGGATATCCGAGGAGAATCAAAATCGATGACGCCTTCTCGCCTGAAGCCGGTCTCACTATACACTGGAGGAACCTTCGATTTGCGGTAGACCTGCTGTTTCCGCTCGACTTCACGCTTATGTTCTTCCACACGAGCCTTGAAGTTGGCCGAATCTGGATCTGCGGAATCATGCACCGCATCCACTGGAGATAGGCGCGGGGCGCCTTGCGATACATCCCGACCCTGTTTAATTACAGGGGCTCCGGGCCGTGGACGGGAGGCTGACTGGGGGGAAGTAGGTTTTCCTGGTGGGTGTGCAAGCCTATTCAGGGCTTCCTCGTCCAATTCCTTTCTTGGTACGCTATGATGAGTTGCGGTCGGCGACGAAGCTGAGAGCTTGTCGGGCATGGAGATGGCAAGACCCGTGAAGTTTGAGGGTGAACGGCTTGTGCTGGGGTGCATGGACGATCCGCGCACCAGCAATTTCAGCGACCCAGACGCGTCCGCCTTCATTCGCCGACAGAGCGCCAAATTAGTGTCATTCAGCGGCTCTTCATGCTCTGCTTGACCGGGTTCCGTCTGGAAGATCTGCGCACCCGGCCAGTCGGAGATACCTAGACTCTGGCAGATTGCCGCACGTAAGGTCTCGACTGAATCCATGTCCGTAATATCCACCAGACGGTACGTCCATCCATCCAAGGTAACAAAAGCCCATTTCTTTCCCTTGTGCATAGGCTTGGGGCGAGGAGCCAATCGCTCGTGGTCTGAGACGGACGAAGATGATGGACGCTCGGCCAGAGACATATCACTATTGCTGAAATTTGGCCGTGCATAGAGATGAGTGGAACTATTTTGCCGTGTATTGACTGGACTCGTAGGCGACTCTAGGAATTGTTCTTCTGGCGACGGCTGACTCGAGTCTTTCGATCTCTTCTTGAAGAAATGTAGAATTCGGTTGCTATGATCTTTCGAATGGTAAGAGGCCGGGATTTCACCGCTTGGGTGACGTGCGTGCGTTTCTTGCGGCGATGGGCGGACATTATCCTGTCTGAATGATTCATAATACCGGCGACCCGTGGCAGAGTCGGAGCTGTTGTCTCGCGAGTGTTTGAAGTTCAAGTCTCCGGTGGAAGATGACGGTGTTTGACGAGATATAGTAGCGTACTGGGCCGCAGGGCTGCCACTTTTGGGGCTGTTTTCATATGGTCGGCTCGTTGGAGGAAAGCCAGGTCCGTCGCCGGCAGGACTAAGTCCCCGATATTCGTTGATACCCAGCATAGCAGCGCGCGTGACGTCGGCACGAGGCCACATCGTTGTTTCGCCAGAAGTGAGATCAGTTGCGGGATGGTCGTATGTACCAGGAAGAGGGGTGGTGAAGGAACGTCTATTACTTTGGGCGGATTGGGGTGCTCTGAGGGGGCTATTGGCTATAGCTCCGGAGCTATGATCAAGGGGTGTGTGCTCATGCGCTAGCTTTGGGGAGGCCTCGAGCGTGCCTTCAGCAGCAGAAGCCGGTAAGTTCTGCGAATCTCGTCGCTTGTTGACCGGGATGCCTTGATCATAGTTTCCAGACTCTTGGATCTGACGGATCAATCTGCGCATGCGCTTTCCCTCCTCTCGCTCACGCGCTTGGTCCCACCCTGTTCCGCTGGCTTCACATTCCTTGGCAAGTTGGGGATAGACAACGTTATACAACCTTCCTGGGTTGGGTCGGCCGTTAAAGCCGTGACCCAGCTCGAGAAAATCCGTTCCTTGTAGCTCGAGAACCCGGAACGTTTCCTGCCAATCTTTTGAAAATCCATTCACGGCAAGCCATAAGAGGACTTTTTCGAGGGGCCACTGAGCTCCGGCCTCGCTTGGGGACATCCCGCCAGGTAGTGTGGTGTTGTTGTTGTTCTGGCGATGACTGGGCGACTTATTCAGATCAGTGCCATGACTGGGGGTTCCTTGTTGCGGATTGTGGACAACCGCAGCTGCAAGGTTCGGCGAGTATTGGTCGTGAGGGGCATCGCTGGATGAAGCCATGCGAGCCGACGATGCAGGCACCGTGGCATCACGTTTATACGCAGTATCCGCACTATGGTAGTCGTACAATTGATTGATCGGCGGCCGCTGTCTCTCCCCCGCCGGAACACCCCCTTGACTTTCATACGTAGGAACGGTATGGGAGTCAAATCCGGGGGATCCCCACCCCCGGACCAAACGTATTACCCCCGGGAACGTAGGTCGCTGTTGCCAATGGGGGCGGAGGGGGTGGAATATAGCCTTGAAGTAATGTTTGCCTTCCCGTCCAGTTATCCGATATTAATCTGGGGGTTGTGCATTTTGCGAAATCGTCATCTTGGA